GATTTCTTAACGCTATACAAAATGCATGTATGATTTGTTTTAATTACTAGATATGCTCAATAGTCCTTCAACAAATGGGGTCACTTGAAAATAGTTTATTACAAGTTAAATTGAAACGGGATCATTTGGAAAGTTCCAAAAAATAAATAATTTTTAACACAAATGTAAAATTTATAATTTTTATGGCTATGTAGAATGCAAGTATGATTTGTTTCAATTACTAGATACACTAAATAATATTTCAATAAACAACGTAACATGGATTCTCGGAGAAGGGTTTATTACATAATGACTTGGAACTGGATAACTTGAAAGTGTCTATCTAAAAATAAATAATTTTTAACAAAAATATAAATGTATGATTTTTATGCCTATATAAAATGAATGTATGATTTGTTTTAGTACTAGATATTCTCAATATCACTTCAAACGTGGACACTTGAGAAGAGTTTATTACAAGGCAAAAGAAAAGAAGTAACTGAATAGAAAAATATAAAACAAATTATATGGTTAATACTACTTTAATAAACGGGGTCACTTGAGAAGATATTTATTACAAGATGACTTAGAATCGAATTAATTGGAAATTTCTAATTAAACAAAAATAATTTTTAACAAAAATATGAAAGTGTGACTTTTTATGACTATATAAAATACATGTATCATTTGTTTTAGTTACTAGATATACTCAATAGTGCTTCAATAAACGGGGTCATTTTGGAAAAGTTTGTTACAAGATAAATTAGAACGTGATCATGGGAAAGGTCGAAAAAAATAAAAATTAACTCAAATATAAAATGTATGTTTTTTATGGCAATTTAAAATGCATATATTATTTGTTTTAATTACAAGATATTCTCAATAGTGTTTCAATAAATGAGGTCACTTGGTAAGAGTATATTATAAGATGAATTGGGATGGTATGATTTGGAAAGGTCCAAATAAAAATAAAATTTTTCTCAAACAAATATAAATGTATGATTTTTCATTGTTATAAAAAATGAATGTATGATTGGTTTCCAATACGAGATATACACAATAGTTTGTCAATAAGTGGGGTCACTTAAAAAAGGTTTATTATAATAAGAATTGGAACGGGATCTTTTGGAAATGTCTAACTAAAATTAAATATTTTTTAACACAAATATTAAATGTACGACTTTTTATGGCTATATAAATATATATATATGATTTGTTTCAATTACTAGATGTTTCATTGTACTTCAATAAAAAAAAAAAGAAAGTCATTTGGGTAGGCTTATTATCAGATGAATTAAAACGGGATGATTTGGAAAGATCTAACTAAAAATATTAATTTTTAACATAAATATAAAATATATGATTTTATGGCTATATGAAATGCGCGTATGATTTGTTTTAATTACTAAATATTCTCAATAATATTTCAAGAAACAGGATCAATTGGAAAGGGTTTATTACAAGGCAAAAAAATTTTTTTACACTATAATCCTACACCAATTCCTACATCCTTTACAAAGAGTTTGGCGCCGGGCCCCAACGGGTTTATCCAAAGGCGGATTAGGGTGCTAGTAAATTTTTTAAAAAGGAAAGAAGTAACTGAATAGAAAAATATAAAAAAATTATATGATCAATACTACTTTAATAAACAGGGTCACTTGAAAAGATATTTATTACTAGATGACTTAGAACGGTATCAATTGGAAATGTCTAATTAAATATAAATAATTTTTAACAAAAATATGAAAGTCTGACATTTTAAGACTATATAAAATATATGTATCACTTGTTTCGGTTATTAGATATACTCAATAGTGTTTCAATAAACGGGATCACTTTGGAAGGGTTTATTATAAGATGATTTAGAACGGTATCACTGGAAAAAGTAGAAAAAAAATAAATTTAACACAAATATGAAATGTATGGTTTTTTATTGCTAAAATGCATATATTATTTGTTTTAATTACAAGATATTTTCAATAGTGCTTCAATAAATGGGGTCACTTGGTAAGAGTTTATTATAAGATGAATTGGGACGGTATGATTTGGAAACGTCCAAATAAAAATAAAATTTTTTTCAAACAAATATATAATGTATGATTTTTCATTGTTATAAAATGTATGATTGGTTTCAAGTACGAGATATACACAATAGTATGTCAATAAGCAGGGTCACTTAGAAAGGGTTTATTATAAGAAGAATTAGAATGGGATCTTTTGGAAATGTCTAACTAAAATTAAATATTTTTTTTATACAAATATAAAATGTACATCTTTTTGTGGCTATATAAATACATATATGTTTTGATTCAATTACTAGACTAGATGCTTAATTGTACTTCAATAAGAAAAAAGTCATTTGGGGAGGCTTATTACAAGATGAATTGTAACGGGATGATTCGGAAAGGTCCAACTAAAAATATTAATTTTTAACACAAATATAAAATATATGATTTTATGGCTATATGAAATGCGTGTATGATTTGTTTTAATTACTAAATATTCTCAATAATATTTCAAGAAACGGGGTCAGTTGGAAAGGGTTTATTACAAGGCAAAAAAATTTTTATATTATAATCTTATACCGGTTCCTACATCTTTTACCAAGATTTTGGTACTGGGCCCCAACGGGTTTATCCAAAGGCAGGTTAGGATGTTAGTAAAAAAATTTTTAAAAGGAAAGAAATGATTAAATAAAAAATTTAAAAAATATTATATGGTTACTAGTACTTCAATAAACAGGATCAGTTGAGAACGGTTTAGTACAAGATGACTTGGAATGAGATCAATTGGAAATGTTCAATTAAAAATAAATAACTTTTGACACATATATCAAATATATGATTTTTATAACTATATAGTACATGTATTATTTGTTTTGATTACTAGAGATGATCAATAGTACTTCCATAAACGGGGTCACTTGGGAATAGTTTATTACAAGATGAATTAAACGGGGTACTTGGGCAGAATTCATTACAAGATGAATTAGAAAGGGATCATTTGAAACTGTCCAACTAAGAAAAAACTAATTTTTAACACTAATATAAAATGTATGATTTTTTATGGTTATATACAATGAATGTATTATTTTTTATAATGAATTGGAAAGTCATTTGGAAATATTTAACTAAAAATAAATAAATTTTTACTCAATTTTAAAATTTATGATTTTTTATGACTATAAAAAATGCATGTATGATTTGTATCATTTATTGTATATGCTCAAGAGCACTTTAAAATATAAGCGAGATCACTTGAGAAGGACTTATTAAAAGATGAATAGGAACGAGATCATTTGGAAAGTTGTAACTAAAAATAATTAATTTTAACATAAATATGAGATGTAGGACTTTTTATGGCTCTATAGAATGCATGTATGTTTTGTTTCAATTACTAGATAAATTAATATAACTAAAAAATTATATACAATAAGATCTACATTCCGCGTGCAATGCACGGGCCAGTATTAGTATTTATAATATAAGTTTTTCAAGAAAATAGAAATTTATTTCTTGTTTTTTTAACAAGAGGATATTAACTTTTACTACTCCTTTTGTCCCATAATTATTGTCCAGTTTGGGTTTCTATTTCTAGTTCAAATTATACTAAAAGTGAAATCTCAAATTAGACAATAATTTAGTACATAGGGAGTATTATTTTTTTATAAATACAAAAAATTGTTACAGTAGCTAAAATTATTTAATTAAAACTTCGCTACGCACTATGGAAAAAGCATTCCCTATGTCTCTTTTCAAATTGAAACTGTTAAAAACTAAAGTCTCTAGAGTTGGACTAAAAATTCATCTTAGGAATTCAACTATTTATGAATCACATAGAATATTCAATATTCATTTTAACAATTTAGAAAAAATTTATATCATTTGTATTTTTGTAATGGTTCGAGCAATGATCAAAACTTAGGTCAAACTAATTTGTACATTGAAATTGTTATCTAAAAAGGTTACATACATAATTGATTAAGTCATTCATCACTACAATACTTGTCACAGTATTATTGCAATTGTAGGTTATCTATGGCTGTGCATTATTCTCTTTCTGTTCAAGTTTATATGACTTGATAAAATATTTATGCTCGTATACGTAAACAAAATTATTTTTTATGGTTATAACAAGATAAAATTTTAGAGGTATTTTATTAAAGAATTAAGTATTAACAAAATAGATAAATAGTAATAGTAAATGGTTTTTGCCTTTGTGCTGCGCAGCACCCTAAATATTTAATCGGGATTTTACTTTTTGCAATTAGAAGAAACAGATTAAACAACTATAAATCTGCACTAAATTATGCGAACCTATATCATAGTAAGGGCAGTGACTTTCCCTTAAGTAATAATTTACGCAAAATTGATTGATGGCCTTTTCATTTTCTAGCATTTCTTTTTCATTTTTTTTTTGGATTAATTTACAATCTGATTCATTTTGAAACGCCACGCGAGTAAATACTGAATAGTTGTAAAAATTACATTTTTTATATTCCCATTGTCTAAAAAATAGTTTACATTAAATTTTATGAGCTATATTAAACAATATATATATAATTTATAACTAAAATATGGATTATATTTTTATAAGACATTGAACGAATATATTATTATTATTAATATATAATGGAAAGCAAAATTCACTGTCCTAAAAAAATAATTTATTTTGTGAATTAGAAAAGTATTACCATGAGAACGAGAGAGAGATAGAAGAGATACTAAAGTCTTACCAAAGGAAAAGGAAAAATGAGTATTCCCTCCATTCCAAAATAAGTGTCATCCTACACTTTGCATATAGTTTAAGAAACTCTTAAATAGAGTAATAAAATTACTTAAATATCCTCAACCAGCTCCACTAAAAAAATGTCCACTAATAGTATTAATTCTTTCGAGGGTAATTTTAAAAACTTTGGACAAAAAGTGCATTGAAATGTGAGAACGACACTTATTTTAAAATTTCTCCATTTTGTTAAAACGACACTTATTTTGGAACGGAGTGAGTATTAGATGGAAGGGCAAAAATAAAAAGAAAAATCAGTCCGATCTCCTTTCCAACTGTACTAGAACTATATATAAGTAGTTTTAGCCGTTTTCCAACACAAATTTTTGTTTCATTTACTCATACTTTTCATCGTTATGGCCGGTTTCTTACACGTCTTGTCTTTTACTACTGCTTGCTTGGTTTTCGGGCTGGTTTTTTTAGTATCACCTCCGGATGCGGTGGGAGCAGCAGGAAAACCGTCCTTCTTTCAAACCCCCGGCAAAAATGACGGTGAGGAATCCCAGAGGCAAAGAGAAGCAGATAGAGTAGTGAATCTACCGGGGCTGCCGCCGGCGACGGAGAATAACAAAGATGTCGGTTTTCAGCACTTCGCCGGTTATGTCAAAGTCCGACCAACCGATGAAAAGGCACTCTTCTATTGGTTCTTTGAAGCCGTTAATAATGTTTCCGACAAACCTCTTGTTCTATGGCTTAATGGAGGTAAATTATTTCTTACTCTTAATCTGCATTCTACTAAAAAGAAAAAAAAAATTGAAAATTGTTTTCTTTTTTTGTTGCGTAGTGGTGAAAATGGAGTGAATTAGGAAGATGGGGGTTGGTGATGGGAAGGTAAGAAATTTGGGTAAATTGTTAGGAGTTTACTTGTGTGAATTATGCTTCCTTAATATAATTTTACTCTATTTTCTTTTGAAAATTCAAATTTCAATGCATATTATTAATGTCACTGATTATTGATTAACAATCAAACAAAGAGACTCGCTCTATATTTCTTGACACCTTACGGTACAATCTTAGGGCATGTTTGTTTCTTTTTTTTTAGTATGTGTTTTTATAAGTTTTTTGTATTGGGAGTGTTATAAAATATATTGAAAATATAAAAAAGTATGCTGGGATGAGACAGTTATTAATATATTAATTTAAAAATATCATAAAAAAGTGAAACAAATAAAGCCTTTAGAGAGTCAGTTAATACTAATAAATCAATTATAAACTTTAACATGTTGAACTTAGTTGATATCACTTGCATGCCACAAATTTCTGAATGGTTTCTTGTTGACAATAATTTGGAAGTAGGAAGGAAAAACGGAAAGAAGAAAGAAAAAGGAAGCATGTTTTTTCTTGTTTCCCATCTCACCGAATTATTTCAGGCAGCTTTACTTGATCTATATATTTTGAACTTTGTTCCTCACTCTTTTTTTTAAGGAGAAAGTTATTTAACTTTGTAACGTACAATATATTATATTTTCTCGCTTAAAACAATCTAACTCACTAAAACTATCACTATGATAGTCGTTTTCACATGGAATGATGATTGTGGCAACATTGTGAAAAGAGATAAGAGTTTGGTTTATGGATTTTTCTTTATATATATATATATGTGTCAAATTTCTTTTTTCGGTCTCAAAATAAAAGTCTAAAATTATGATTTTGTAATTAAAATGAGGGTGGAAAAGAGAGGGTAGAAGAAGAAGAAGAAGAAGAACAAAACAAACACCCCTCGTGGTTTGGAAAAGGAAAAAGAAAAACAACAAAGGTGAAACACACCACCATTAATCTCCTCTTAAAAGTTTATCTTATTATTTTGTCTACACTTTAAATAGTAAAAAATGGGAATTATGGGGAATGGATAAAAGCTGCTTGTTTTTTATACTATTTTAATTGGAGAAAGGCTTTTGCTCTTTTTATCGTTTAAATAAACAATGATTGATGTAGCATGTAGCATGCCGGGGTGGAGTTTTAATTTTTGAAAGTTCTACGGCCTAAAAGTAATTTGTGGCTTTAACTTCTTTTTCTTTCTATGAGGTAGACACTAGATAGTCATACGTCCTTTTACGCTTTTTGCTCTCTGTTTGTGTGTATCTCGTTATAAATCCATTGACATCATATATAAATATTTTTTTTCCAGGTACGAAGTAAAATAATTAGACCCATAATAGTTTCATTTATATATATATATATTTTGTAGTAGCTAAATTTACATTTGAAATTATTATTTTAAAATGAATACATTTTCTTTTTCTGAATTTTCCCAAAAAAAAAGAGAGCGATCATTTTGGATTAATTTGTGGATACTATTATCATTTTTATTGATTTTATTTTTCCGGAAAACAATTTACTGATGTTATTATGTCATCGGGAAAAATCCGACCAAAATGTGTAAAGCTGGAATGCAGAATTTGTCTGATATCATGATTTGAATATTTAATGGGGCCTAAGCCTAACACATTAGCCGCTCTTTTTCCAGTGCGCTTATTTGTCGTTTATTTTACTTTGGATTCTTGTCTCAAACTTTGGGTACATTTGTTTCATTTTTTTTAATGCGTATTTTTTATTCTTTTTATTAAAAATATAAAAAATATGTTGCATAAAATAGTTATTATTTTATTAATCTAAAAAAATCATTAAAAAAACTAAACAAACAAAGTCTTCACTTCTTACTTTGGAAATGCGAGAGAGACTCCAATCATTTTCACGTTTTTCTTTTATCCCTTAAGAGTTTATCAACAAATTAATTTATGCCTCGTCGCCCATTCTTAATAAAACAGGCACGTTTTACACTTTAAAACTTCAAACCGTAACGTACACAAATTGAGCCCATCTTACATCAAGATTAATTTTTAATACTGATTCGTCTGTCTGGATACGATTGTCTTATTTATTATTGATACGATAACACGAATAAATGTTGTTATGTACCAGCAGCTAATCATATGTTGCACTGAATGATTAGGACCCGGTTGCTCATCAATCGCATATGGAGCTATGCAAGAACTTGGTCCATTTCTTGTCCACAACAACAATGCGAACCTTACTCTGAATAAATTCTCTTGGAATAAAGGTACTGAAATAAATCCATTCGTTAGTTCCTGAATTATCCTCTACTTGGTTCCGAAAATGATTAAAAGCAATTGAAAGTTGTATGTATCAGTTTTTGCTTTTAATTAAAATTGTTCGTGTTGTATAATGTAAAAAAATAGAGGCAAATATGATTTTCCTGGAAGCACCGGTTGGGGTTGGATTTTCGTATTCAAACAAATCAGAGGACATCAACAACCTTGGCGATGCAGTCACAGCCCGAGATTCCTACGACTTCTTACTCGGGTGGTTTAAAAGGTTTCCCAACTTTAGGTCCCACGATTTCTACATCGCTGGAGAGAGCTATGCCGGTAAGTGTAGCGATTTGATTGATTTCCGGTGTTTTAATTCGCGGATACGAAAAACTACTCACTCAGTCCCATGTGTATAATTCACTTTGTTAAACTACAATATCGATCAAATACAGGGCGGGAGAAATATCATATAGAACACAACTCAAATTTTGTTACTATTATGCAAAAAAGATTCAAACCACTTCAGGTGTTAAGTGTAACTCTTTATTTTTCAGGTCATTATGTCCCACAGCTGGCTGACCTTATCTATGAAAAGAATAAAGGAGCTACGAAAGACTCCATTATTAACCTCAAGGGTTTCTTGGTAAGAAAAGTGCTTCATTTTGTTCATTCATTGATTATTATCATGGTTGTCCATCAGTTGAATGGAAATGCTTTCATGTAGCCAAACGCAGTGGTACAGTCTGATGTGTTTGAAAATAATGAATCATATAGTATGATATATGTAAATGATTAATGTGGAAATGGATAATATGATAAAACAGATAGGAAATGCAGTGATAAACGACCCAACAGATCAGTTAGGATTCGTTGACTATGCCTGGAGCCATGCAATCATCTCCGACCAACTCCATAGTGACATTAACAAAGATTGTGATTTCAAGAGCAACACTTCAAGCAGCCAATGTACTATGCATATTCGAGGATTCTTACAAGCTTATTCCAACATTGACATCTACAACATCTACGCTCCCGTTTGTCTCACTACTTCTTTCCAGAAGAAGAAGATCAGTACTCTTCACAGGCTTAGAGGTGCACCTCGATTTTTCACTAAAAACGTGAGTTTTCTAGCTAAATTATAGTACTCTCTCAATCCCAAAATTATTGTCCACTTTGAAATTCTAATTTTAGTATAATTTGAACTAGAAATGAAAACTCAAACTGGACAATAGTTATGGGACGGAGAGAGTAATTAATTACTCATTCCGTCCCAAAATAACAATCTCGTCCATGTTGATTTATAAAAAGGCACCTCATGTTTAATTGGTTCTGTAACTTGTTTTTTTGGGGATATGCAGGTGATTTGGGAGGACCTACCATCAGGGTATGATCCATGCACAGAGGAATACGTGGAGACATATTTCAACCGGGAAGATGTTCAGAAAGCCATTCATGCCAATCTCACCAAATTGTCCTATCCCTATACCCCTTGCAGGTACCTACCAATTCAATTCATTCATGCATTAATTGAAACTCCCAGAATTTTACCTCAGGAGTATACCCGGTAACAAAAATTTTAATGTGACATTGTTTATAAAACATTCAAAAAGATTTATAGTTACTAAATTTGAATGCCTAAAGAAAAAGTCTCGCGAATAAATTTGTGTCCTCTACACGGTCGCATTATCATATTCTTTTTCCCTTTCTATTCAAATCGGAGAAATTTTCCATAAGTTGAAGGATTTGAATTTCTTGATGCACTGCAGCAATGTAATTACGAAATGGAATGATTCTCCCGACACAGTGTTGCCCACACTTCAGAAGCTTTTAAATGCTGGCCTACGGGTCTGGGTGTTCAGGTACGTCCATTCTCTTCCCCTCATTATCTAGTTCAATACACACGACTTTTCTAGTAGAACGGATGGAGGGACATTATTTTTCTTCCTTGGTCATAATTAATGGAAATTTTATTAGAATCAGATGGAAGAATTGTTGTTATTAGTTCGATTGTCAAAACTATACGAAAATGTGCTTTCATATGACCCTAACAGAAAAAAAAAGTGGTTAATTTGGTTATATATGTACATGAACAGTGGGGACACGGATGGAAGAGTGCCAGTAACATCAACAAGGTACAGCATAAATGCAATGGGTTTAACAGTGAAAGAAGGGTGGAGGGCATGGTTCCTTGATAACAAACAAGTTGGAGGGTGGGTTGAGTCCTACGACCAAGGCCTAACATTCCTTACTGTTAGAGGCGCAGGTCACCAAGTACCCATGTTTGCACCTCACCAGTCTCTTCTTCTTTTCTCTCATTTCCTTAAGGGTACTTCTTTACCCTCATCAATCTAGTCTATCTAGTATAGTTAATAAGGAACTACTATCTCCGTTTTAAAAAAAAAAAGTCTATTTTAAGTGTTAGAATTTGTACTAAACAATAAATTGTCAGATCAGTTCTATTTTTTGGGTGATTCTCTATGGGGAAAACTCATCTGAAATTACTGGAAATGAGTTTGAATCATAGTGGGCATGGTTATGCTATTGTCACCAGTTTACGACTTTAAGTTACTACAAATGTGCTAAAGTATTTGATATTGAATGGTCAACTTGGTCGATTTTTTTTTTTTTTGGGTAACGCCACAACAGAAATGGCTAAACTTTACGTCTACTGTTATGACTTGCAAAAATTATAATGGGGTAAACTGTCAAATTGCTTAAAAAAATGTCGAAAAAAAGATAGTTAAACTCGTACCACAGTGGGGATAAACCTTCGTAGTTGCAAAAAGAACAATAAAAAGAAATGTATTAAAATTTTACATGCTTCAGTGCGGTGAGCGTGGATCGAACACGCGACCTTCAGATCTTCAGTCTGACGCTCTCCCAGCTGAGCTATCCCCGCTTGATGGCAGAGAGTTCGACATTTATTTATATAAATTATATAAAAAAAATCAACCGAAAAGTTTTGGAAAACAATTATATGCGGTGAGCGTGGATCGAACACGCGACCTTCAGATCTTCAGTCTGACGCTCTCCCAACTGAGCTATCCCCGCTGAGTGAGAGCGGTGGTCATTGTGGCTTATTTATAATGTTACAACTCTTCCAGGCAAACCCCATTATATTTTTTCCTTTTTTTCCACCTTAAAGTGGAAAGATCTTATCGTTTTTCAAAAAATTATTTTCCTGCAATGACAGAGGCAGAACGCTTTGAATAATAACACTAAAAACATCATGTGCAAACCACATTTTAATCTATTAAATGCGTTTATCTCTATTATATTGAAGTGTTTACAGTTTAATAAGAGAGATTAACCATTATTATTAACGGAGGACACATTTCGATATAGAAAAGAAAACAACTTTGTCCTTTTACTTTTTAAATACATAATTCCTTATGAAAATTAATTATGGTATTCGAATGAAAAGAGATAGAAGAAATTGAGAGATAATAGACAGTTGATAAGATTATAACTCTGTGTGCTGAGATTCTTTAACATAATAATAGACTAACGGTGATAGAAGAAGTTAAAATCTTATATATGACCTAAAATAACATATTAAAATTAATTTACCACTAGCATAAACAACCGTTTTTTGTTTTCAACTAAGAAATACATTAAATTAAGAATGATTCCAGTGGATTAGTCAGAGCGAATGAGAATGATCCTAGGCCAGATTTAATTAATTGTAGTTCTGAGGAAGAAGAGAATATTTCAAAGTGAGTGAGTGATCCCAGGTATCTGATCAAAGCATTTTGATTTACTTTAATTTCTTACTATTTTATTTTTATTCTAACTAGTCATTGCGTATGCACGTGCATGCATGCATAAACGGATTTAACATTAATTTTGACTGCAAATCTACTCAAAGATTTTTTGAGTTTAGATTAAGCATGTGTTTAAAAAGTCAGATAATGTATGTGTGAGCCACTTTAATTGAGTTGCAAGTTTTTATTTGTCTGGAATAGGATCTTATGTTTCCTAATTAATTTACTCACGCCTTAAACAAAGGAATGTTGATGTTATATATTTCAAAAAAAAAAAAAAAGGAATACTGATAGTATCATGAACAAATTAATTTTGCTTATGAATTATTCCCGCACGTACGTGTATTATTTTACTTAATTAGGATTTATAAATTAAGAATGACTCGACCTTGAGATTCCTCAAACAAACAATCACCAGAGATATTGCATCCAACAGTCTAATTTTAACTACACACCTGGACCTATCAGTCAAACATTTTTCACTCCATTGAATAGATCATAGCTTAAAATTTACCTCTAATTAGACCAAAGTGAATTTGGCATCTTTCGACGATTATATCTATATGCAATTTAAGTCAAAGACTTCAACTTGGAAGAAGATTCAAGGTTTAGACAATTTGTGTGGATCACATAATATCAGTAGTTAATTAAATGAAATTTATCGCAATAATTAAGGAAGGCTTGTTAATGATTAGTTTTCAACGTTTTTATTTTTGGAATATTGCTATAATAGACATTGACAGATCATGTTTTCAACCACAAGATACCCGAAGGCTGGTCCAACACCAAATTGCTATTGGTAGTTTTGTCCATAACCTATAAAAAGTACGTCAAAGTTTTCATTGTAACGCAATTGACTAAACACACAGGCACGTACACATACATCATCTTTTCTGTCTTTGCTTTGTGAAACGATCACTTGCAACTTGTTCTCAAATCACTAACTTTTGAGTAAATTGATTTGTTATAAAAAAAAAAAAAAGAGAGAGAGAATGATTCCGAGGACGTAACATTAATCAAAATTTTATAGGATAAAAAGTATGTACTCTATGTTTAAGAATCATTGTTCGGATCTTTTTTATATATGATATATCAGCTACTGAATAATTTCACGGTATTTGTTCATAGTCTATATAGATGCTCGTTGTTCATTACTCAAAATTTTCTAGGTCTATGAAGTAATAAACCAAAATCCAAAGTTACTTAGAATTTATCTTTAGTTTATCTCTCAAGTATCCAAACATTTAATGGGGGAGATTGTATCTGATGTACAATTATACATACTCCACCCTCTTAATTGCTAAAAAACTAATCGAATAAATTGTAATTATCAAAGGTGGACTCCACAGTCAAGATTAAGCTAAGAAAAATCAAATTTCGGGAATAATTACAAATTAAATTGGCTAACAAACTCACATACATACATGCTGTGATGTGACCAATCTCTTTTGTAGCATGGTCAGCACAAAAATCCAAATGAGATATTTTATAAACGCATGGGGTATGAAAATGAATGTTCTTTCACTATGTGAGTGCGTGTTTTTTTTTTTTTTTCCTTTTCAATTTAATTGCAGGAACTTGCCCTATATTCTTTAAAATTACAAACTATGCTCTAAATTTTGACTAAAAATTAGATATTGATCAAAGATGATACGTCAACATATTGGCAATATGTCAGCGTGCATTTTACGTTTTCTTCTTGCCTATTTAAGGAAGAATAGTCGTAAAAGTTTTCAGACTTTGAAGAGCAATTCATAATTTTGCCAAACCTCCGGGGGGGTTGCGATGATTGGCTCCTTTTTTGTCTCTTTATTTCTTTCCCAATTTTTTTTTTTTAAAAAAATGGTTAAGTATAGAAGAATAAAACAGCGACAATACAGATAATTCTTATCTGTCTTTCAAAGCCTCCCCTTATATATACTATATAATTCCAAATTCTACACTATATATATTGGCCCAGAAGAAAAAAGCTTTTTTGCAATATAGAATAAGACTGGCCGAATAGTTGATAGTAGACTGTAGTAGTTAATAGTATCACTTATTAAGTCCCAAAAAGTTGGCTCCAAAAAGGATGTCTTCTTTTGGGCGCTTTTCCAATCTTCTTCTTGATGTTGCACTTCTGATTCTTGGCTTGTCGGCATTGGGATTGGCCACCGCCCAAATCGACGGGATCGGGGATGTGTTGCGGCAGCAGGCGGCGGACCGGGTGGTTCTGGTTCCGGGACAACCGCCGGTGAATTTCTCGCAGTATGCCGGGTATGTTACGGTTAATGAAAGCCATGGGAGAGCACTGTTTTATTGGTTTTTTGAAGCCACCACAAAGCCTCTAAACAAACCTCTTCTGCTCTGGTTAAATGGAGGTAAGTAGAAGAAATTTTCCGTCATTCTAATTTAACTCAGTATTTTCTTTCCTTGGGTGTATATATTGCGTGCATTGCAAATTAAAGATAATATGTTTTTCGTTTCATTTCCCAGGTTATCCAAAGATTTTATTGTGTTCATATTCTATATTTTGAATAATGATATGGACAATGAATTATCGGTGAAGCATATAATTCAGTAACACTTATGTTATACAACGACCTTTAATTAATTAATTCCTTGTATTATGATATTCTAGGTGGTTTTGTTGATTATTTATTATTTTTGTCAACTCACTCATGATGTATGGAAGCTTGATTATTTTGTGTATGTGTGTGTGTGTGTTTTCTCAAGAGATGGAAACGAAAACAACCTTTCAAAATATTTTGGTGACAAATTTGTTGTGAGGTATTGTCTATTATTCCATCTAGTCTTAATTATAAGATTCAGAAAATGTATTGTTTTTTGGCCATTCGTTTTTGTTTATTTTAGGTCAGTATATGATGAACGATACCAAAAATGTGTAGATTGTACATCACATAATTCACAGTCGCATTTATCGTTAACCTATATAATAAAATTGAAGAAGAGGAGAAGAGCTTGGTCAAAAAATAGTGCGGGAAGAAAGTAGAATGGTAGCTAGCTAGTTCTGGTCCATATTCATGGTTACGAACATGTTTAATCCGTCAATGTTTCAACGTCTTGGTGCAATACGTAGTTTGACTGAAACCTAATAATTGCTCCAAAATCGAATTGTTTATCTAAGGGTTGATTTTGTCGACTTCCTATCCTATCTAAATAGTAAATTTATTTAGTGAACTGATTTAGCTAGTGTGACTAATGTGATTATAATGAAAGACACCGTGAATATCTGTTGTTGTGATATAAATGTTTAATGGGTTGAATACATTAATTGCATTTTAACATGTGTTACGTTAATTACGAAATGATTTTATACTGTAATAATTAAATTCAGTATTTGTAATTATATTATAATATATATATATATATATATTTTTTTTTGTGAAGTTGTATGTAAGATTTTTCTTTTCGGCCCATAGAAATAAATGGTTTGGGGAGAAAAAAACGAAATCCTAGGCCGCTTAACTCAACAACATTGACACATGATGGGATGGAAACGTACCTTTCATGTTGCAATAACATTGTTGTTCAAGAGCTGTTCTAGCCTTGCACCAAAGACCAAACAGATCATTAATTAATCAATTCGAAATGGGCAATTCATTTTGTTATTTTGGCATTAATGTCCGTCTCCACTTGACATTTTGTCAAACAAGTCATTTTCTCATAAATTCCCCTAACAACCTTTGTTCTTCCCAATTTGTTTGTTTTGTTGTTGTTGAGAAAAAAAAAAAGAAAAAAAAAAAGAAGCTTATAGCATTTTATATGGAGGAAGTGTGATTCGGTATGGTGAATACCTAGCCTTTTGGCTTTTGATCGAGTTTTGCATACATTTGCTTTTATCAGTTGTCAAAAAGAAAAACAAAGTCCACATCATAAATCAGCGGGGAAGCTAGGATTTTATGATGGAAGAGCGAAATGATTAAAATTTTAGTTTGCAGGAACGAAAATCTAAAAAAAAAAAAAAAATTCTATTTACATTAAAATTTGAAACCACTTTTTAAGAAAAAATTTCGACAAGAAGGACGACTGCCGCTGTTGGTCCCCTTTTAGCTCCGCCACTATCATAAACTATAAATTATATTGAAAAAAATATAATTTATGATGTAGATCATTTCGGAACAAAGCGATAATTGTTTTACATCCACTATTCATTAATCATGATGATCGCTTGCAGTATTTGGAGAAGTGGGTAATGACATAATGAGTGGTTTTTCTAAAAATAACAATAGTAACTACTATTAACTTTTTAATTTCTTTAAGCACAAGGAAAGTGGATAAGCAGTTGTGGCAAAAGAATAATCATTAATCCTTTTGCTTGCTTGCTTGCTTTTTGTTCAACTAGTATGGATGACTTCAAACATAACTAATTTTCTGATTGAGTTTGTCTGTTTGAGTTTATGATTTTGTGCTTTTTCTCTCATTTCTGACGTTTAACAAGAACGTAAAGATTACATTATCGAGAGGGTAACATAAAAGTATGGTAAACTTAATAGTATAAATTTACTTTTTCACTGGGCCAGGCTGATAAAAATTCCGAAATAACCTGAACCCTTAATTACAGGCCCAGGTTGCTCATCAATTGGATATGGGGCAATGGAGGAGTTAGGCCCATTCTTGAGCAGGAAAGGCAAACCAGAGCTCCGGTTCAACAAACAGTCCTGGAATCATGGTATCACATCCTTGCCACAACAATTCTTATTTATTTATTTTTTCTTTGTTTTTTTTTTTAAATAAATAATGTAAATTGACTAACTGTTTTTCTTAATTTTATTTAATAGTAATTCTATACAGTGACTTTATTCACGTCTATGTTAAGTGTAACTACTTACATTACAATATATATATTGTGTTTGTGAAGCTGCAAACTTGCTTTTTTTGGAGTCCCCTGTTGGAGTAGGATTCTCATACACTAACACCAGCAAGGATATCAAGGAGCTTGGTGATAATATTACTGGTAATTAGCTCGTATCATCAACCGCGGGAAAATACACACACATATACTTTTGTCCCCCAAAAAAAAAAGAAAAAAAAGAAAAAAAAAAGAGATAATAATGTTGATCCTTTGTGATGAACAGCTCAAGATTCCTACGTATTTCTGGTGAATTGGTTCAAAAGATTCCCACAGTTCAAGTCCCATGACTTTTACATTGCTGGTGAAAGCTATGCCGGTAATCTTCATTCTGATCATTTCTCGTATAGATATAACACTCTCTCTCGGTATTTATTTTTTTTTTTGGTCGTATATATTTTATTTTTATGTACATGAACCATGAGATAATTGTAAACGGTATGCATCTTTTTATTTGGCTTGTACAGGGCACTATGTACCCGGGTTATCAGAGGTCATATTTGACAATAACAAAAAGCTTCCCGAAAATGAACGCATAAACTTCAAAGGTTTCCTTGTAAGTTGATCGAATTATTATGTATATATTTGCTCACATATTTATATGACTAACTAATTAATTATAAAGGCTAAAATTCCATCTATTTTCACAATGAATCATCTGATTTGAGTTGAATGTGGACGAATGCAGATAGGAAATGCGTTAATGGACGATGAAACAGATCAAAAAGGGATGATTGATTATGCATATGATCATGCCGTCATCTCAGACCATTTGTACGAAGAAATTAAAAAGGAGTGCAATTTCAGCCTTGAACATCCTTCTAAAGCTTGCAATGATGCTTTGGATAAATATTTTGATGTCTATAAAATCATAGACATGTACAGCTTATATGCACCCACCTGTGTTGATACCAACTCCACCATCACAAGACAACTTCCTGCCATCCATGGCGCATCTCCCAAGCTATTTTCCAAGATTGTAAGTTTTGTTTTGTTTTTTTCTTTAATTAGATTTGTAACGCCTACATTTACCTAAAATGGTTAACCCAAGTTGTTAATAGGCGACGGGAATATGTAAAGTTTAACCCCAGATTAATACTTTAATTAGTCAATGAGCGATTGGAAAAGCCAATATTAACAGCTCGATATATATATATAAATACAGGAGGGATGGCACAGGAAACCAGCAGGGTATGATCCATGTATCTCAGATTATACAGAGGTATATTTCAACAGACCAGATGTTCAAAAGGCACTCCATGCTAATGTTACCCGTATCCCTTACCCATGGACTCATTGCAGGTATCTTGACTTATTGACCTAATAAATTTTTCTAAGCAAATGAAAATACATCAACCTTGAAAATTAATTAATTAATCAAATGGTACTCATTCTGTCTTCGTCCCAAAATGATATGATCATCCTGTGTCGTCAAATTGGCTACTATAACAAACAAGACAATTATTTTGGGACAATAATATGTGATATTAGAAAAGGAAAGTATCTAAGTATGATTATGTTTGATTTAATTCTATGTAGTGATAACATAACATTCTGGAAAGATGCCCCTGCATCAATGCTCCCAATCATTCACAAACTTGTTAAAGGTGGTTTGCGAGTATGGGTTTTCAGGTAACTGACTTTATTTATTATTATTATTTTTAATCTTATGTAGCACAAATTAAAAATTTTCATCGTTTCAATAGGGATTTACATAAATGCTTTTTTGGAAAAAAAAAAGAAGAAAAAGAAAATAAAGCTGCAAATATTAAATCATTTATATTTTTTTTGAGCGCAGTGGAGATACTGACGGTAGAATCCCAGTAACATCAACAAGGTATACACTTAAAAAACTTGGTCTCAAAATCAAGCAAGATTGGACTCCTTGGTACACTTTCCACAAGCAGGTAACTCCCTCACTTTCCATTTTAGTAAAACAATCCAAATATGATTCACCTACGTCATTAATTACAAAGTTTTCCTTGTACTTTAATTAATTGTTCTTTTGGAACCAATATATTTTAGGTGGGAGGATGGACAGTGGAGTATGATGGATTGACATTTGTAACAATAAGAGGAGCTGGGCATCAAGTTCCCACCTTCAAACCCAAACAAGCCCTTCAGTTAGTCAGGCATTTCTTGGCCGATACTAAATTGCCAACTAAATCATTCTAACCATCGAGTTTGTTTAGCCTTTTATTATGTAATAATTCTGTCCAAATATAGTCAGGGAAAAAAAGAAAGAAGGAAAAAAGAATTTGTCTTGATTTGAAACAACATTATAATAATCCCAGGAAAATGAAGGTCGATCACAATTCATATTCATATGTACGCGCCTCCTTTGATTTGATGTTTAATTAATTAGTGAGTGCCCTAGCTATGCAAATGTTTAAAACCAAATGTTATCTCCAAACACCGCCTTCATCTTAATTTGGTCATAACATCTCATTCACTAATTATTCACAAATCCTAATTTTTAGTGATAAAGACTAATAGAGAAATATATATATATATATATATATATATAAAATGTTACGGAATCAAGTGGCTGACTTGGGAAAAAGAGGACAAAAATATCAACAGTACAGTACAATAACAAATTATGGAAATAAGTTAATTAAAAAATGAGTAAATTTTATTCATGGAATGCAAGGATCATTTCATAGAAACCAGCACGAGGTGCACGAGAAACAATTGATCACAAATCCATGCCACGCTTAGTTATTACTATATTCAACAATTACAGATCCAAACAAATTAACATCCATCTATGCTTTCTTCTCTTCCTGTTTTTCAATTGAAGAATATTGATAACATTTATTTATTTGGCCTTCGTCCAAGAGCTGATCCAAGGAGTTGAACAAGTTCTTTGGTTGACAAGTTGAAATCTTTTCTCATCTGCAAACAGAAAGAAGAAGAAGAAAGAAAGAAAATATACGGAATTTGTTAATCATGCATGTTAGTAAAAATTTTGAAGTTAATTAAAACTGAAGTATTGACATATTAGACATGAACATGCAAATGTTTGTTTGTTTGTTTGTTTTTTTTTTTTTCCGTCCCAAAACTTTTGTCGTTTAAATTTTTATTTCTAGTATAAATTAAACTACAATTGAAAATCGAAACTGGACAATAATTTTGAAACGAAGAGAGTAATAAAAAGAAAATGTTCACCTCAGTGATAATGGTGATATCAAGTGCCAAGCTTCCAAAGGGTGCAACATTTGTGCTGGTAACAGCCAAATTGAACTTCTCCAACTCATAAAGGATTTTAGACAGCACCCCTTTCTGTTTCTCACACAGTATCCTTAGCAAAACATGTTTGTCACGAAATTTAGCTTCAATCTCAGGAAGTGGCTGCTCAATAATATTTGAGCTACTTCCAACAACAACTTGATCACCATCATTATTTGAATGATGATCATCATCATCTTCATCAATCACGACCTTAGATTGCTTCACAAGCACCATAGATTCCATGGTCTGCGCCATGGCTTGTTCCTCTAACGCCTTTTCGCGCTCTTTCAAATGCTTCAAGTAGTTGATTGTATCCCCAAGAACAGATGTTTTGTCCGTCTAAAACCATAATTAACCAAACAAAACAAAAACAATTTAATTATAATTAATTTAAAAATAATTATTTATATACTCCTTCAGTCCCAAAAAAAATAATTCACACTGAGTTTTCAATTTGTAATAAAATCAGTAAAACTCAAAACTCAATGTGGACTACTTTTTGGGATAAAGTGAGTACTAAAGATGATATATAACTACTTCATTGATTGAGAGATTACTTTCTTGAGGCCAGGAACAATGGATGAAAGAGCTACAAATTGTTGACTGAGCTGCTCGCGGCGCTTTCTTTCTGCTATGATGTGATCATAATTCTGTGAAGGCGGCCTAATGCGCCGGGGAGCAGTTGGTTTCTTCTTTGTATGATCAGAAACTGAAATAATATTATCATCCTCCATGTTGTTGTTGTTGTAATTCATTGCTCCAATAATATTGATATTCTCTCCGGGTGCAGTAGTAGTAGTAGTAGAAGTACTATTTGAGTCGCCAAATGTGAGAAGCATTGGAGAAGGGGTTTTCTTGTGATTTTGGGATGGAGTTTCCATGGCATTTTGAGGGAGAGTTTCTACGGTTGATGATGCAGATAATAAGCTGGTTGTGGAGCTGTTTCTTGGGATCATTATATGATCTTGGGGTAAACAATTATTATGGAAGAATGATTCTTCCACTCCAAATGCTGATAATTCTTCATTGTCAAAATAATCTGTGATGCTGTATTGCTGATCTTCAGTGATCACAAATGGATCATCCCTTCCCTGAAATTTCATGAATTATAAAATGAAAACACAGCCAAAAAAAAAAAAAAAACCCTATGCATGGTTTAATTTTTTGCTAGGGTTTAATTCTTCGTTTTTACTCCTGGACTAATTAATCAAAGAGTTCAATACAAATGAAAAAATAAATCAGCTAAATTCCTTAGAAAATATAAGAGAAAATACTAGGCTGAGTATGGACAATATATATATATACCAGTTCAGAAAAATATGAATTCTCCTCCATGTCCATCAATGCTTGATAAACTGCAAAAAGCTAGTTAATTATACCAAGAAAAATGGAACTAGCTGGAAAAAAAAAGAAAGAAAGAAAGGAAAGAACTGAAAATGATGATCAAGATCAATGATGTTTGATGCAAAAACCTTGGAATGATATATATAGAGATAAGAAGTTGTAGACATTGTGTCTGGCACAATTCTTGGCCACTCTTATTTTCTAGGAGAATATAGTCCAAACGTTAATGCAAGAAATGAGTTTTTTTGGGGAGAATTGATAAATTCACACTCCAAAGTTCAAAGCAAGCTCTCAAGGCTCCATTCACAGAGCTTTGCCAACCCTAATGGAGTGTTGCAGGTTAACACTGGAGTGCTGACAACATTAAAGCTATATATACCATTATTGTTGTTCCTTTCCAATTTTTATGGATTTAGTCCCTCAACTTTGATCATGGTGTTTTTTCGTTCATTAATTTTGTTAATGTGTTTCATGTGAATTATAGGCTTTTTAATCTAACGTTTCAAATTTATCGCTAAACAGGTACTTTGAAGCAAATTTGGGTGCTCGACTAATACGAGTGGCGACCAGAGATGAAAACATTTTGTAACAGTAATACTAATTCTTTATAGGTATTCTTATTCAATCGATTAACAACTTACGTTGAAGATTATTCAGAGTCGAGTAGATTTGCACATTATACCTAGCTAGTTCTCATCCATCAGAAACCTTAATCTATCGTCACCGTCCATTTCCAAACTCCACTCTATTGCAGGTTTGAAATGGAAGAAAAAGCGCAAAACAATTCTAGAAACGGTAGTTTGTCTCATTCTCTGAGAGGGAAGAAAAACTCCAAATTTAACTTGTCCATTTTTAATCATTTTGGGACAAACATATTTTAAACTATTCACATGAGGGAATGAGGAACTATTCACACACAAATATTTTAAACTAAAACATTTAGTGGCATGGATTTTCCACCATTGCTGGTGAAGATATATAGGACACATTAACAACTATAAAATTGTTACAAATTAATTCTCTTTAAAAAAATTTCAGGCTTTAACAGTAACTTATCAGTATTTGTTGCTAATGATGAGGCGTTTAGTATTTTTTTTTTTAACTATTAAAAACGTCACGTTTTCATTATAGAAGATTATACATAATAGAAAGGTAAACGATACTAATTAATCAGAAATCCTAATTAACTTGTACGAGTATATTTAATTTTAGATTCTAGAAAAAGAATAAATAAATATTTCATTCATAGCAACATGCAAGACTTTCTTTATAAAAATAATGAATAACATATGTCTAGAGTCTTTTTTTTTTTTTTTAATTTCGAAAAGGTGCAAGAAAAAGCAATCCTGAGCATTATTCTATGTTAGTTAAGAAAAAATGGCAAAAGCATACCATAAAGGCTTAAACATCTCATGAAGCCCTATAATCTTTAAGCGTCTACTAGGCCAATTAGGAACTGTGTAGAAGGATTCCGGAAACATCCAATTATCTTTTCTTGTTAATTTAATTTCTTGTCTAGATCAATTAATGGTACGAGAAATTTTCCTGATCAATTTTGCGAAGTAAAATTTTTAGGGGGTTTGATCGTGTTGTATATATATATATTTTCAGGTGGAAGGTTGGGTTGAGAACATATAATTAACATTTAATCAAAATTCAAATTAATCTCGACTAAAACAATATAAAAACCTTTATTTTTGTGATCTTACAATATTTTAATGAGAAACAGTGACTTATTTTTAAGACTAGCTTCATTTTATGGAAAACTGATGTCAAATGTTAAAATAGTTTTAAGTGATTTTTTTTCTCTTGCAAATATATATATATATATATATATATATATTATGCAGTATCGCGTAAATTAGTTGTTGAGTGTTAGGTCATTATCAGTACAGTTTAACTGCTAATCAGTTCATTAGCAATACTTAATTTTATCATCATTCATTATCAATGTACGACATTCCAGACTTTACATAATCACACCTAGGTTTCATTCTTTCTTAAACAAAAAGTACAAAGCTACAAATCAAATGAAACAACATTCAAATGGTCGTTAGTTGACCCAAATTCTACCCGCCCAGAATCATGTACACGTGGACAGAGTATTTATCTGCAGAAGAAAATGAAACCAATCAAAGATGAGGCTAACCAAAAATGTTGTCTAACTACATTAATTTGATCTTAACTATATATATATATATATATATATATATATATATATATTGTTAAGAGAATCATCATGAGATAAATTTAGACAGATATATTACATTTGGTAAAATTAAAATTTTATTTTTTATTTATTGCAGGGTGTCTACCGTCGACAACAATGACTAATCCCTCTCCTCACTCATGGTAGGCACCTCGATAGGTGAGAGAGCTGGCCAAAGAATTTAAGGTTGCTCCATGCCTATGACGAGGTTCAAATCATCGATCTATGGTTAAGGGTGGAGGAGTTCTTACTACTCCATCACAACCCTTTGGTTGTAAAATTAATTTTCCTTCGACCTTAATAAATCCTTTTTGGGTTACAAAAGTTTGATAATTATTCTTTGTCTATACATACATATTTCTGAATTCGAGACTTGGTATTAGCAACTCTAAACCTTGATCGCTTGTTGGCCACCATACAAATACACATCTTAGCTTAGTAATAATATTATCAATTCCCAACCCAAAAGCTAAAATAAAATCATCATCACCCCAACAGAATGTTTACAAGTTTACATACACCTATTTAATTAACACGCACAAGCAAAAACAACAAGGAAACGTGTGCCACATAAAATATGCACTGTAGAAATTGTGGATTCTAATTAGGTTAACTATCACCAACCAACTTTCTCTCAGTTAACACTTATATTACTTTGAGTTATAGTTAACCCCAAGTGGAAGGAATTAAGCCCTATGAAACCACGAAACCTTTTTTGACAAGAAAGTGCACACAAATTCACTTTTGCTTTCATTCATTCATTCATATCAAACTGATTAATCATTAGTCATTAGTCATCAGTCATCACCTTTTTAAGACAAAGTTGCCTAGACTACCATTTCATTTCAGCTCACCAAATCAAAACTGCAATTTTTGTAAGTATAAGCACGTCAAGAAATACTTGAGAAAGATTCACAATTAAGCAGCACCATCACATCAGCCACATAATATAACTCATGTTCAGTAGTACTTCTTTCAATTCAACTAATTACCATATCATGCATTATTCCTCCTTCCTCTCCATGAGTCATTCTAAAACCATGAGTTCCTCCAACTTGACTTCTTCTTCTTCTTCTTCGTTTTCTTCCTCTCTTTCTTCGCCGTTTTTCATTCCCATTGATCTTGCATATTCGTCGATGAATTATTTCCAGGGCCTGTTTTATATGCCTGCTGACGTTCAGATGTTGGAAATCATACTAGCCCTGATGGTTTTCATTGTGATACATTCCCTGAGGCAGAGAAAGAAACAAGGCTTGCCCAATTGGCCTGTTGTTGGGATGTTGCCTTCTTTGATTGTTGGTCTTCAAGGAGACATGTATGAATGGATTTCAGGCGTTATTTGTCGCCAAAACGGCACTTTTATTTTCAAAGGTCCCTGGTTTACTAACTTGAATTGTGTGGTGACATCTGATCCTCGAAACCTAGAGTATCTTCTCAAGACTAAGTTCTCCAATTTCCCCAAAGGCGAATACTTTCGCAACACTGTTAGGGATCTTCTTGGAGATGGAATATTCAGCGCAGACGATGAAATCTGGCATCGACAGAGGAAGACGGCCAGCCTGGAATTCCATTCTGCCAAGTTTAGGAAGCTCACTACTGATTCGTTGCTTGAGTTGGTTCATTCCAGGCTTCTACCTGTTTTGGAGGATTCGGTTAAACAATCATTACCTGTTGATTTGCAGGATGTTCTCCTCAGGCTCACTTTTGACAATGTTTGCATGATTGCATTTGGTGTTGATCCGGGCTGTTTACGCCCTGGATTGCCTGAAATACCGTTTGCTCGTGCTTTCGAGGATGCGACTGAAGCAACCATTATGAGGTTTGTTACTCCCACGCTTGTGTGGAAGGCGATGCGATGTTTAAACATCGGGACAGAGAAAAAACTCAGGGACTCAATCATGGAGGTGGATAAGTTCGCGGAGCAAGTCATCAGGACAAGGAAGAAAGAACTTGCTTTACAGTCAGAAAATGAAAAGCAAAGGTCAGACATATTGACTGTCTTTATGGGATCCAAAGATGAACAAGGAAGGCCATTTTTGGATAAAATCTTGCGGGATATATGCGTGAATTTCATACTGGCTGGACGAGACACATCTTCAGTTGCACTTAGCTGGTTTTTCTGGCTGCTGAACAAGAATCCAGATGTGGAAGACAGAATTTTGGCTGAAATCAGTCAAATTTTGAGTGACAGAAAAGACGAGAAGGACAAAGTACAGGATCTTGATAATGTAATCTTCAAGCCTGAGGAAGTAAAGAAGATGGAATATTTACAAGCTGCAATATCAGAGGCTTTGAGATTGCATCCATCAGTTCCAGTTGATCATAAGGAGGTAAGCCTTTCTCTGCTAGTTACTTAAAGCAGTCTTCTTAATTTTTATCACCATTTCCTCTCATTGCTCGAAATTGCTTAGATACTTCACCGCTTTCAGATGTACACACACATAATTCACACGCATTTAGTCGAAAACTCGAAATTTATTTTCTAAAAGTCCTGGTTTACAAACATTGCTTATTAAAAGTGGACATGACAATTCAAAGAAGTTAGGTTTATTCATCAACACAACATGGTTCCACCTAGGTCACTGAAAACTGGCCTTTCTTTTTAATTTTTCATTTGTATTTTGGAAGTCCCAAAGTACAAAATTTAAAACCCAGTAACACATCAACAAGACAACACTTCACGTAGAGTTAGGTGGACTAAACAGAACACATGTATCAGTAGATGTAGCAGTAGTTATGGGTGTGTACTGGACAATACCATGAAATAAATATTGATCACCTAACTTTCGATATACTTATCTGAATTCAAATAATCCCTGGTTAAAATGTATTTTCATTTTATCATTACTGATGATGAGATTCATGCAAAATGTAATCTAGGTCCTTGAAGACGACGTTTTCCCAGATGGTACAGTGCTGAAGAAGGGAACCAAAGTGATTTATGCGATTTATACCATGGGAAGGATGGAAGGAATATGGGGAAAAGATTGCAGAGAGTACAAACCAGAAAGATGGCTTAGAGATGGGAGGTTCATGAGTGAATCTGCATACAAATTTACAGCTTTTAATGGAGGACCTAGGCTGTGTTTGGGCAAAGACTTTGCTTATTATCAGATGAAATTTGCAGCTGCCTCCATTTTGCTGCGATACAAGGTGAAAGTTGTGGAGGGTCATCCCGTGACACCAAAGATGGCATTGACCATGTACATGAAGTATGGGCTTAAGGTGAAGCTCTCCAGGAGAGATGATCGACACAAGTATTTCAAGCTTAAAGAGTGAAGAAAACGAAAAATCTTCCCCGACAAATACATATGATGAATGATTCTGAGATGCTAGCTAATTATTATGCTTTCTCTTGAATTTTTTTTCTTTTTTTTTTCCGGGTTTGTTATATTGTTTGGGAATTTACAGGATTATAGAACAATGGGTGGTTGTTATATATTATTACTAGATGACTTACTATTGTTTAAGAGATTTGAAGAATTCATATTGGAGGTAGGTGAGGAAAAAGGTTATCAGTTAGGAAAAGGGAGTGATATGAATAAAGTTTTTATGTCATTGATTGTTGAGTATATAATTACTCTGACCAATTCATTTAATTTTTATAAATAATTATTTACAAAAGTTATTTTCATTCGACAATCCCGCAAAATTGCAGTCTTTGTTTGAGCAAATTTTCGAAAATCTAATATGACGGTTTCAACTTTGCAAATAGTTTATCAAAACCCATGTGTGTGTGTGATCAGACAGCCAAGGAAATTGAAAAGCAGAAGATGTCCATGGGACAAGAATGCTTAAGCACAATACAATAACTTCATAACTTGTTTACCTGTAGCACGAGGATTAAGACTTCGTCTACAATGAAGATAGTACATCAACTGAAACAGGATTGAGAAAATGCCAAACTGAGTTTTTAATTCTCACCATCTTTCTTGGTTCACTTGTACAGCTCCTTAAATCTTTTACAGGCTTCCAATACGTTCTCCCTGTTTCCAAAGGCACTGACCCTAACAAAACCCTCGCCAGCAGGTCCAAAACCACTGCCTGGAGTAGTTACGACATGGGTTTTTTCAAGAATTTCCCCAAATACCTCCCACGAGCTTCGTCCTGGGAAATGCACCCACACATATGGAGCATTTACACCTCCATACACATTAAATCCAAGAGAGTTGAATGTGTCCATAATAATTTTAGTGTTTTCCTTGTAGAAACCAACCACTTCATGCATAGCCTGCACATATATGAGAGAAATCTGTAAAACACAAGGAAAACCAGCACACTGCTTTCCAATAATTTTTCTTAACCAAATTGTCAATACAAGCAGATAGTTTTAGTATAGTTATCAAATGATTGAACCTAAGAGATCACACAAACCTTGATGCCTTCGGGTGAAAGGCAAGCCAAACCACCGGCTTGAGCAATGTTGGAAGCACCATTGAATGCAGTACAAACAATACGGTTAAAGTCGTTAGCCACTGGAAAACCATCTGAGTATTTTAGTTGTTTTGGAACAACTGTCCAACCTAAGCGTACTCCCGTGAACCCAGCATACTTAGAGAATGAAGAAACTTCTAAAGCAACCTGCAACAGGATACAACCAATGAAAGAGATACAAATTTCAGGCAAACATCAGAGACCAGTGACCAACTTACTTCTTCAGCTCCAGGAATCTCAAAGATGGATCGCGGTTTATCCTCCGACACATACATCGCATATGCAGAATCATAGACGATGATAGATCCATTGTCCTTTGCAAACTGTACCAATTGAGTTAGTTGTTCACGTGATGCAGCTGAACCAGTTGGGTTATTGGGCGAGCAAAAGAAGATGATGTCTGTCCGAGCAACATTGGACAAATCTGGGAAAAAATCATTTTCCGGAGTGCATCTCATGTACTCAATCTTCGCAAACCTTTCCACATCCTTTTGGTACAGCCCAGTTTGGCCCAAAATAACACTTGAATCGACATAAGCCTGGTGTAGAAAACAAGGACTTCACATAATAAGACTTGAATCCAAATAGAGCCGACCTCACACAGGCCCAGCTAAGGGGATGTTTTAAAAGATTATATCTTCTTGAAAAAATCTTACCGGGTACGATGGGTCTTGGACAGCCATGCTTACTTTAGACCCAAAAAGGACCTTTAAAAAGAAGAAAACAAGATTTAAGTCAATCAGTAATGCTTATAAATAGATTTCCAGAAAAAACCTGTCAAACGTACAGGATCAAAACAAACCTGAAGGCGGGATATATCACTCTTAGCACCATCAGAAACAAAAATATCATCTTCCTCAATGCCAAGATTTTGATAGAATGTTGAGGCAATAGCAGCTCTCAATTGCTGTATGATTCAATAGACAAATTAGTTAATACTTTACTCGAAGGGTACTAGTTAAGTATAAAGGTCTGTTTTGACACTACAGAGAACATAGAATTTAGTAACTGGGTCTAAATTTGACTGCTGTAGCCTGTGCGAACATTGTCAACTTCATTTCCGTGATGACCTTTATGCAGAAAGAAACAATTACGTGGAGAGACAAGTAGAATGTCACGTATTTAACTAGAGTTTACTCTATAATAAAGCTACTTTCAATAGCTAAGCAGATGGAAGATATAAGAAAGTACCTTTTCACCTTGCTCAGCTCCATAACCACTATAGCCCTTTTTGGTGGATAATGCTTTTGCTCTCTGCATCGACCGAAGAAAATCAAAATAAAGAAGATATTAAAGGCTGCAATTGAACTTTGGTGACAGAACTTATAAGGGCATATCCAGGATTGGTTCATCCGAGAAGAATCTTTTTCTCAAAATCCACTCAAACAATGGGAAGATTAATTTACGTTCAACTTTGACTTCAAATGATTACCTCTGCCATGGCTGTTGTGATCACTTCCGGAATACGTTCAGTAGTGTCACCAATTCCAAGGGGTATAACCTTGGCATCAGGGTACTTCAACATATGTGCTGCCCTCTTTCTAGCGATCTGAGTTACAAACAAAATGTATTCTTAATAATGAATAAGAGTTAACTTCATATCAGCACACTGATGATACAAAAGTGACTTGATAAAGGTCCAAATAAAGAAAATGTGTTCGAAAATAAACTCCTGCATGTATAGTGGAGAGGGATATATACAAATATATGCACACATTCAAGCATATATCACACTAGTGAAAGCCTAGTATCCTGCTATGGTTATACATGCCAAAGGCGAGAAAAATGTTTTGGAATAACAAACAAGAGTTAATGTAGACACAAACCTCAGGGAATAAATAGCCAGCTTGAAGCTTAGCTAAGTTTTCATTACGAGCAACCTTTGTGGTGTAAGCTACATACAACAGCAGAAAAGGTGTTAGTTTTCTAGAAACAAATAACGAATCTGCTTGTCTGCGCAAAAGTATCTATATCATCTCATGGAGTTTCATTTGCATTACAGCATACTCCAGAAATAAGTACTTAGATGGCTATTGTACAAGTGAAAAAGCATACAACACAATACTTCCAATCCCGTGCTCATAGAGCAATCTTTAGAATAGAAAACACCAGTCCTTAAAAAAAAAAAAAAAAAAAATTACCATAAACTGAAATGAACACTCTTTTTAAGTGTACATCTCTACTTTTCTAGCTAAATCACTATCCTTACAACAAGTCCAACTTTCAGCAACCCTCTGATTACGCCATACAACCAACATTGTAACACTCTAATTCTAATTAACATCTCATTCAATTAATGGCATCAAAATGTTTGAAACACCAAAGAAGGAACATGACATTATTCAAATAACTAAAACAACAAAAGACAGGAAACAGAGAGGGGAAAAACCAGTTTGCTCAACCGAAGGAGAAGCAACGCATTTCACTGCAACCCTGCTACTGCCTTTCCCTGGAAGATAAACATTCTGCATCCTGCCAAAAGTTCAAACTTTCCCCACATTATCCATCAAAACCGAAATGTTAAACACAGTAAGAAACCGAGGATTAAGAAGTACCTGATTTCCGTGAATTTATTTTGGCCTATGAGAGATGACGCCGAGGAAGAAAGCGCCGGGGAGAAGGTGTGATGAATAACCGAATTCATCTCTGTGCTTTCCCGGTAATGTTATTGCGGCGGCAAAGCAGAAGAAAAGGCGGCGGCGCCGGCTGCCACCACAACTAAAAGCTTTTTGGTGGAACACGAAGAACTCTCAAACAGTGAAGATGAAAGTCGGAGAGATGATGGATACTGTTTGCCCTGAGTATAATATAGTCAACGTCTCAACGAGGCACTGAAGGGCCAATTTCGTCAATTTGTTTGAGCTCCTTATTATGGTAAGAACCTATGACTTAGAATTAATTACATTTTGCCCCTCAAATTCTGTCTTATGACATAATCCCCATTTGAGAATACAACCAAGTCCAACACCTCCCACTTTCCCATTTTAAGTATTCACTCTGTCCTAAAACTATTGTCCAAATTAGATTTTCACTTTTAGCAATTTGTAATTAAAAGAATAATTTAAATTGGACAATAATTTCTGGACAAAATGCATAATTTATACGAAGTAAGTAATTGTAGTCGAAATATTCATTACAACACAAATATGAATGTTGATTTTACCCATGTTAACATATATTATTAAAAAATGGCTCATTATGTTGAGCTAGAACATTACAACAAACGGCTCTTAAAATGTGATGCAAAAATTTAACTTTAGGGAAGGAAAGAGGCAATAGGAAATGATACAATCCATTGCCATCCTATTCATGCCTTTCCATCCCATTCCTTGTAGAACTCTTCCAAGAATTCCTCCATAAACTTATGCCTTCTTTCAGCCCTTCTCTGCCCAGCCTGACATTAAAATTCAACAATGTTCATAATACAAATCCATGGCATTAGAACCAAATCTCAGAAAGGAAGTGAAATCTGTTAATATTCTAATTATTGCAGTGACAGAAGTTTAGAGACATGCAAGGTTTGGAATGATAAACCAGACATGGAATACTGACATCTACACAGAAAAATAGATTGTCTTGAACCTTTGTTTTCATCAAGTCCTTCAACTTTAATAGCTTTTCATGAAAATGGTTGATAGTTGTCTGCTCTTCTTTCTTCATGTAATCTTCCTTCGATAAAGTTGATCGAGGCAGGACATGAGGGTCGTGGAGCACTCTGTGCCTGCTTCCACCAAATGTAAAGCAGCGGGCGATTCCTAACAAAGATAATGAAAGATCCTCAGAAGTTTGAAGTGAACTAAAAACAAGCCTCCTCAGCAGCAGTTTATTCATCAGAAACAGCTAGAGTTACGCTTCACAGACTTTTCAGTTATAGGTTGGACATTCTGCCATACCATATGAATGTTAGCAATGTTTCACCAGTGTCACAGCAGTCACAAGAGGCATTTCATGGGATAAATTCACGATCCCTATTATTATTCATCCGTGCATATGGAACTACCTCTAGATAAGACTTATCTCAAAATCAAATTTACCAAAGCATAAAGGAAAAAGGGAGGCAATACAAGCACTTGCATGGACAGGAGAGGGGAAAAAAAAAGCTCTTAATATGAGATAGATTTCATCAGTTAATAAATTACTCTGCTGTAATTTAAAAAATACCGATAGCTCCAATAGCATCAAGTCGATCAGCATCTTGCACGACTCCAAATTCTACAGAGTCCTTCCCATTTTGAAGCCCTTCGAGTTCTTCCTTAAAGCCTGAATAAAAATGGCAAAGACACGAGCATACAAATCACATAATGCATGATTAGGACAATAAGGCATGGGTTTTTCAAACATTCAACTGATTACAGCATGACCAGAAAAGGTCTACCAGAATAAACACCATTCAATTATTTCCAATTATTTTGTCACATGAAAGAACTCCGACTTATAAGCCGATTTTCTTAAGGCATCTACTGGATTTCAGTATCTTTGTCCAACTCCAGATTTTATTCTGCCAAAGTGAAGAAGGCAACGGCAATGATTCTTTTTTTTTAAAAAATAATAATTATTATTATTTTGAAATGGTAAACACAAACATTTAACCGGAAGGTTTTAGCAAGAATGCTGAAAATTTACAGTGACATGGTTGTAAGAGATTTTACCCATTCTTTTTATGATGTTCAGTATCTTCATTCTCTTGTTGTCATTCACACTCTCATCCTGAAGAAATTCTTCAACAATGTTCTCCTCTGATGCATCCCTTCATACCCAAAAAAATGCAATCTTTTAAGTTTAGGTAAGAAATCAGCTGATGTTAGAACTCCTTAGGATAATGTTCTCCTCTAATGTTGTAAAAAGAACTCAAAATCACCAGCAGAATCAACTAAACTTGCCAATCTCAGTCAATAGTTAGTGCCAAGATAGCGAATATTTAGATACAAACCTTTTGTACTTGTAGTCACCTGCATTTGGCGGCCAATGAAACCAAACTTTGATCAGTACGTTTAGATTAAAGGAACTGAAACCAAACATCAATTCCAAAACACAAGCACCATACTCAAATTGAAATGGTAGCTAAAACAGCAAAACAATTCCTGTATAAACAAATATGTAAAAAAACAAATAAAATAAGGAACAAAGAACATCTTGATCAAGGTACAGGTCATACACAAGTACTTCCCCCATGATATCAAATAAGAATATCACTGAATAAGTAGGAAACATCGTAAGTATCAGAAAGTGGCAATAAGAAAAATGTCAAACACCTATGTCATGGAGAAGGGCAGCCAGCTCCACCTGCCAAGAAGCGACAAAAGAGCTTCATTTTGGCAATCAACCAGCTTAAAAAACAAAACTTTCATTAAGGTTTCTAAATTGTCATGACACAGAACAATCATCCCAAAAATTGCATAAGAAAGAGCAGCAAAAAACGTTGCAACAGCAACCTAAAGTCCCAAAGACATGATTTTGAATAAGGGTTTCTTTTTACTAGTCAAGAATTTAGCTTACGATTTCAATGGAATCGGAGGAATGATGAAGGCCCTCTTCATGAGCTAGGGAAATAGCCAAATCTCTAACTCTGAAAGCGTGGGCAGCATCATGGGAAGCATCATTTCCTTTCATCTTTGCTTCCACCAAAGCTTCTGCCTTTCTAACAATTTCACTCTTCTCCATTTCCCTCTGGATTTCTATCAGTATCTCCAATTGATTTCCTGAACTATACTTAATGACATAATCTATCTGGTTGAGGAAATGAAATGAAGTCTACTTTTCCATCTTCCTAGGCGGCCAAAGAGTCAAAGACTATAAGTGGGACTTAAGCTCGTTGACTTATAATCGTCGAGTTACTAAACCCGACAAAAAGCCGACGAGATGCAAAAATTCTTCCTTTCACGTCGCAAATATATAAGTCGACTCGAATTCAATCCGACATACGATCAATCATCAGATTCTTCGAACATCCAAGAAAAAGGTTTGTTGCTATTTTAATTCTCAAATTTCAAAAGAATGAATTTAATGTTTCGTAAGAGAAAATTGTTAAGTCGGTCATGCTCAATGTCCAGCGATTACACTACTACTTTAGTATTTTCTTCGTTGGGTTGAGGAAATTTTTTGGCCTGTACTTTATGTTTGCAATACGTGCAAAAACAAAGTGGAAGATATGGGGGCTTTTGATTCTTCCAGATTATTCATTAAATCCTAGTTTCCGCTCTCAATTTTCTTTGCAAATAGTATCATTGTAGTTGATTTTAGCAGAAACATCTTTATTTTTGTTCGGATGTGTTTTCAAATTGCTATTTTCGAGCTGTGGAATTCTTTTTTAGGTGTCCCAAACAGTTGGGGGTTTTCAGGTGAACTGGAAGGAATATATGTTGTAATGTCCGCTACGTGTTTGATAATTTGCCAATTCACTCGTTGAAAGTGTAGAATGTGATGCAGAATTCAGCATAGGGTGTCTCAGTAAATTAGCTAAAAGATATTGAACGCTGTTTTCGTCTAGTAATCAACCTCAATGCAGGAAAAGAATCTATATCTTTAGGATTGTATTCATTATGTTCATCTTATTGTATGTGATGATACATTATTTTCTCCTGGATTATCAATTGTATCAAGACTTAAACATGTTGTCTTTACTTGTGATCAGGTGGCTGTTTCTTCGATACCGTATTTTGGTACGGCATTTTCCTGCTGAGACCGTGCTGAAAATTTGAAAAGAAAGAGGTAAGAATGTGTTTGGAAAAAATTAAAGAGCAATTTTAGTTTTGATGTTTAAGCGTATTTATTATATTGTGATTAATTTATGCTTAGTTTCAACTGACTAGAACATCTATGAGGAACTGATTGAAAAAAGACGCCTATGTCTGTTTGTAGTCCACCAACAGACGTTGTTAATCCGCAGATGGGTTTCATGTTTTTGTGCAGGTCAGTGGCAATTAATGACGTGTTCGTATGATAGTAGCTCTTGGATGCATTTGAATGTTTCGTGAAAATCTTGGCTCGCTTTTATATCAGTGCTGTAGAACGAAAGCATTTCGTCATGGAACTTCTCTTCATGCCGTCGTCATTAAGACTGGCAGGCTCAGTATTATTACCTCAAATCACATTCTTAATATGTATGCAAAATGTGGGAAACTTGGCCTTGCACAACAAATTTTTGAAGAAATGACTGAAAGAAATATCGTCACCTGGTCAGCCTTAATCTCTGGAAACGACCAAGCTGGAAATCCTTTGGCAGCAGTTAACATTTTTATGAAAATGAGATCTGAACTGCTGCCAAATGAGTTTATTTTCGCGAGTGTTCTAAATTCCTGTGCCAGCCTCCAAATGAGAAGACTTGGGCAAGAAATTCATGCTCTGTCATTGAAATCTGGCTGTTATGATATTTCATTTGTTTCAAATTCATTGATGTCATTGTACATGAAACTCGGTGACTGTAGTGATGCCATATCAGTTTTTACCGAAGCATCTGTTCTTAGTACAGTATCATATAATTCTTTGATTACCGGGCTGGTAGATAATGGGCAACCAGACGAAGGGTTTCAAATGTTTAAAGTCATGTGTAGAGCGGGATTAATGCCTGACTGCTTTACTTTCTTGGGAGTCTTGGGAACTTGTGTTGATTTAGATGATTTATGGAGGGGATTGCAACTACATTGTCAAACAGTTAAGCTCATGCTTGATTCAGTGGCTGTGGTTGGCAACGTATTGATGACCATGTATACCAAGTTTAGTATGATAGAAACAGTTGAGAAGGTATTTAGATTGATTCAGAAGAAAGATGTCATTTCATGGAATACGATAATTGCATCTTTTTCTCAATGTGGAGAACATGTTAAAGCTCTGGCCGTATTTAGGGAAATGGAGAACGAAGTTTTGGTAAGACCTGATGTGTACAGTTATGCCAGTGTTCTTTCTGCATCTGCTGGCTTAGCTTCCATACGGCATGGTAAGCAGATTCATGCTCATTTAATGAGAACAAGACCGTATTTGGATGCTGGTGTTGTGAATGCTTTAGTAAATATGTATGCCAAATGTGGTTGCGTTGAATATGCATATATCGTGTTCATTCAAATGGGTGGTTGTGATGCCATGTCATGGAATTCCATTATTGTTGGATTTGCAAATAACGGGCTGGGAGAAAGAGCAATAGAAATGTTTAACTGCATGGTGGAAGCAGGGATAAAGCCAGATTCGATAACATTTCTCGGGCTTTTGACAGCTTGCAATCATGTTGGACTTGTGGACGCTGGCAAAGACTATTTTAATTTGATGGAACCAGTATATTCGCTCATGCCTGCTGTTGAACATGTTTCATGCCTCATTGATCTATTAGGCAGGGCTGGGAGATTGGTTGAAGCCGAAGAATACGTGCAGAAGTATAATTTTGGCCATAATCCTGTAGTGTTAGGATGTTTACTCTCAGCTTCCCGGTTACATGGTGATGTTGTTACTGGAGAACGGATTGCAAATCGGCTTCTTAAGCTTCAACCAGGTACGACATCGCCTTATGTTTTGCTGTCGAACTTGTACGCCTCAGATAAGATGTGGGTTGATGCAGCCAAAGCAAGAAAAATGTTGAAGGAAAGTGGTTTGAAAAAGGAGGCAGGATATAGCCTAATTGATGTAAATGGCTATGTTCATATTTTCACCATTGGTGATTTCTCCTTTTGGAGGATGGATGAGATGATCAACTTACTTGCAACTTTCAAGTTCAAATTTGATGACGAACTTGTGTTCTAGTAACTTACGTATGTACCCCTTCAAAGGGGTAAATTTCACTATAGTCCATAAGTCTCGTGTATATAGCAACTGCTCCTCTTATTTTAAAAGTTTTTTTTTTTTGAAAAAAAAAAATATTAATTCCTTCAACTATAAGTCCTACTACATATCTTTTTCGGTAAATCGTAAATTTCATTGATTTTCAATATCAAAACATTTATACAACTTATTATGCACTATCGTCTATTCAATCAAACCATTTAGTTCATGCTCTAATTTGTTTTACAGTTCATGTGTTTAATCTTCCATTCTTCCTTGTACTCGTATTCACAAATCTACTTAGTATCTCTTTTTTTTTTCTTTTTTTTTTTCCATCTTCCATTCATACACGTTCATCTGCAACTAATAAACTATACAACAATCAAATGAAATATCACTTCTGTTTTGAAATGATTGTCGAATTTGAATTTTTATTTTTGGTATAAAATTTCTCTAAAAGTAAAATTTCAAATGTGTAATCATTTTGAGACAGAGGAAATATTAACTGAAACATTTGTTATATTTGCGAATAGATAGTTTTGTTATTGATGGTTTGAGAATTTAGTCTTGTCATAATGTACTTTGGATATTTTTATATCTAAGTTAGTTTAGTTGGATTTCATACTTTTAGCTCCTTTTTGTGTAAAAAAAAAAATACTAAAGGTTGGCAGGTTAGTTCATCTTGTATATTGCTTTGAAAATTGATGGATACAGCAGGAGTTTAGAAAACTTGAACAATTCATTTACCTTTTTATAAAGGATGAATTTTAAAATAAAAATCTTTTTGTGGAATATGTACAGTATTTTTTTACTTTTTTTTGGTTCAAGTATTTTGACTTTTATACGTTAAATAATTGTGATAGTAGTAAAAAAAAAAAAAAAAAAACTGTAATTATGAAAGTAGTATATATGAAGACCAAGACCGGCGTAAAGGAGTATTCCGTACAGAAAAGAAAAGGAGAAAAAAAACATTGAGCTAGCATCGGCCATGACTTGATCAGAAATCCAACAATGGAGGACGACTCTGGAATTCAGTCAACCTCATTATCGTCGTCAATGGATTCTCTCCTTTTGGAAGACTTCGGACAGAAGGTAGATCTCACGCGCAGGATTCGCGAAGTGCTTTCGAATTACCCCGAGGGAACCACGGTGCTGAAAGAGCTCATTCAGAACGCCGACGATGCTGGCGCCACTAAAGTTTCTCTGTGCCTCGACCGCCGGCGCCACGGCACCCAGTCGTTGCTCTCTGATAAACTCGGCCAGTGGCAGGGCCCGTCGTTGCTTGCCTACAATGACGCCGTTTTTAAGGAGGAGGATTTCGTCAGTATCTCCAGGATCGGGGGGAGTGCTAAGCACGGCCAGGTTTGGAAGACCGGTCGCTTTGGGTAATTTTCTCAATGTCCTATTTGATTTCCACAGTTTATAGTCTCTTTCTTTCCTCTTTGTGCTTGTTATTGTTGATTTTTCAAGGTGATCATGTTGTTAAGATGAAGTGGTGAACTTGTTTCAAGTTTGATTGGTTTGTTCGTTGAGGCTTTCTACCAAACATCTTTGCTAATTAACTGTCTTATCTGACATACTACCGGTGTTATATGTTATATTTTGTTTCGACATGCATCATAGTGCAATTTCAAGTAGGATATAGTCGAATACGTATGCAATATTTCTTTTCTTCCTTCAAGTTAATATAGCTTGCTTTTTCCTTTTTTTTTTCAAAAAAAAAAAAATAATAAAATCAAATTACAGGAAGGTGATGATCGCTATAAGTTGATGAGCTTGTAGCTCTTTACATCTTTAGCACCACTCGAAAATGGAAAGAATAAACTTACAGGCACAATTCTCTGCTTAGCATTTATTTTTTAAAGAAATCTGTTTGAATAGTCTCAACCCTGTTGTCGTACCTCCTTCCATTAGCTAACGTTGTTCCTTCGTTTGCATCTTTTGCCATTGAGCTTTCAATCTTACAGAATTTTGTATAATCTTTGCATACTTTGGATAATTTTTTTGACTACTACTTCTGATTACGATAGGAAAAAAAAATAAATCAAATTTACTCACCTTTGCTTGACCTGGCCTAGTAGAGAGACCCCTCTTCTTGTTGAACTCCATTACTGACACAGTTTTAGCAGTATCTTGTGTATAGGAAGTTCTTTATATTGTGTTTGCAGCTGCTTGATGCATGGATCAGTTATTTGCTCTTTAGTTTTATTATGCTTCTGTCAGCATGTGTGGTTGTTGACTTAGGCTTGATGCTTATTCTTCCAGGGTTGGCTTCAATTCGGTGTACCATTTGACTGATTTACCATCTTTTACAAGTGGCAAATATGTGGTTATATTTGATCCTCAAGGAGCTTACCTCCCAAATGTGTCCAGTGCAAATCCTGGAAAGAGAATTGATTTTGTTAGTTCTTCTGCCATCTCCATGTACAGAGACCAATTTTTTCCATACTGTGGTTTTGGTTGCAACATGAAAAACCCTTTCCATGGTACTTTATTCCGTTTTCCTTTGAGGAATGCAGATCAGGCTGCTAATAGTAAGCTTTCAAAACAAGCATATACAGAAGAAGACATCACGGTGATGTTCACCCAACTCTATGAGGAAGGGGTTTTCTCACTGCTCTTTCTTAAAAGTGTTCTATCAATAGAAATGTCTGTTTGGGATGATGGTTTTTCTGAGCCAAGGAAGATGTACTCCTGCTCCATCAACTCGGTCACTGATGATATCATTTGGTACCGCCAGGCACTATTGAGAGTGTCTAATTCAATGAAATCTGGTGACCAGCAAATGGATGCTTTCTCACTTGAATTCTTGAGTGAGGCAGTGCAAGGGAGTCATTCTCAGAAGAGAACTGATACCTTCTATATAGTGCAAGCAATGGCATCGGCATCAAGTAGGATAGGTTCCTTTGCTGCAAAGGCATCAAAGGATTTTGACATTCATCTATTACCCTGGGCATCTATTGCTGCCTGTGTGTCAGATAATTCATTAAACGTAATTCATTGCCTCTACACTTTAAAACGCTGACCTGGTTTCTGTTTCAATTTTGTTGTACTTGCTGACCTCCCTAATATTTGCCTTAGCTATACCATCCAATCCCATGCATTTAGAATTTTGAAGAAATTTAGAAGAAAAGAAAAACAGTGTAGATAGTACTTGTTAGTTTATCAGTTTCTATTTTATAATTTTTACATGCATTATTGTTTCATAAACTGAAGTAAGGTTTGTGAATAATTATATGCCTATGATTTGTACGAATGAGCATGAAAGACAAACTGGTGAATTACGCTTGTCCCAGTTCTTTTATTAGGTTCTTTTATTATGTGCTCTGTAGCTTCTTCGATTTGAGAAGTTGTCATTTTTTCGTGCTAAGGATGTCGCCGGGATCAGACTGGTGCACACTATCATAAAATGAAATATATCTGTCAATTTGATCTCCAGATTTACAAAAGCAATAATTTTTGTCACAGTTATATACTCCCTATTTTTAGTGGTTACAAATATTTTCTTCTGAATTTTGTATGACCCCACCACTTATGCCCCTAGCAAGAAACTTTCTTTTGCATCAGTTTGGTTGATTGTTGATGTTATTTCAACTTTGCATTTGTCAGGATGATGATTCAAAAGTGGGTCAGGCATTTTGTTTCCTCCCTTTACCTGTGAAAACTGGATTTAATGTGCAAATCAATGGATATTTTGAAGTGTCATCTAATCGTCGTGGGATTTGGTATGGAGCTGATATGGACAGATCTGGAAGAATTCGTTCCATCTGGAATAGGCTTCTCCTGGAGGATGTTGTAGCCCCTTCTTTTGCTCATCTACTGCAAGGAGTGCGGCATATACTTGGTCCAACAAGTTCCTACTATTCATTGTGGCCAACTGGTTCGTTTGAAGAGCCCTGGAGTATTCTAGCTGGGCAGATATATAGATGTATTAGAGATTCTCCTGTCATGTTTTCTGAGGCTCAAGGAGGGACATGGGTTTCACCTGCTGAAGCTTATCTTCTCGATGTTGAGTTTCCAAAAAGTAAACAACTCAGTGAGGCTCTTGTGCAGCTTTGTATGCCGGTGGTTCATTTGCCAAATAAACTATTTAGCATGATCTTGAATTCTGATTCTGGCATGCAGTACAGAGTGGTAACTCCTGATTCAGTACGGCAGTACCTTAGGAATGGCAGTTTTACCAGTGCAATTGACAGATCATATAAACTGATGCTGTTGGAGTATTGCCTTGAGGACCTGGTTGATGAAGACGTGGGTTCCCTTGCAATGAACTTACCTCTACTTCCTTTGGCAAATGGTGGATTTGGCTCAATCAATCAAGATTCCAAGTCAATGTCTTATTTTATATGCAATGAATTGGAATATTTGCTCCTTCAACAAATTTCAGAAAGATTGATCGATATTGATATCCCCCAAAACATATTATCGAGATTATTAGCTATTGCCAAGGCTTCAGGGGCCAATCTAAGAGTGTTCTCTATTGATGAATTTCTTCCATTATTTTCTAAATTTGTACCTGCTGAATGGAGATATCGCGAGGAAGTTAGCTGGGATCCATCTTCAAACTCAAATCATCCAACAACCTCATGGTTTGTGCTGTTTTGGCGCTATATTCAGGATCAACGTGTGAAGTTGTCCTCATTTGCTGACTGGCCAATACTGCCATCACTCTCTGGGCATCTTTATCAACCATCTAAGAATACTAAATTGTTGATGGCCACCAAATTGTCCGAGAAGATGCAAAACATTCTCTTAAAGATAGGATGCAAGATACTAGATACAAGTTATGGCATTGAGCACCATGATTTATTTCATTATGTCTATGATGCTGATGCTGTTGGTGTTTTGAACTCTATATTTGATGTTTTTTCTTCAAACGATAACATTGAAGTAGAATTCTCTCACTTGTTGGTAGCAGAAGACAGAGATGTACTACGGCATTTTTTGCTTGACCCAAAGTGGTATATTGGTAGCTCAATGGATGGATCTGACATTTTGAATTGCAAGAGGCTCCCTATTTATAGGGTGTATGGTGAAGGATCTACTGCAGGTTACAATTTTTCAAATTTGCTAAATCCACAGAAATATTTGCCCCCTCTGGACTCTCCGGAATGCCTCCTGTCAAATGAATTTATTTGTAGTCTGTCAAGTACAGAAGAGGATGTCTTGAATAGATACCATGATATCCGAAGAATGGGAAAGGTACAATTTTATGATCACCATGTGCTTAATAGGATCCGGGAACTGGAAATGGATGTTCGTGATGGCATTATGCTTTCAATTCTGAGAGAGCTGCCGCAGTTGAGAATCATGGATGCATCTTTCAGGGAACGCCTTAAAAGTTTGGAATTTGTTCCTACATCAGGTGGTTCTTTGCGAAGTCCAGATGTATTATATGATCCCAGGAATGAGGAATTATATGCCCTACTGGATGATTCTGAAAGCTTTCCCTGTGGTTCTTTTATGGAATCAGATGTTTTAGATATGTTGCAAGGTTTGGGTCTTAGGACAACTGTGTCTGCTGACACAATAATACAAAGTGCTAGACGAGTTGAGAAGCTGATGCATGACAGCCCTGAAAAAGCTCATTTTAAAGGTAAGATGCTTCTTTCATATCTGGAAGTGAATGCAATGAGATGGTTACCTGAATCGACCAAGAACGACCAAGGAACTATGCTAAGGATGTTCTCAAGAGCTACTAGCACTTTTAAACGCCGGCCTGCCTTGTCTGACTTGGAAAAGTTTTGGAATGATCTCCGAATGATTTGCTGGTGCCCTGTTCTTGTTGCTTCTCCCTTCCAGTCACTACCGTGGCCTTCTGTCTCATCCGCCATTGCTCCCCCTAAGCTTGTGAGGCTGTACTCAGATTTGTGGCTTGTTTCTGCTAGCATGCGGATACTGGATGGGGAATGCTCTTCCTCAACCTTATCTCATTGTCTTGGTTGGTCTTCTCCTCCTGGAGGCAGTGTAATTGCTGCACAATTGCTGGAGCTTGGAAAAAATAATGAGCTTGTTGTTGATCCAGTGCTTCGGCAGGAACTTGCCTTAGCAATGCCTAGAATATACTCAATCTTGTGTGGCCTAATTGGAACAGATGAGATGGACATTGTAAAAGCTGTACTGGAAGGTAGTCGATGGGTTTGGGTTGGAGATGGCTTTGCAACCCCGGATGAGGTTGTACTTGATGGCCCTCTCCATTTGGCTTCTTATATACGGATAATACCTATTGACTTGGCAGTTTTTAAAGACTTATTTTTGGAGCTCGGTGTTCGAGAATCCTTGAAGTCTAATGATTATGCTAATATTTTGTCTAGAATGGCTACTAAAAGGGAGTCTTCCCCCTTAGATCCACAAGAGATCAGAGCTGCCATCCTCATAGCGCAGAATCTAGCTGATAGTCAGTTTTATGATGTTAATGTTAAGATCTATCTGCCGGATGTGTCATGTCGACTATTTAGTGCCACTGACTTGGTCTACAATGATGCGCCTTGGTTACTTGACTCAGATGATTCTGACAGCTCAACCACTAACTCCAAAAATGTTCCTTTACATGGAAAACAAAATGTTCAAAAATTTGTTCACAGGAATATCTCTAATGATGTAGCAGAAAAGCTTGGAGTGCAATCCCTTAGGAGAATGTTGCTTGCTGAGAGTGCCGACTCTATGAATTTGAGTTTGTCTGGAGCTGCTGAAGCATTTGGACAGCATGAGGCATTAACAACCAGGCTCAGACATATACTTGAAATGTATGCTGATGGTCCAGGAATTCTTTTTGAGCTGGTGCAAAATGCAGAAGATGCAAGAGCTACTCAGGTGACTTTCTTGTTGGACAAAACTCAGTATGGGACTTCTTCCCTTCTCTCTCCTGAAATGGCAGATTGGCAGGGCCCTGCTTTGTACTGTTTCAACGACTCTGTATTCAGTCCTCAAGATCTCTATGCCATTTCACGTATTGGTCAAGAAAGTAAGCTGGAGAAGCCATTTGCTATTGGCAGGTTTGGACTGGGTTTCAACTCTGTATACCACTTTACAGATGTTCCATCATTTGTTTCAGGGGAAAATATTGTAATGTTTGATCCACATGCCGCTAATTTGCCAGGAATATCTCCTTCCCATCCTGGTCTTCGAATTAAGTTTATTGGCAGAAGGATTTTGGAACAGTTTCCTGATCAATTTTATCCATTTCTGCACTTTGGTTGTGATATGAGGCAGCCATTTCCAGGCACTCTCTTTCGTTTTCCTCTAAGAAGTGCCAGCAGTGCTTCCAGGAGCCAAATAAAGAAAGAACAATATGCACCTGATGATGTATTGTCACTGTTTTCTTCTTTCTCAGAAGTTGTTTCTGAGACGTTGCTTTTTCTACACAATGTTAAGAAAGTTTCAATATTCATCAAGGAAGGTTCTGGTAGTGAAATGCAACTACTGCACTGTGTTTGCAAGCATCATCTGAGTGAGCCTGATGTTGAAAGCAGTTCTAGTCAACTTTTTGATGCTATGAAGGGTAATATTCAAAATCAAATTGATCGAGATCAGTTCTTTAACAAATTGTATAAATCTATTGGAACAGAAGTTCCATGGAAGTATCAGAAGATTGTCATTTCAGAACAGAACTCCTCCGGTTGCAGGTTGCATTTGTGGTCAACTTGTGAATGCTTTGTTAGGCAGAGAAAGAGGAACTCTTCAACCTTTGATAGTTCTAATAAGTATGTATCCTGGGCTTGTGTTGCATCTAACCTACAGAGTGCAAAGATTGACCAACTGCTGAATGGAAATTCCTCGGATCAAGATTTCTCTGCCTTTATAACTGACATGTTTCGGGTCCCATTTAGTGCTGTGCAGGACAAAAAGAACTTTGAAGGGCGTGCCTTCTGCTTCTTACCACTTCCTATAAATACCAATCTTCCCATACATGTTAATGCATATTTTGAATTATCATCAAACCGAAGGGATATATGGTTTGGAACTGACATGGCAGGGGGTGGTAAGAAGCGGTCGGAATGGAATTTGCATCTCCTTGAAGATGTTGTTGCCCCAGCTTATGGTCACTTACTTGAAAATATTGCAATAGAAATTGGCCCTTGTGATTTGTACTTTTCATTCTGGCCAGCAAAAGGGGGAGTTGAACCTTGGGGATTACTGGTTAGACGCTTTTATGAGTTCATTTCTGATTTTGGACTCCGAGTATTATATACAAGAGCTAGAGGAGGTAGGTGGATCACAACAAAGGAAGCCATTTTTCCTGATCATTCCTTTGATAAAGCACGTGAACTTGTTGATGTGTTGTCTGATGCTGATTTGCCTGTGGTTACAATGCCAAAGGTACTGGTGGAGAAATTTATGGAGACTCGTTCATCTTTACATTTCCTCACACCTCAAATGCTTCGTACACTTTTAATTAGAAGTAGACGTGAGTTCAGGGATAGAAATGCGATGGTTTTGGCCCTTGAATACTGCTTGCAAGATTTAGCTCATTCTGATCGATTTGAAAGTTTCTATGGTTTACCACTAGTACCCCTTTCAGACGGTACTTTTACCAAATTAGAGAAGAGAGGACTAAGTGAACGTATTTTTGTTGCACAAGGTGATGGGTACAATCTTCTGAATGGTTCAATTCCCAATCAGCTTCTGGACTCCAACATTCCTGATTTCCTTTATAGGAAGTTCTGTAGCATAGCAGAAAGTGAGAATTTCAATATTTGCTTACTGACGTGTGAGTTGCTGGAGAAACTTTTCCTCAGATTACTTCCTGTAGATTGGCAGCATGCCAGACAAGTAAATTGGACGCCAGGATCTCAAGGTCATCCCAGCATGCAATGGGTAGGTTATTTATGGAGCTATTTGAAGCTTTATTGTGATGATCTCTCTTTGTTTTCGAAGTGGCCCATCTTGCCTGTAGAAAACAATCATCTCTTGCAGCTAGTGAAAAACTCAAATGTGATCAAAGATGGTGGGTGGAGTGAGAACATATTTGCTTTGCTGAACAGAGTTGGTTGCTTGATATTGAGACAAGACCTCCCGATAGAACATGCTGAGCTGAAACATTATGTGCAATCTCCAACTGCCACTGGCATCTTGAATGCCTTGCTAGCAGTCGTTGGTGACCCGAATAATGTTGAGGACCTATTTAATGGTGCATCAGAGGGGGAAATGCATGAATTGAGGGGTTACATTCTTCAGTCAAAGTGGTTCACTGAAGGCCTAATGGATGACACACATTTCAGTATCATAAAAAATATTCCTATGTTTGAATCTTACAAGAACAGAAAGTTTGTATCCCTTAACAAGTCTCTGGGATGGCTTATACCAGAAGGTGTTCAAGAGTATCTTTTGGATGATGGCTTTGTGAGGATGGATTCTGAAAAAGAAAAGATTATTTTGAAAAAGTATTTGGAAATCAGAGAGCCTTCAAGGATGGAGTTCTATAAAGATTATGTATTCAGTCGCTTGGCTGAGTTTGTGCACCATGGTTATCTCCCAGCCATCGTACATGATATTAGATATATGATTGAGGGGGATAGTTCCTTGCAAGAAGTTCTTTCCAAATTACCCTTTGTTCTGGCATATGATGGATCTTGGAAAGAGCCATTCAGGTGATCCTACATTTCATTTTATTTTTGTATATTTGACTTCGGTTTTCAAGTGCCTCTAGAAAGCAGGACGACTGTGCCTCTTAATGATCTAATATGTCTTTAGAAATAGAGTTTTATAGAGACGTATTTTCTCATCAAGGCTACCGAAGATAATGCTAAAAGCCCCTGATTGACTGTTTATTCTGGGTGAAATATTTTTTTTTCCTGATATTTTAGTAATTTCACCTTTGATTCCTTCCACATCCAGAGAGTTTTTTTTGGTTGGGTGAATTCCCTAAGCTAGGCAATATAGTCTAATAATGGTGCGTGGGAAATCTCAAAAGCTTCTTTGGCATGAATAGTGAACCAACTGATACCTTCTGCCAGAAAAGAAAATTGGGAAAATGTTGTTGGAAGGTTTATATCTGTAAAGGGTTCTTTGCTCATTATCTATCTATTCTCGTCATTGTTTTGCATTTTGTTGATGTTATATTTAGACATGATAATTGTGATTTACTTTGAGTACAGTTAAGGTTGAAGGTCATACAGACATTTCAAAATATACATAGTATTTTGTATTTAGAAAACTGCAGTAGCTACTCTTACATGCATTTTCATGTCAGCATGTTAATATTTAATCGTGCTTACTTCCAGGCTATATGATCCTCGTGTTCCACAGCTGAAGCTATTGCTGCACAGCAGGGCCTTCTTCCCTTCTGACAAGTTTTCTGACCCCGAAACTCTGGATACTCTTGTAAGACTTGGGCTCAGGCAAAGCTTATGCTTTACTGGTATGCTCGACTGTGCCAAGTCAATTTCCTTGTTGGAGAATTCAGGAGATCCAGAAACAACAATTTTTGCTTCGAGGCTTCTTAGTTGTTTAAATGTTCTGGCTCAGAGATTTTCGTATGCGGATAATGAGAGCACCTTTGATGAAGGTGAAACAATTGCAGAAACTCAAGCCATCAGTTTCTCTGGCGGTGAGGAAGACAGATCTTTGCCAGATGACGGTGATAATATTGTTAGAGATGAAAAAAGCATTAGTTCATTCCTTGACAACTTGAATGAGGACATGCCCCGAATGGAATTTTGGTCAGTACTTGAGTCAATAAGTTGGTGTCCGGTACTTGGTGAGCCGCCTGTTCAAGGACTTCCATGGTTTGCTCTTGACCAGAAAATAGGACCTCCAACTGCTGTAAGGCCAAAATCCCAGATGTGGTTGGCGTCATCTAAGAAGTTTATTATTGACGGTGAATGTTCAAGTTATCTACAAGATAAACTTGGCTGGATGGACCAATTAGATGCAGACACTTTGTCCACCCAATTAGTTGAGTTATCCAAGTCTTTTACTGTGATGAAGTCCCATCCAAGTGTTGAATCTAATTTTGGTGCAGAACTGCAGAGGCATGTACCTTCAATTTATTCGCAATTGCAAGTTTATGTTGGCACTGCTGAACTTAGTCACGTTAAGTCCATCTTGGATGGAATTTGCTGGGTGTGGACTGGGGAGGATTTTATATCTGCAGCTTCACTAGCATTTGATGCCCCTGTGAAGTATAGTCCATACATGCATGTTGTACCAACAGAGTTATCCGAGTATAGGGATTTGCTTTTGGCTTTAGGTGTTAGAGAGAGTTTTGATGTGTTTGACTATTTTAATGTTCTGAAAAGGTTGAAAAGTGATGTGAAAGGTGTTCCTCTTGCAGCTGATCAACTGAAATTTGTCCAATGTGTTCTTGAAGCTATAGCTGATTGTTATATGGATGACATTCAAATGACGGCATCTAATGATCTGTTTATTCCAGATTCTTCTGGTGTCCTGGTATGTGCGGGGGATCTTGTGTATAATGATGCTCCTTGGTTGGAAAGTACCAATCTTGGTGGGAAGCGTCTTGTACATCCATGCGTCAGCCATGATTTGGCTTGCAAATTAGGCATTCTATCACTTCGCTCTGTTCCATTAGTTGGTGAAGACATGACCCAAGATTTATCCTGCATGGATTATGCTAGAATTTGTGAGCTAATAGAGTTGTACGGGAGTAATGATTTTCTTCTTTTTGACCTTCTTGAGATGGCCGATTGCTGCAAAGCTAAAAAACTTCACTTGATCTTTGATAAGAGAGACCATCCGCGTCTTTCTCTGCTTCAGCACAACTTAGGTAATTGCTTTCATGTCCTCTGAGAATAGGCATTTAACCATACTCTAAGGGACATCTACTGTCACTTTCTTCGTCTCCCTTTTGAAGTCTGTATGCAATGATCAGTATCTGGATGTTATTGTTGTCTGGTAAGATTAAAATAAATAATTAAAATAAGAGTCCTTTGATTTTCATAAGCAGCAAAGTTTAATGGGAGTGGTTCTAGTTCTCTTGCAATCCTATTCTCTCTTTTTTTACACTGGTTGCTTGCTGTTGCTGCTTAAATGTTTTGCAATTTGGTTCTCATTATTTTTCAACTATATGATTGATTACCCAAATTAGGGTGAATATATTGAAGAGCTGCCTTTTGAAGGTTGTGGCTATACGAGTTTTTAAGCTTTGGGAATTTCCAAAATTAGACTACTTACTTTGACCTATATATTGTACTCAAGATGGAGAGCTTTTTAACCGCAAAACACACCTTATGAGGAAATAGGGAAAGAATGATTATAATGGGCTACTGAGCATGGTCCTCCTTTTTTATCATTTTATTTGTCTGGAGTCTACAGTTCCACTAGTTTAGTTGCAATTCTAGTCTTTCTAATATTTTTCTGGTGCTTCAAACTTACTCATTGAGCTCATATTGCAGGTGAATTTCAAGGGCCTGCTCTTTTAGCAATTTTAGAGGGAGCCAGCTTAAGCAGAGATGAAGTGGCTGGCCTTCAATTTCTTCCGCCATGGAGTCTGCGCGGCAGTACTCTTAACTACGGCTTGGGATTGCTTAGCTGTTTTTCAATAAGTGATCTTCCATTTGTTGTCTCTGATGGCTTCTTGTACTTGTTTGATCCTCGAGGCTTAGCCCTTGCTGTGCCTTCAAATCGCGCACCTGCTGCAAAAGTTATCTCTCTTAAAGGTGAAGAGTTATTATTTCTTGTCGTCTTGATGATTTATCTGTAGTGGGTTATATGTGCCACTTGCCATTGTGAGTAAGCATCGTTCTTTGTGTGCAATAAAAGCTCTCTTTCTATTCTGGGTTGAGTAGAATTAAAACATTTAATGAAACCATGTAATAAGAGCTGAAGTCATAATTTTAAGAGAAGATAAATATTATACTATATAACTTGTGGAAGTTCATCAGACTATGGAAGAGAGTCTTTTGTTTGTGATTTACTCTTTTGTAGAACAGGGATGTTTCCATGCTGGTTTCCACTTTTTCTATGTTCATGTAACCTGTGACGTGGTATAGAAATTAGTGATTAGTGAATATGTGTAAGGTTGCTAAAAATCAGCTTTGGTTCCAGGCACCAACTTGACTGAGAGATTTCGAGATCAATTTAGTCCTTTAATGGTTGGACAAACGATGCCATGGTCCATGTCAGATTCTACAGTAATACGCTTGCCTCTTTCATCAGAATATATGGTGGATGGAGTTGAATATGCTTCAAAGAAGATTTCACTGCTATTTAACAAGTTTATGGAGCATGCTTCCCGAACTATCCTATCTTTGAACTCCATAATGCAGGTACTTCTTTTGTTTGGTTTCAGATTGAGACCCAGCTTCTGCTGTAACTTGGCCTTTACTCATTGAATTCAAGATGATTGTTTCTCTTATAATGGACAGCAAAGTTAGATTGAATTACAAGAGTTAATATCTTCTAAACAAGCTTAAGTTGCATTTACATTTGAAAGTTTCAAATTATGCGTTTGAGCTCACCTGCCGCAACTTAAAGTAGACGTCTCCAAGGAGGACTTATATGTTATGAGATGAGAGGCTAGAAATTCTTTTGTAATTATATCAAACTATATTTTTTACTTTTAGACAGTCTCGTTTATACATTTAGCATTCTTTTCTATTTTCTTTATGCTGTTATTTAGTTGATCTGAAATTAGTAAAGCATTAGAATGAAACTCTCTGTTTTGCTTTCGGATATATCTTTGCTACATTCTAAGAGATCTGGTTTTGGTTTCTAAGTTTTGAGTCTTTATCGTAATCGTTTAATGTATCTGATTTATCCAAAGAGATTCTGAATTATTCTATTTCAGGTAAAATTGTCAACTTGGGAGGAAGGCAGCTTGGAACCATGTGAAGAGTTTTCAGTCAACCTAAATCCTTCCTGTGCTATTCTTAGAAATCCTTTCTCACAGAAAAAGTGGAAGAAATTTCAATTTTCAAGCTTATTTGGCAGCTCGAATGCAGCTATACGGTTAGAAGTTATGGATTTGACCCTGAACATTAAAGGAACAAGTATTACAGATCGATGGCTTGTCGCACTAAGCCTTGGATCTGGGCAAACAAGGAATATGGCACTTGATAGGTATGTTTTGAAGGGATCTTGTTTGCTAATGCTTGTAGTTACTTCTTATCATGTTCTCTTTCCTATTGTGTAAGTAAAAGAACTATTGCTTTAGGAAATATTTTGTTGAAATGATAAATGACCGGGGTTGCACCAGAATTAGAAGGATTTAACATTTTCATTACTGCATCACACTTCTAATGTGTCACGTATTTCATGGAATCATGATGAGATGGAAATGACCCATGGACATTCTATGTATTTCTTTTGCAAAGCATACATTTAAATGTGACATGATTTTTAACAAAAACTGGAAAACTATGAAAAAAAATTCGACAGTTAATTTGCTTTCACCCTTGGCTATATGGGTGGTAGCATGTTTTATATTTACTAGGTTTCTAGGAATACCTATTCATTAATTTTTGTTGTACATTGTGTGGTTTGACCTTGAATATGTAGTAACAAACTGGAAACGATTTTTTTGCAAAAGCTAATTTTGTTCACTTGATCACTATTTTTGGTCATTTTGTTTGCTCTAGGTTTAGTATTACATATTAACAGCATTCATGCTAAAGTGTGTCATTTACCATCCTAAGGTGTAATCTCAATTCATGTTTCACCCTTGGTCCCTGTTAAGGTGTTCAAACTGCACTCTGACCTACAAAGATTTAGAAATTGTCCACTACTTTTGCTCGAGCTCCCTTCTTTTTGCCAAATTAAAAATTTATATGTTGATGGAGATTTACTTTCTATCTTGGCCAGCATAACTGCAACCATGAGGCCTTAATAGCAATAGTTTATTGAAAGAAATGCTTCCCTCTGCCTACAGTTATCATGGCTTTGTTTTTGGACATTATTTTTACTTTGATCGTTTGAGTTTTGAAATTTATAATACTACATATGTTGTGACATGATGTTCATCCCACGGCCTAAGCTGTGGGTTTTTTGTTATATAAGAAAAACCTGTTACATTTTTGTGTTCATGAGTTATAGTTTGTCCATTATACTTGCTGGTTATTTTTGTAGGCGGTATATGGCATACAACTTAACACCTGTTGCTGGAGTTGCTGCACACATCTCACGAGATGGTCATCCTGCTTTAGCTGGCTCTTCGAGCTGTATCATGTCTCCTCTTCCTCTTTCCAGTTCGATAAATATACCCATCACAATACTTGGATATTTTTTGGTGCGTCACAATCAGGGTCGCTACCTTTTCAAGTATCAAGAATCTAAAGCTTCTGAAACAACTCATTCTGATGCTGGAAGTCGGCTTATGGAAGCTTGGAATAGGGAACTGATGTCATGTGTCCGCGATTCTTATCTCAGGTTGGTCCTAGAAATGCAGAAGTTAAGGAGAGAACCTTCCTCTTCAATTCTAAACTCAACTTCAGTCCAGGAAGTTACTCGTATTTTGAATGCTTTTGGGGATCAAATTTATTCATTCTGGCCAAAGTCCACTACACTTTTTCATACTTTCCAGGGTGAAAGTGATTCAACTTCTATTAGATTTCCTAAAGCGGATTGGGAATGCTTGGTTGAACAAGTAATAAAACCATTCTATGCTCGACTTGTTGATCTTCCTGTATGGCAACTTTATTCTGGAAATCTTGTGAAGGCAGAAGAGGGCATGTTTCTTTCCCAGCCTGGAAATGGAGTTGGTGATAGCTTGGTTCCAGCCACTGTATGTGCATTTGTTAAAGAACATTATCCAGTTTTTTCAGTTCCTTGGGAATTGGTGACTGAAATTCGGGCAGTGGGTGTTGCAGTTCGAGAAATCAGGCCAAAGATGGTGAGAGATCATCTGCGTGCTCCATCAATATCTATTCGTCTGAACTCAATTGATACTCTAATTGATGTCCTAGATTATTGCTTGTCCGATATCCAGCATGATGGTTCACCAGCTACTCCAGAGGGGGAGGATAATAGATCTCTTTCTAAATTGAAACCAATTGTGCAGGATCTTCATAGAACCTCTTCTTCAAACGCCAGCAGCTCAGGCGGAGATGCCCTCGACATGATGTCAAGTCTAGGGAAGGCAATCTTTGATTTTGGCCGTGTAGTAGTTGAGGATATTGGTAGGACTGGCGGTCCCTTGCCTGAAAGGAACCGAATTATGGGTGGTCTTAACTTCCATGTTCCTGATGATGAAGAACTCAAGCTTCGTTCCATTGCTGCTGAACTGAGAGGCTTGCCCTGTCCAACTGCTACTGGCAATTTAGTTAGGTTAGGTGCTGCTGAAGTTTGGATTGGAAATAAGGATCAACAACAACTAATGAGTACGTTGTCTGCTAAATTTATCCATGTTAAAGTATTAGATAGATCAAACCTGCAGAGTATTTTTTCCAATCCTGCTCTTCACTCATTCTTAAAGTTGCAAAATTTTTCTTTTTCCCTGTTGGCAAGAAATATGCGGTATCTATTTAATGAAAATTGGGTGAATCATGTAATTGGCTCAACCATGGCTCCCTGGTTTTCCTGGGACAACACAGCAAGATCTAGTGGTGAGTGGGGCCCCTCTCCTGAATGGATTAGGTTATTCTGGAAAAATTTTGGTGGTTCACCAGAAGATTATACTCTTTTCTCTGACTGGCCCCTCATTCCTGCTTTTCTTGGTCGATCAGTCCTTTGTCGTGTAAGAGAGCGCCATCTTATCTTTGTTCCACCATTGATCTCTGATGCAAACTCTTCCATTGCCATGGAGGAAATGGGGATATCAGAAAGTAATGTGTCTGAGGGATGCCCAGAAGCTGACCTGGTTAAGCAGCATGCCTTGGCTTTTGAAATTCTGGCAAAAAAATATCCCTGGTTATCCTCATTGCTGAACCAGTGCAACATTCCTGTATTTGATGCAACTTTCATAGATTGCGCTCCTGTGTGTGATTGTTTACCCAGAGCAGGCCAATCTCTGGGTAGAGTTGTTGCATCCAAACTTGTTGCAGCTAAACAGTCCAGCTACTTTCCTGAAATTACTTCATTTCGCGCTTCTGACTGTGAAGACCTTTTTACTTTATTTGCTTCCGAATTCATCTCTAATGGATCAGACTATGAAAGGCAGGAGCTTGAAGTTTTACGTGAGCTACCAATATACAAGACTGCTGCAGGCACGTATACTAGATTGCTTAATCAAGAGTTGTGCATGATTTCTTCAAATACATTTCTGAAGCCTCATGATGAGCGGTGCCTTTTCCATACCACAGATTCAGTTGAGAGTGGTTTACTGAGAGCTCTTGAAGTGCCTGAGCTTCAAGATCAACAAATATTTGTCAAATTTGGATTACCAGGCTTTCAAGGGAAACCTCAATCTGAACAGGAGGATATATTAATCTACCTGTATATGAATTGGCATGATCTCCAACAAGATTCTTCTGTCATTGAAGCACTAAAGGAAACAAATTTTGTTAAAACAGCTGATGAACTTTCTGTGGAAGTGTATAAACCAAAAGAACTTTTTGATCCTAGTGATGCCTTACTCACATCTGTTTTTTCTGGGGTGAGACACAAATTCCCAGGGGAAAGATTTATTTCTGATGGATGGCTTCGCATATTGCGGAAACTGGGACTTCGAACTTCAACTGAAGCTGATATAATTCTTGAATGTGCACGAAGAGTGGAGTTTCTTGGAGGTGAATGCATGAATAGGACAGGAGCTGCTGATGACCTTGAGATGCATGATTCAAGTGGACAAAATGAAGTTTCTTTTGAAATTTGGTTGATGGCTGAAAGTTTAGTGAAAGCTATAATTTCAAATTTTGCGGTCCTTTATAGCAACAACTTCTGTAATGCCCTCGGTAGGATTGCTTGTATCCCTGCTGAAAAGGGATTCCCAAACATTGGTGGAAAGAGAAGTGGGAAAAGAGTGCTTTGTTCTTATGGTGAAGCAATTTTATTGAAAGATTGGCCGCTTGGTTGGAGTAGTGCTCCCATTCTTTCAAGGCAGAGTGTTATTCCTCCGGAATACTCTTGGGGAGCACTCAATTTGAGAAGCCCTCCCCTTTTCCCCACAGTTTTGAGGCACCTCCAGGTGAAATTTTTACATGACTACCCCTGTTGTTTCCAGTAACTCAAAACCTCTTGTCTAAAGGACTACTTGACATGTATGTTACTTTCAATTTCAGTTTATTGGAAGGAATCATGGTGAAGACACTCTTGCCCATTGGCCAGCTGCATCTGGTGGAAAGACCATTGATGAAGCTTCTTTTGAGGTTTTGACATATTTGGAGAAGATCTGGGGTTCCTTGTCCGCTTCAGGTAATTATCTTTTCCTGCCATCATTTGGCACAAATTTTACTTCTCCTGTACATGTTGCTCAAGGAATCATAATCAGAGGCCTCTCTTCCCTTTCATGCTCACTATTTGATTTGTCTGTGTTCAGCCGTTCAAACCAACATCATCATTTTGGCTTCCCTGTCTTCTCTTTGTTCCTTCTGTGTTACTCATGAACCTTGTGTTTCTTTGGTTTCCTCACCAAACTTCTGAAAGTCGTGAGATATACAAATTGATTTTGAATATTTTCAGCTATGGCTAAGCAAATTGGAATTTGTGTTTTTGGACTTTATCTGAAAGATGACTTACGTAATGACCGAGCACAATGGCAACATATGATCCATGTAGCCAACCTCACCTAGAGGGAAAAACGCTTCTTGTTGTTGTAGTTGGACTTTATTTTCCTCGTCAATGTAGAAGTTATTGTGTTCTGGTAACCATGCCCTTCATGAGCTGCATTCAACAATTTAAATGGTAGTTACTTGTATGTCGGTAAATTTTAAGGTGGAATTTTAAGTGAGAGCTATGGTCCTGCTGATAAACTGTGTTTGTGGGGAATAAAATTTCTTAGAAATCTTTTTGCAGCCATTTAATGCTTTAACTGCTCCAGTTTTAATGTCGGAATAAACATTCTTTTAATTACATTTTACATGTACATGGTGACGGTAACCTTCTTAATCTCTTTCCTTTTTCTTGCCAGACATTTCTGAATTGAAAGAAGTAGCATTCATGCCAGCTGCAAATGGCACGCGCTTGGTTACTGCAAAAGCACTTTTTGCGCGGCTAACAATTAATCTTTCCCCGTTCGCATTTGAACTTCCTGCTCGATGTCTTCCATTTGTTAATATTTTGAAGGATTTGGGTCTTCAGGAAGTTTTCTCTGTAGCTTCTGCAAAAGATCTTATCGCAAATCTGCAGAAGGCTTGTGGTTATCAACGGTTAAATCCAAATGAATTCCGAGCTGTGATGGAAATTTTGAATTTTATTTGTGATGAAGCGGTCATGTCAGACCGAAGTAATTGGGAATCTGTGGCAATTGTCCCAGATGATGGCTGTAGACTCGTTCATGCAAATTCATGTGTATACATTGATTCATATGGTTCTCGATATCTCAAATATATTGACATTTCCAGGATAAGATTTGTTCACAGCGATGTCCCTGAAAGAATATGTGAGGCCTTATCCATAAAAAAACTCTCAGATGTGGTTGTTGAGGTATGAAGGTTTTCCTGAGATTCACCTCTGGGCAAATATACTGTTCATATTCAGTTCTGTATTTATATTGAAGCAATAAAGATCTTGAGCAGAAACTGTTGTTTTTAACTGTTTCAACTTTCATCTTTCAACTTCTTCACCCAGCCTGCATCTTTGGTAGATGTTCAGCTCTCTCTAATGTACTTTTTGCGACTGTTGTAGGAACTTGATTCTGGGGAACAGCTTATGAGGTTGCAATGTATTAGATCAACACAACTAGCTGCAGTTCAAAGGAAATTATTGAACAAATCATTTCAAGCTGCAGTGTGGAGCATTATCTGTGGCACTGCAAGTGAAGTTCCTGGATTCAGTCCTGTAATTGAAAATGTACAGAAGACCCTTGAAGTAGTTGCACAAAATATATGTTTTGTTGAATGCTTATACACTCGTTTTTTGCTGCAACCGAGATCCATAGATATTACTTGTGTTACTGAGGACGTAATGGTTCCAGAGTGGGAGGGAAGTTCACGTCATCGAGCTCTTTATTTTGTTGACAAATCAAAAACTACTGTCTACATAGCTGAACCACCAACTTATTTCTCACTTCCTGATATCATTGGGATCGCTGTTAGCCAGGTATTGGATTCCCCCATTGCACTGCCTATTGGAAGTCTATTCTTATGTCCTGAGGGATCAGAGGTTACCTCGATATCTGCTTTGAAACTTAGCTCTCAAAAGAAACCAACTGCACTGGGGGGTGGAATACATGAACTGTTTGGTAAGGATTTATTGCCCCAAGATGCTCTTCAAGTGCAATTTCTCCCGTTAAGACCATTCTATAAGGGAGAAATCGTGGCCTGGAGATCTCAAAATGGAGAAAAGTTGAAATATGGCAGGGTTGCTGAGGATGCCAAACCATCAGCGGACCAAGCACTTTATAAACTCAAGGTGGAAATATTACTAGGGATTACCGAAACGCTTCTTTGTTCACATGTTTTCTCTTTCAGAAGTGTGTCTGTCAACAGTGAGTCTCCTGCAGAAACAATTCTGGAGGATGAACGAACAGAAACTGAAACAGGGACATCTGAAATGACTGGGGGAGCCATTTCAAGGCCTCACTCGGTATGTATTTCTCACCCTGTTGCAAATTATTTTTATTAGATTCCATGCGGCCATAGAGGAGTATGGTAAATTTTAATGTTTTAGGTAGGTGTAAGAGAGCCCGAGCAGGGTGTTTTGTACAATTATAGCAATTCATCTGCTTCTAATGTATTCCACTATAAGTATAGAGGAATCGAGAGTTAAACATTACACATATAGTGAAGATACTCCGTTTCATTTGGATATTATTTAGCAATTGACTTGGACGTGAAGGATTTTGGACCAATTTAAAAACCATTCACCTCAACTGAAAATTTCTTTACTGTAATCTCTTTTCTTAATGCATGCAACAACCCCATTAACTAATATGCTTTGCTGCAACAGCAATCGGTTCTAGATCTCCAGCATGGCCGGGTCTCAGCTGCCGAAGTTGTCCAAGCTGTTCATGAGTTGCTTTCTGCAGTTGGCATTAATATGGATGTCGAGAAACAGTCGCTCCTTCAGACAACATTGACTTTGCAAGAACAATTGAAGGAATCCCAAGTGGCACTTTTGCTCGAGCAGGTTGGTATCTTGCGATTACATTGCAACATCTCACACTCATTCCTGACTTTTTATGTCTATTCCAAGTTTTATGCTCAAAACCCTGACCAGCACTGTTGCTCATAAGTATTTTTTAATTATCTTTTCTTGAAAAATCATCTTAAATTGCTCAAGATCAATTCAAAATTTGTTTTGTTTTACTGTTTTGCTCAACTGATAGCATCATCCGATGCAAGAGACACCTAAGAAATTAGGGTAATTGATAACACATTGATAATCAGCTTCTGTCTACAAATTAATTTGAGAAGATAAATTTAAAGCTTCTTGGTCCTTTTTGAATTGTTTCATTCATGAGTTGCGCTTTCTAATAAATTTCTGTAGGAGAAGTCCGAAATGGCTGCCAAAGAAGCTGATACAGCAAAAGCAGCCTGGTCATGCAGGGTGTGCTTAAGCAATGAAGTGGATGTGACTTTGGTTCCTTGTGGTCACGTACTGTGCCGAAGATGTTCATCCGCGGTTTCAAGGTGTCCTTTCTGTCGAATGCAGGTCTCCAAAGCTGTCAGAATTTTCCGACCTTGATGAAACCTAAGTGTGAGGGGTTTTGTTACAAAATTTTAATCATGATGTAAATAACTTTAAACAGTGTTGAAAGTTCTGTACATAGAATAGATAGATTCATTCTTTGTACAGATGAAGGATCATAGGGCTTTTGTATAGCATATGAGTGTCGCAGCCTAGATTTCTGCTTCCGGGGCTAGTTTTCTTGATCTGCCAGAAACCCAATGCACCATTTTTAATTGTTCCTTTTTGTAAAATGGTCTTCAAGTTTGACCTTTGGGCTTTTCCCATAGCCCATAGGTTAATTTGTGAGTCCAGTCAGCAATAATCTTATTCTCAAAATTGGAAAGCCGATACATCCATTTCTCTCTCAATTTTAGTAATTGGCTAATTCCATTCTATTAAAAACTATTATATGGGATAATTTGCTATAGAAGCATTTATTTTTAGCACAACACTAAAAACAATAGCAAAATTAGGATTCTCTACTTAATCATAATGTCATTGATGGAAATGTTATGTAATTTTTACGCCATATATCGATTGAGATTGCTACATGATATGATTGTAGTACAAATTTTTATTTCATAAAATAATATATAGTAGAACATCTATAAATTATTAATTGATAAATTAATAACATCTAATATAAATTAATTAGTTTTTCCGGTCCTGAGTCGGGACCAAAGGCAATCGATTTATCTACAAAATAATAATCTTTCATAAAACTCTTATGTAAATATAGATCATGTGAATATAATAAATTAATAATGACTTGAAACAGTAAAATATGAACCTGGTAATGTATTTTTTTCTTCTGGCATTTTACATCTAAAGAGGTTTCGTTTTTATTTTTTTCTTTCGCTTTCAAAGTTTTAGTACAAATTTTTCGTAGCACAACAAAAAATTTCGAAGAATTTTTGCCCCATTAAATGCTTACTTTCGTGTGATTGGTTTCGAAGACACTGAATCATCATGATTTTCATTATAATTCAATTTTTTTTTTACTAACACTAGCTACTGTGTCTCAAAAGATTTTATTAAGTAATTGTTTATTTATCGATGAAATAATAATTATTAATTTATCGATAAATGGACTGTGAACGAGTATTACTTACATAACTCCTTACAATGGACCTCAGAACGGCAATTATCCCGGCAGAGGCACAATCATCAGTGCAAGCTTTACTTCTACTTATGAATAGTTTTTGTTCGTGTTAATTAATCAAAGTTAGTAGAAATGCATAATATTGCATATAACTAAATGCATTTTAATAGTCTATGTACTTTTATTTAACACATGTACCTCTTTTTTTAAAAAAAAAAAAATCGATAAATTAATACATCTATGAATTCATATTTTTTTGGAGTCCCAACAGTATTAACTAATAGATGTTTTATTGCAGTATATTCTCTTGCTTTTTTAGTATTTAAATTGGAACTATTTAATTATCATCTTTTTTTCTTTCAATTTGTACCATTAATATACGCATTGTATGTTGGTCAACATTAAAAAAAAAAAACAAAATAAATTTCTTTTGTTGGTGGGTAAACTTTTCAAAATAAATTAGGATTATTTTTTTAGAAAAAAATGCTTTGGTGCCCAAATTGGAGAGTATACTGTCATTGGGGTGAAACCCGGAATTACCCACAAATGGGAGAGGCAAGCCAAATATTATAAGGGGGAAAAAAATGAAATTAGCGGTAACAGTGAAAACCCAGCCCTAGAATTGGTCCAATCCGACGTCAACCTTTATAAACCCTGCAATATCAACGCCTTAGAACCTTTTCTCAATCTAGCGTAACTGTGGCGTCTCAAATCTTGAGGCGCTCTTTTCCTTCCAAATTCCTTTCGATTTCCTCCTCCTCCCTGTTTTGCTCCCGGAGAGTAAGGTACCCTTCTTATTTCTTTCCTTTTGTCTTAATTTTTTCTTATTTTCCAGAGATTACGATGTTGTTTTCTTCATTGTTCTTGTAAGCTGCAGAAGTGTTTTTTAACATTGCTGCTATTTTGCTTTGGTTTCTTTGTTTGTTAGATTGGATTTTTGTCATGGGCTTTTGTCTGTTAATTTTTTCGAGAATATGATTTAGTTTAATTGATTGAGAATAAACACTAACTCCAGCTTTTTGTGCTTTTAAGTTCGGGATGTATAGTTTTTTTTTTTCCTTTTGGTTCGGGTGAAAGGTTAATTAGACGGACATGATATTTCTGCAAGAAAGCTCCATAATGATTTTAACGAGTGGTACTGTCCACTATTGAATGAATGTGTTGCTGTCAAAGGGGAGAAAGCAATATATATTTTAAGTTTTTTGTTCTTAGCTTAATTGGTTGTTTTATGAGTAACTTAGAGCTCCTGATTGATTCATTTAGTTATATAGTAAGATAATTGGTTTCTGAAGTTATATGTTCCTTGATCTTGATGGATATAGTTTTCTGTTTTGTGGTGTTTAGTGTTACCATAGGCTTTCGTCTTTGTTTGTTTTTTGGCCATTGATTGAATTTGGTGGTTTTAGCTTTGTATGTGCATAAATTGTTGAGTGATGTTTATTATGTATCATGTGTGCAGTTTCTGTAGTATTGCTACTGATATGGCGGACGGAGAGCCCAAGGAAAGCCGAAAAAGGCGAGATGATCTATTGAGTTATGAATCTCAGGTCCAGAAATGGTGGGCTGAGGGCGATGTCTTCAGGGCCGATGCAAAGGAATCTGTTCCCCTACCTGGAGAGAAGTTTTTTGGGAACTTTCCATTTCCATACATGAATGGGTACTTGCACTTGGGTCATGCTTTTTCCCTATCAAAGCTCGAGTTTGCAGCTGCGTATCATAGGTTAAGGGGTGCAAATGTGCTGCTTCCATTCGCTTTTCATTGTACTGGTATGCCTATCAAGGCTTCAGCCGATAAGCTTTCTAGGGAGATTGAGATGTATGGATACCCTCCAGTCTTTCCTGTAGTAAACGAGGAAAGTGATGAGCCTGAAGCGAAACCCGGAGGTGAAAGTGAGGGGAATGAGACGGCTCCGGGTGGTAAATTCAAAGGGAAGAAATCAAAAGCTGTTGCTAAGACTGGTGGGATCAAGTTTCAGTGGGAGATAATGCAGAGTTACGATCTAACTGATGAAGAAATTGCAGCCTTTAGAGAACCTTCTCATTGGTTGAAATATTTCCCGCCCCTTGCTGTTGAGGATTTGAAGGCTTTTGGCTTGGGTTGTGATTGGAGAAGAACGTTTATAACAACTGACATAAATCCATACTTTGATGCCTTTGTGAGATGGCAAATGAGGAAATTGAAAGCAATGGGCAAAATTGTTAAGGATTTAAGATATACAATTTACTCTCCCTTAGATGGGCAGCCATGTGCAGACCATGATCGTGCATCTGGAGAAGGTGTCATTCCACAAGAGTACACTCTTATCAAAATGGAGGTAGTTGCACCTTTTCCACCAAAAATGAGTGTCTTGGAGGGTAAAAAAGTCTATCTTGCTGCAGCTACCTTAAGGCCAGAAACTATGTACGGGCAAACAAATGCATGGGTTCTGCCGGGCGGCAAGTATGGTGCATTTGAAATAAATGACACAGAAGTGTTCATCTTAACTAAGAGGGCAGCCCTTAATTTGGCTTATCAGCGACTATCCCGCGTTCCAGAGAAGCCAACTTGTTTGATTGAGTTGACAGGTCAAGATCTCATTGGGCTGCCACTAAAATCTCCATTGGCTTTTAATGAAATTATATACACTTTGCCGATGCTCTCAGTTCTCACGGAAAAGGGAACTGGGATTGTTACTAGTGTCCCCAGTGATTCACCTGATGATTATATGGCTCTTCAGGATCTGAGATCAAAACCAGCGTTTAGAGCTAAGTTTGGGGTGAAAGATGAATGGGTTTTACCATTTGAGATCATACCAATTATTAACCACCCTGACTTTGGAGATCGATCTGCCGAGAGAATTTGCATAGAGAAAAAGATAAAGAGCCAAAATGAGAGAGAAAAGCTCGATGAGGCTAAGAAAATTATCTATAAAGGGGGATTTTATGAGGGAACCATGACTGTAGGAGAATATGCGGGACTGAAAGTCCAGGAAGCTAAGAGTTTGATCCGGAACAAACTTCTTGAGAGTAATGAAGCTGTTGTATATAGTGAGCCAGAAAAGAAGGTCATGTCAAGATCTGGGGATGAGTGTGTTGTGGCTTTGACTGACCAATGGTACCTCACTTATGGAGAAGCAGAATGGAGGAAATTAGCTGAAAAATGCTTGGCTAAAATGAATCTCTATTCTGATGAAACTCGACATGGGTTTGAGCATACTTTGAGTTGGCTGGACCGATGGGCATGTTCTCGGAATTTTGGACTTGGGACTCGTATTCCTTGGGATGAGGAGTTTCTCGTTGAATCTCTGTCAGATTCCACCATCTATATGGCATACTATACTGTGAGTCATTTTTTGCAAAGGGGAGACATGTATGGTGATGATACTTCAGCGGTAAAGCCTGAACAGCTGACTGATGAGGTGTGGGATTTCTTATTTTGTGGTGGTCCTTATCCCGAATCTTCAGCTTTATCTTCTGATCTCCTCTACAAGATGAAGCAAGAGTTTGAGTATTGGTATCCCTTTGATTTAAGGGTTTCTGGGAAGGACCTGATTCAAAACCATCTTACATTTTGCATCTACAACCATACGGCGATATTTCCCGATAACCATTGGCCACTGGGATTCAGGTGCAATGGGCATATCATGTTGAACGCTGAAAAGATGTCCAAGTCCACGGGAAATTTCAGGACTCTTCGCCAAGCAATTAAGGAGTTCTCAGCTGATGCTACGAGATTTGCACTTGCAGATGCTGGTGATGGCATGGATGACGCCAACTTTGTCTTTGAAACTGCTAATTCAGCAATCCTACGGCTGACTAAGGAGATAGCTTGGATAGAGGAGGTTCTCGCTGCAGAGGCATCTTTGAGAACTGGCGATGCTTCTACTTATGCTGATAAAGTGTTTGATAATGAAATGAATATTGCGGTGGAGGTGACAGAAAAGAACTATAGCGAATACATGTTCCGGGAAGCTCTCAAATCAGGCTTCTATGACCTTCAGGCTGCCAGGGATGAATACAGGCTCTCTTGCGGCTCTGGAGGCATGAATCGGAAACTTGTATTGCAGTTTATTGATGTACAAACACGCCTTATTGCTCCAATCTGTCCCCATTATTCTGAATATGTTTGGAGGAAGCTTCTGAAGAAGGAAGGTTTTGCAATAAAAGCAGGATGGCCTGAAGCTGGTTCACCAGATTTCATTCTTAAAAAGGCCAATCAGTATTTGCAAGACTCGATTGTCTCAATGAGGAAGCTTTTGCAGAAGCAGGTTTCTGGTACAAAAAAAGGCAATGCCAATGTATCGAATACTCAGAACAAACCAACAGTTGGCCTGATATTTGTAAACGAGCTTTATGATGGATGGAAAAAGGAGTGTTTAATCATTCTAGAGAAACATTTTGATCCAGTCAGCCGCACATTTGCCCCAGATCAAGATATACTCACTGAATTGCTCACTGAATTGCAGAAAAGTCCTGTTGGACAGGGTGTTAACCTTAAGCAAATGCAGAAACTCTGCATGCCCTTTTTGAGGTTCAAGAAGGATGAAGCTAAGGCAGTTGGGAAACAAGCATTGGATCTGAAGCTGCCATTTGGTGAGATTGAGGTTCTTCAGGAAAATTTAGATTTGATTAAGCGGCAGTTAGGCCTGGAAAAGTTGGAGATCTTGTCCGCGGACGATCCTGTCGCTGTTCAAAGAGCTGGGCCTCATGCTTCACTTCTGAAGCAGAATCCACCCTCTCCAGGCAATCCAACCGCAATATTCTTGAATGAATGATACAGTTCTGAAACTTCGGCAAAAATGATATCAGGTATTGATTTAAATTTCCCATCTTGTTTATTGAGATGCTAGTTTCCGGTTCATGTTCTCCCAAGTCTGGTCAGGTACCATAGAAGTACTGACGTCATCATAATAATAGTAAATTGTTGCCCTTGGCTTACCGGGGAATAGAATGAGTTGATTTCCTAGAAATTTATTTCATTTGTAGATAGCCGCCATCTATGAATTTAATATTTTTGACATTAAGGCTGTTGCTTGATTCCATCTTCAGTTGACATTAAGGCTATTGTGTGATTCCATTTCACCTTGTTTGATGCTCCCCTGATTAATTTGTGGTCCGAGCCTCCAATCTCATTTGTTGAGTACATTTTTTCTTGTGTGACATAATGACTTTTCGGGTGTATTTTCTGCAGGTAGGAGAAGTAAAGATAAGTGCCAGTTTGGGTTTTGGTGAAGCAAGTTTGATGGGCTACAAGTTCTCTCACTTCTACACTATCATATAATCTCAGAATTGCTTTGATGTTTTGGCCGTTGATGGCTTTCTTTTAGGCTAAAGTTTACCTTCAAAGTTTTGTACACTTCAATTTTGTTATTGCCTTTTTGACGCATGAACATGATACTCCTATACAGATTGAGAACTGTACTCACTGTTTTTTGAGCACTCTATTAGCCTCTGTTCAGTATTATTCTCTCTTCTTCTTTTTTTTTCAAAAAGAAAAATGTATTTGTAAAGTTTTTGTGGTAATGTCAATCATCCAGGGTTACCATCTCACCACCCAATGTTATTATTGGCAAAATGAAAAATCAACAACTAAATTATTATTAAACTCTTAAGGGGAATGTTGCTCTCATGTTTTGGATGATCTCCAAATGAGCCGTGGAATGCGAGGCACGTTGAGAAATTAAATAAATTGAAAATTTTTTGTTGCCTTATAACCTTTCGTTAATTCATTTAACTTACTATTCATTATTTAATCTTTAAGTTCTTTTCGTTCACTTTATTTCTTTTTTTCTCAAACTAGTCTTTTCATAAACAGTAGCTTCTTGGAAACTTCTGTTGATCTCACATATCTTTTACTAATTCTATTTTTTCCCATTACTTATGAATAATATAAATATATCAGTGCAAGAAAAATACTCCACTCACTGTATTTTATTGATAACATTTATAATTATATATATTCGTCCCATAAAAATATAATCATAAAAGGAAAAAAAAATCCCCGGTTCCACACCGTAGATATCTTTGCCAAACTGTTTTCGGTCTCACAAATTAGTCCTTTCTATAAGCAGTCTCGAAAAACCTCGAATTGGACAAAGCCCCATTTGCTGTTCATTTACTTATCTGTTTGGTTGTGTGTGTGTGTTTGTAGCGTCTTTTCCCAACGTACTTTTTTAACATTTTTAATACATTCTACATTCTCAATTAAAAAAAAAAAAAAATCTAAAACACACACTAAAAGAATTATACAAACAAGTCATTTTTTTAGTGTGTATTTTTAAGTATTTTTTGTATTAGAAATGTAAAAAAATGTATTGAAAATGTAAAAAGATATATTAAGATGAGACAGTTATTATTATTTAATTATGAAAAAACCAACTCAAAAAAGAAAACAAACTATATTAGGGACTGAACATTGAATTGGTAGTCTTAAGGCCTAAAGGGAACATTTATCTATGTTTGTAATTGAATATTACTCGAACTAATCAAAACAATTGTATGAACACTGTCTGTATAATATAAAAAATATTAAAAATATTATTTCCGTCCCACAAAAATAGTCCATATTGAGGGCTTGTTTAGTCAATATTTTATTTTGCCTTTTGTATCATTTTACCTCTTAAAATATCTCTCAAATACAAAACCTAATACTATCAAAATAACTTTTTAATTTACTTTTTAAAATTTATTTCAAACATTAATTTTACATAATTTTTATCCACAACTACCGGACCACCTTCGCCGTTACCGGCCTCCGCCAGACCGCCGGACCCCCATCGGCCGGCGACCGGCCAACCAGATTCTGATGAGTTGGCCGGAATCCTGCCGGTAGGTCGTCGACTGTGACAGTAGACTGTCCGGCAGTGACGGTGGGCGGTCCAGCAACGAACGGTGGCGGCAGAAGTAGTTCGATGGTGGTGTAAAAATATTATATTTTATTTAAAATACTACCCAAACAAATTTTTAAATTTTCTCTCAAACCACATTTTAAATCACATGTCAAATTCAAAACAAAAACTAAAACAAACCTTTGTCCAAACAAGACCTGAGTTTTCACATTTATACTAAACGCAGTACAAAACTAAAAACACAATGTTGATTATTTTTGTTGGACGGTTAGAGTATATATTTATCCTTATTTTGTCAGGAAAAAAAAAAGGAAAGAAAGAGAGAGAGGAATCTTTGCAAAAATTTGTTAGTAGTGTCAATACGCCACCCCACCATCCATTTGAGGACTTGTTTCGTGATCCCCACAACACAAACGGAGAAATGGATCTCATACGGACTTTGGTTGAGATTGAGGCACTTATATATGAGAAGATTTGCACTTATATATGAGAAGATTTGCGTGTCAATTGAGTTTTTGTAAGCACAAGATAAAATGTAAGTAGAAATTTTTAGTTTTGACGTGCTCAACAACATCTTTCCACCAAAGGAAAATTCTTCAGAGGTACCCAATTTTCATTTTGTGTGTGTAACCCACCAAGACGGAACGACTTAAATTGTGTGTGTGTGTGTGTGTTTTTCCCTCTCTCTCTCTCTTTTGTTATTTCTTTGATTTGGTAATCAAGATCTAATTCAAAGGAGAGATGTTCATACTTAATTATATCCATCGAGCAAATGGTTTGATGTTGAAACTAAATTAAGAAATGAATATTTCTTGTCGTTTAACAATTAACATGTTGGTACAAAGACCAAAACTGCATGTACGGAAGCCCCCAATTCAAAATTGTAGTTTTTTTGGTGTTCTCACATCAATTAGACCAAATAATAATAAACTTAGTAGTATTTTGATGGTGAGGTATGCGTTGAACTGTTCTTCAAACATAATATAATATGATTACATGTATTTCAAAATTATTATTCAGTTTAGATTTTTTTTTTTTGGTAGAATTTACACTGAAAAAAAAATTTAAATTGAAATACTGTTTCAAAAAATAGTAAGAGAATAAACTAGTACTCCCTCCGTCTCATAATTATTGTCCAGTTTGAGTTTTTATTTTTAGTTCAAATTGTACTAAAAATGAAATTTCAAACTGGACAATAATTTTAGGACGAATGGAGTACTATTGAATAAAATAGTAAGAATGCCATCGTAAAAAAAATTAAAAAAAAAAAACGTGAAGAAAGTGAAAGCGTTAATGGGACGACGATTCTGCCACGAAGCCTTAATCATCTTCCCAAGTAAACATATGAATTTATTTTCTTCATAAAAAACAAGGAATAAAATAAAAATGTGAAGGACTAGTGTGTCCAGCTTAATTTGTCTGTTCGTCCTTAATTAGGTGAGACTTCAATGTAAATTTTAGATGCTTCAGCTTTAGAAATATTCTCATCTTGACCCACACAGGTTTTGTTTATGCATTTTGATGCCAATGGTAAAATCTTATTCTAATTCATATTTATCCGTGTGGAACCGTGGATGATGTCAAATTCGATTTATAGAGCTTGCGATAAATCCCTCCCTCTCTTCATTTTCCTTGGAATAATCCATTAATTTATATGATGATGACATTTGTTGTATGGATTTGGGTGCTTTAATTATAATAATCTGAGTTCATTTTCGAGTCTCAACATCAGAACATGTACAAAAGTCACTAAAATTACTTATTATAAGATTTATTTCTCGAAAGAAAAGATTTAATCGACTCGAATTTAAATTATTAAAAATGATTTTAAACACTGAATGGATGTGCGTAGAATATATATACAAGAGAGAAACAATAATGAAACAATTTCATTGACAACAATGTATAATATTTCCAAGCATAGAGATGGCGTGTAAGATTGTAGGAATTTAAAAATCAAACCAGAAGTTTGTACGCTAGTGTTATTATTGTCAGAAAGTTTGTATTTATGACATTGTCCTTTTCCCAATTTATTCCATCATATCTGAGATTTTCTTCTTCAATTCAGGAGCCTAAGTGGCCTTATTGTGTGTAGTGTACACTATCCTTGAATATGTTGAAACAACTACCTGAAAACCAACAAAAACTATTATAAAAAGATACAAATAATTACTTCTTAAAAGTTTATTTAAGTAATAACCAACTATATATATATATATGTGTGCATATTGTGGAATAACTAAATTGGCTTTTTCTTTTTCTTTTTTCTAATTTCGTTCCGGCGGCTATTATAATAAAACGTTGGGTCTCTCTCACTGGATGTATCATTATATTTATCGGAATTCACTTATTACATGATTATGAAACTATGGAAAAATATGGTTAGATTACGAAAATGTATGTGATAGCTAAATTAAAGGCGGTACTAGATTGCAATTAATTCCAAATAAGAACAAGAGGAAAAATATACTAGCAACTAGAGGAAAAAAAATTCCACAGTCAATATGAATAAGCTATGTGTGACTGTGTGTGCGTGTGTGTTTTGATGTATAAATGTCAAAGTTTGGAAATAGGAAAGAGGAGCCAATGACTTCAACTCCTCCACCACCACCACCACCAAAGTCTTCAAACCGCCAGCTGCTGCCGGAAGAGGTTAATATCATCACTTGCTTTCATTCTTTCTTCTTCCTCCATGCCGGAAACTCATCCTCTTGGTCTTCTGCTCGTATTCTTCCATGGCTCAACTAAATTACCAAGATAGCCCTCCAAAGAAAGATAATCACCACCCTCCACCCAGGGCCGGCCGCAGCGGCTGTTTTCCGGGCTGTTTCGGTTTCTCTGATAAATCATCTACCCAAAAAGTCAAACAGAAAAAAAAAACCAAATCATGTCTTCCCTTCAAATCCCTCCGGAAAAGTGTTCCCGTGATTGGTGATGAGGATGCAATTACTGAAAAGCTTCATCAAAAAAGAAAAGAAACTAATTTTCGCATGCCCAATTTGAGTAAGAAATTCTCGGCGGCTAACAACAAGTTACCTCCACCAGCTGATCATGTGACATCCCAAACCCCCCGGCCGGTTGACGCCACGGTGGACCAAACCCAAATTCCGACTGCGGCGGCGGCTGAAGCCGGCCACGGCGGGGCTGATCATCATAATACTAATATTTTTAAGGTGCGTGATCATCATCATGTGACTATGTATACAATCCAGGAATTATTTTTTTCTTTTTTGGTATTCGGAAAATTTGGCTCTATAATATCTGTAGATTAAGAAGAATTTGTTTTTTCATAAATTTAATTGTAGTTTCAATATGTACAGATGAAGTTAGTAGATTAATTGGACTTTCATAAATTTAATTCATTTCTTATTAACAAACTTTTTTGGGAATCTGAGATTGTAATAAATTTTATTATGGGAAAAGCGAGTATTATTTTGATTACAATGGGGGGCTTCTTTTGATATTTTAATTATAATAATAAATGTAGGAAGGAGATGAAGACGATCAGAAAATCAACCTCGAAAATGGCAAAAGCATGACTAATCACTCAAATTCGATCCCTGCTGCTAAGGAGGCCCCCGCCACGTATAGGAAAAGCGTATTTTTTAGAAGGAATTCATGGAGTCAACCGGCCACGTCATCACCGGAGCAAAATAGCGAAATCAGCCAGCAACCGGCCGCGGCGACGGCGCTGACACACTCCGCCTCCATGCCGCCATCGTCGGCCGGCCGGCTGGCAAATGGCGGAGGAGGATACACGGGGGAGACTTCTTCTTCTTATTCTCCTTCTTCACAAAGGGAAGAAAAAGACACGAGAAATAGTAGGAGTAGTAAGGTGGTGGCTGGCAAGTTTGACCAGATGGTTGGGATGTCAATAATAGTGGTGACCCTAATCATTATGGTAATTTGGGGTAAGTTATGTGCTATTCTGTGCACGTCTGCATGGTTATATTTTTACCCTCTTCTAATTAGGTCCACCCATACCCATATTCATCCTCAACCAAATCATAATATCCCTATCATCACTCCAAATGCTTCAAAACCCTTGGACCTTGAACATGTTGAATCCAAAAAGTCCAAGAAGAAAGTTGTTTTTGAAGGTTTTTTGGAGAGAAGCCATAGAGCTAAAGGGGGTTGAGGTTATTTTTGTAATTAAGTTTGTTTGCAAGTTGCGAGTTTTTTTTGTTCTGTAATTTACAAATCGATCAATTTCACATAACTGTTAGCTAAAGATCGATTGTAATAGAAGCGGATAGGAGTTTTGCAATCAAAGTCGTAAAGGGTTCGGTGCCCTTCTAGTGGATCAGGTTCCAAAAAACAACAATAACCAACAGAAAAAACAAAAAAAAAAAGAAGAAAGAACGTTCCTATAACCTTTTTATGTTCTCAAGTCTTTCTAAAGGTCTTTAGGTTTTTTCTTCCTTTTTTATTTTCAACAAAATGAAGAGAAGTGGTTTGGTGGGAAATGTACATTAGTTAGTTACAAGATGCTCCTTGATGTATATTGTTACAGAGAAATTCAAACTTTGTTGAATAAAGAAATTGGTAGTTGTTTTATTTTTAATATTATGTTATGTAACCCATAGGCCAGAGGGTTATTAGTTTGCACGATATTATAGTTTATTTAATCAGCAATGATATATCCAATGACTAATTAGTACAGTGAAAATATATAGTGATAATGAAAAGACAAATACACCATCTACTTACTAAACATGTCTATTTATTAATTAAGAGTAAAAAATATAATTTTGGAAGAAAAACAAAACTTTAACGGAAAAGTAGCAAAAAATTAGAGGCCATGATTAATCTACATCGGTCAGTATATTTTATCACTATTTTTTTCCAATATATATATATATATATATGTCATTAATTTTCCTTATTTAATTACGACTTCAAAAGTGGTGCTCCAATTGTCTAGTCTTGGATCAATATTGAAGAGTATGAATATGACTTTCTTAACCATTGTGATTTTGACGTTCGTGTGTCTTTGTTTTATTCTTCAAAATGGTCTTTTTTTTTGGGGTGTGATTCTGTATCTTTCGAATCTCTGGTTTAATATGCTATACATATATAAAGAACAACGAAAATTTTATCCATTAGGTAGCATTTCACTGGAAAATTGAAATTCTTTTCATTGTGAATTGTTCATTTTTAACCTCATTATTGCACAAAGGAAGACCATTACACAGGGGTTTTGGTCAGAGGTGAATGCGTACGTTTTTTTATTTTAGCTTAACATTTTACGTATCTTAGCATTCTACATATAGAATAAAAAAAAAACCCAGCCAAACAGATTAATTAATTTAGTTCTTCACTTTCTAGTTAGTTGAATGAATCGGTTGACTATCAATTTCTTACTGTCTTCAGATTGTTTGTTTTATTTTCTTGATGGTTTTTTTTTTTTTAAAATTAATATATTAATAACTGTTCCATCCCACCATATTTTTTTTACATTTTTAATACAAAAAAATACTAAAAACACATATTAAAAAAATCAAACAAACATTTCATCATTAATTTTGCTTTCCGTTGTGCCTTTAGTTAAAAAAAAAAAAGAAAAAAAGAAAAAAAACAGTTGGAGATACACACGTGACGTTGATAAGATGGCACGTGACTTGTAAGGGAAAAGAAATATGGAAAAAAGGGTTTAATCGAAAGTTCATGTGAATTGTGGGAAATTCTCCATCTGATCGATAGGGGGATTAAAATTTGGTCGACTAATTCCACCAACCAGAACTATTTCGAGGATTGCAACTTTTTTTACTTTTATTTTTAAAAATAAAATACTGTATAGTGGAGCTATAAAGAAGATAGCTTTAAACCAAATGATTCCCTCAAAAAAGATAGAAGATAAAATACTACTAGATTGGATTACTCACATGTCGTCTGTGATTAATTTAACTACAATCTGGGTTAAATTTCAATTCCACTGAACTGTCAGCTCACGTTTATATACTCAATATAAAAGGGGTGTCTTTGTATATTTCTTTTTCACAACGAGGCAATTTTCTTATCGTTTAGCATTACGATGATAATATTTCCAAGTAATCTTCTTCAATAAATGCATTTATATGAATAGACCCTATTTGGAAAAATGGGTTTGCAAACATAATAAACTACTCGACACTTACTCTTCAACTCACAAAACTCATAAGGTTTAGTAGACATTCAAATCATTACATTTGTTTAAAACAAATTTTAGAAAGCTAAGAGACATGAACATCTAATTTTACCTCTTGAAAGTAATTGTCACTAAAGGCACGTGGCAACTCCTCATTCAATATTCCCCCCTAAAATAGAAAACTACCAGGATGGTTTGGTTTGTAAAATTCATGCAAAGAAAATTAAAAATAAATTTTTTGTAATTCTTAATATATTGACTGTGATATGTTGTTATCCAAGCATTAACCGCGAATTTTATGTTACATTTACTGATTTACTTTAAAATTCAAATTAAGAATGTAATCATATAAGCTGCTCACAATAATCATTTTCCTAATCAAGAGACATGTTAATGCCGCGAGTGCCCTGAGTCACTAGTTCAAATTACGCATCTTCACAAATTTGTTTGCGCTGGGATACTATCAATCAAATCGTAGGGGTTGATTTATGTTTCTGCTTAACATTGAGGAGGTAATCGTAAATAACGTAGAAGGGGAAAAACTTATAAGAAAAAAAAAAACAAAAGAAAAGCAGAACTAAAATCGAAAAAAAGGAAAAAGCGGGAGACGAAAACATACGGCGGGAAGTTGGGGTACTGCGAGATTTCAAAGCTCCGATACATCGATTCTCTGCTTGATTTCATCCTCCACGGGTGAGTTCCCTTCCATTCCTTGTTGAGATTTCCCCTCAATGAGATTCATGACCCATTCAGTTTTAAACCCTAGTGCTTAATTGCAGGATTGATTATCTGATTCTTTGTTGTGACTGTTTCAGAGTTTGAATGTTCTTCTGTGATTTCTGTTGTCTTATTTATTTGCTTGATGATTAAATCCAAACAAATGATGGCTGTAGTTAACCTAAATCCAATGATAAAGAAAATGGCCCGCTTTTTCTGTTTCTTCCCCCTAATTGTTTGTTACTGTCGCCGTCTCTGATGTTTTTGGTTATTTGAACATCTAAGTCCTTGTCTTTTATCATTCTTTTGGCTCGTTAATTGATGGGAATTTTCAATAAAAAAGAAAGTCTGAATTTTCCACTGAATCCGGCTTGAAATATTTGATTTTAGGTGCATTTCCCTCTGGAATCTTAATGTTTGGGTTCGTCTGCATGTTGAGTGAGGACTATGAACCACGTTTTGAATTTAGTCCGCTGCGCTTGGTGATTAAATTCTTTATATTTTCTTTTTCTTTTTTTAGGTTTTTTTTTTCCTGGCCTGAAGTTAATTCAATTTTTACGATTGGCTAAATCACCTTGCAGCAGCTTATTAGGCCTCCACTTTTGGGTTAAAGGCATTGTTTTTGTTATCCAGAAGAAGCTATAGCAATCAAGAAGTGAAATTGTGGCTTCCAATTTGGCCAAGGAAACGGCTGGTAAGGCTTGAAAGCAAGGCCTGAGGATATAAGATCAAGAATTGTGGTAAGAGTTTGGAGCAGATGGATTCTGGCTTAGGAGAAGGGTCATCAGGATACTCGACAATGGATGACTATGAGTCACTCATCTCGACTACAGACGCGGAGCTTTTGAAACGTGCATGGCGCAATGAGAAGGCCGCGCCCCAAATTCTGCGATATGAGGCTGCTTTAGTTCAGAGATCACGCGAACAAATCAAATTGATGGTACAGATTTACAACACAATCTTACTGGCATAACTTCTTCTGAATAGTCAGATTTTTCCTCATTTTTTAATCTTTGTCTGTTTATAATACTTCAACCCAGGTAACGTAATGGCATTCATATTTTGTTTAAATAGCTCTAGCTCTGGTTAATATTTTTATTCTTGTTGGCCTATTTCTTAAAAGCTTTGCAATAGTTAATTCCATTAAATTATTCAAATCTATGGAACAGAAGTTTTGTCTGGCAGAACCATTAGCATTTGTCCTTGTCCAAGCTGTCACTGGTCTATTGTATCTCTCTGCTTGTTGCATATGCAAGAAGTTCATAGATCCATGATATAAGAATTATTGGAAGTGTGAATGAGGACCTGAATTGTCCTTGAGTTGCTGCCTCCTTTGTTGATTTCAGGAAGAGACAGTCGAGGAGTTTACCAGCAGTGGTGTTGACCCACTCACAGTTTCTCTTTATCAGATGGACTTGGATCGGACACTTTTTCTCCTGAGATCATATCTGCGGGTACGCCTTCAAAAGGTAGGCCCTGTGCCATTTGAATTATGGTATTTGGTTTATAGATTACTTGTAATGCAACCCAAGCATGGTGGCTAAACGACTTATCCCATAAATATTTACAAAACAAATATCCTTATTTTATATGCAGATTGAAAAGTACATGTTTCATATTCGGAAGACTACTGAGTTGTGGAATCATCTTTCTAGGGCAGAGCAAAACTTTGCTGAAAGGTAAAAAAAAAATATATTTTCTTTTTAAAAAACTTGAAGCTATAGTATCTGAAACTTCACATTTGAACTGTTTATAGTAATTTAAGTTTATGGATATTGCTTTGCCTTTAGATGTATAGAAGACATGGAGCAGCATATGCAGCAATCTGTTCTCTCAAAATTGCCTAGCAGTTACAAATCTCATTTAAAGCAATCCTCAAGCAGTGAAGAGGATGACATGGGTAAAATGTTTGGTCATTTTGAATGAAAGAAATGTTTAGTGCTTGTCCCTATACTGCCGATACTTGGGTGCATACTTGTCTCTGACTGATTGAGAAGGCGGTTGTGGGTTATGGAGGGGGTAAGTTTGGCTGCGAAACCTAAAACTGTTGACTGAGGAAGATTTGTTATTGAAAGTGAAATCTTATAGTCATCAAGAGTCTGTAAGACTCCTGGTACGGATACCCTTTTACAGATTTTATAATGAAAACAACTCTTAGCTATTTGTATCTTATGGCTCTTTCTTTCAACATTTACTTGGTTCAGAATGTTATATGCATGTCATTTTTCATGAATGAGGCTTATTGGGTCATTTTCCTTTTGGTGTTATCTAGTGCCAGAGCCAAAGCTTGATACATATGTGATCTGCCGGAGCAAGAAATTTTTAGGAGCCTTCCAGCTAGATGACAGGCAATTTTTGAGTATTCAATGTCATCTCTTGTCATGGAGAATGAATTCATTCATTTTTCTGATGTCTATGAATTTTTGGACAGTGCTGAAGACCCTGTTAACATTGAAGCTGATGATCTATACGCTTTACCTTATAAGTCTATAAAGCCTCTTGTGGAGACAGGTCAAATTGATCTCGTGTGAACATCAGGTAGTTTACTGACCTAGCTGATCAACTTTGTATCCTTAAGCATTCGGGAGATGATAATCTATTTCTCAATTGTCTACTGTGTTCAGAAATTCGAGTTACCATCAGGGTCATGTCCAGTTCTGTGTTCTGTAAACTTTGAGCCTGAACAAGGAATCACCCAGCAGCCTCTCAGCTCTCCAGGCCATTTTTATAGACTGGTCTCATGTTAAGATTTCATTGAAAATCCAGTTAGCTGGTATCAGGTTACTGCATATTTTTTGGTTTGCTTTTGTTTCTGAAAGTTTGGGAAGGGCAGAGTTTGAACTGCTATGACTATGATGTAGAAAAATGTATTCAATGTGAGAGATTCAAGCTGCTTTATCTTTTCCTGAACATCATTACACTCAACGATCTTCCTATTCTACCACTACACCAGTATCTTAGCACGAAAGTTGGTCCATCCTGTAACTCTCATGAAATCTATTTGGAATATGAGTCAATTTTAGTCTTCTAAGACCCAGTAATTTGGTGGTGCATCCAAGAAAGAAAACAACAAAAATAATGCAACTCAAAATTCCGAATTAGTAGCAACACCCCTTTTGTTGTTGCCATCGTCATTGTCGTCATCATCATCTAAAACATTCAATAGCTGGAAGAAAAATTCAAAATGCCATGGTTTTCAAACAACCCCGCCATGTTCGTGTATGGCTGCTTCCATCTTATAAACTCCACCTTTGATAAATAGGAAGGAGAAAAATTTAAATAAAACCAGAGATAATATGTAAGGACCTAGAAATGCTGTTAAGAATATAAGGGGATTAAAATGTAATAAAACAATATATTGGGGATCAAATTTGATATATTCACCATAATCACGAACCTTTGGAACAATTTTAAAAAAAAAACCTAATTAAATTGCCTTTCCCCGCCACCGCCTACAACCACCAAGTTCTTCTCCCTCACGGCGAGCGCGGCCAGCTTTCGACAGCTGACTGTATAACCGGAACTGTTTCAAAACTTCATAAGTTAACTGAAGAATTTTGCTGCAATATTATAACTGATGGCTGGTTCGGAAAAGACTAAGAAAGGCAACAGTGGTAATTTGCCGATACTTCCATGGATGAGAAAACCGATAGACATCAGCACTATCGATGAATGCCCTCTTAATCTCATTCCTTTCATTGATTCAAGGTAAGCCAGTACCATTCTCACTGTTTCTTTGTCCTCCTAATTTATTTGTTTGTTATCTCTTACTCTAGTTTAAAAAGTAATCTTTTATATTCGTCTGATTATCGGTGTTGTTTCTGTTCTGTTGCGCCTGAATTTCTTCTCTATTTTGTCGGGTTTGTGGTGTAATTGTTTCTCTCATAAGTATCTGAGAGTTTTGTAACTTGAAAAAGAAAAAAGAAACTTACGGAGTTCTTGTTTCTTTTTCCTTCTTTCGGCCGTTTTGAATGGTATATGTGCTTTTATGATGTGAATCTTGTGATTGACATTTTCCAGCTCTTAAAAACAAAGTTATTTAATAGGAATGCTACTTTAGCATTAAGATTATACTTGGATTATGGGGTTAAAAGGCTGAGCTAAAATTTTAAGAATTCCTTCTCTGTTTCTTGGGTTGTCAGTGTAACCCTGGTAAGTAAGTTAATGAATTGAAAAAGGAGGTGTGGTTGGCAGTTTATCATGGTGTTTGTGCTTGTGAGTTTTTTGATATTTGGTGTCTGCGGCTTTAGTAAATAGTTACTTTATTCAGATGGAACTGTATCAAAGGGTGAATTTGCCGAAATTAGCAACTTCAGCATAAACATTGTCTGTTGATATTCGTGATTAGTTTGTTCTTAAAGCAACATAGGGAGCTTACTCAATATTTTAACTTGATAGCTACTGGAATTCCTGCTATATTCTGGCCTATCAACATAAACGTTTTGTTTATGTTATCTCTCATTTGTAACTTAATCTGAACTATGTATTTGCATCCTAGATTGGAAGAGGCTTTACGGAAAATGGGTATGACTTCGCTCTTTCCTGTGCAAGTTGCAGTTTGGCAAGAGACTATTGGTCCTGGTTCTTTCGAGCGAGACCTTTGCATAAATTCACCTACAGGGAGTGGGAAAACTCTAGCTTATGCTCTGCCAATCGTGCAAAAATTATCGACTCGTGCTGTGAAATGCCTCCGTGCCTTGGTTGTGTTGCCTACTATTGACTTAGCTGTTCAGGTTTCTGCCTGCATTTCTTTCTCATTTTAACATCTCTTTGTTGTCCCATGGATTCTGTTAATGTTTTATAGGCTGTGTTTAAATGCTTTGACATTCATATATGATTAGGTCAAGGAGGTGTTTGCTTCTCTTGCACCTGCTGTTGGTCTCTCTGTGGGTTTAGCTGTTGGTCAATCTTCTATTGCTGATGAAGTTTCACAGCTCATTCATAAACCAATGCTTGGAGCTGGAGTCTGTTATGATAGTGACTTTTCACAGCAATTACAAAGTTCTGTGGATATACTGGTGGCTACTCCAGGAAGGCTGATGGATCACATTAGCAACACCAAGGGTTTCACACTAGAGCACCTTTGTTATCTTGTAAGCCACATATTCTGTTTTAATCTCATGTAATGGAGGCATGATTGGGTATCTTTTTTATGTATGCTTGAGATGCATATCCTGTAATGCAAGTCCTGCAGTTGTTATCATCAAATTGTTGGGTCCTGAGTCTTTTGCACTCAAAGCCTTGTTCCCTTTATGTTGCATTTTCTTGATTTTAACTACTATCATCAGTAAACAATTTTGAAGCATTCTCAGCTGACAAATCATTTTTTGCTGTCCTCACTGCATAATGGATTTTATGAGAGGATGTTTCAGCTATCTTTATTGGGCCGTGCATATTTCTTGCTCACCTTGATTCATATGCTGTTGGTAGTCCTTTCAAATTTTCACTATTGCTAAAGATCACTAGTACATTTTGAGACATGGTCAGGTCACAATCTACTTTTGTTATCCTTTTGCAAAAAAATAATTTCATTGATGTGTGACAATACAGGTGGTTGATGAAACTGATCGGTTACTTCAGGAAGCATATCAATCTTTCCTGCCCACAGTCCTCCAATTTGCCGAGGGTTCTAGTAAAACGTTCATCCAGTTTAATGGCAACTCTCCTCCATTGTTTGGTCCACTAAAGACCATTAGGAGATCGTGAGTTCAGTGATCCTTGATTTTTTAATTTTTGGTTTATTTAAATGGATGGATGTGGTTTGTGGTCCCTGGTCCAAAGTTTGACTAGCATCTGCCACCACTGTGGTCCTGTCTTTTGTATATGTTGTTTAAATTTGTACTTGGTTTTATCTTAAAGGCTCTCTATTACTGATGCAGGAAAAAATAGGAATTAGGGTTTAAAAATTATTAGGAAATTTTGATTTAGGGAGGTTTTAGTATTTTACAGAATTTTAAGTCTTTTTAGATATTTCCCTTTTTTTAAGTTTAGGGTTTTAACTATAAATAGGGTTGCTGTACGTTTGCAGAGAGTTAGTTTTAATGGATATTTGATAATTGATTTCAGAACTGCGAGTTCTCTTTCACGGCTGAGTGCCTTTGTTATGGTTTTTATTGGTTTTTGTCTAAAAACCATTGCCTTTGTTCATGGTGATCATGAATCAAAGTGGTGTTCCTTCTTTTCATGCTTCCGCCCGCATCAATTACTCACTGGATCCAGGAAGTGAATAGACCAGCTCTTCTATTGGCTTTGCCTGAAGCCTAATGCATACCTATCATGGTGCTGAATGCATACTTAACATTTGGCTTTTCTCGGCCAGTATACTTATATTGGCTGTTAAATGAATATAGTGCCACTATTTGTCAATTCTTTTGGTTGTATCCTCCATTATGATTTTCTCTGCCAAACCTTCAAATGGGTATAAAGTGTAAGTTAGAAGTGTAACAATATTCTCTCCTTTATGTGTAATGGGTGCACTTTGGGTGTTGCGTCGAATCAGTTAAGGCTAACTTGAACTTTGTTTCATCTCTTTATCATCTTGCATTATATAGGTTGGAACTATGTGAGGCTATGCAGGTTACAAATTGGCATAGATGAACTTTACTGCAAAATTGTTTTGAAATCTTCGTTATTATGATATTTTGAAGTTTCTGCAACTTTGTATTCATTAATTTGCTTCTCATTGTTGAAGATTCTATTAACTTTTTCTCTGTTGTTACTAGGCTTTCTCTTTATCTAAAATTTTTCTGAACTGGATGCAGTGCCGTTGAAAGAGGCTTCAAGGGCAAAACATCCCCAAGGCTGGTGAAAATGGTTCTATCTGCCACTTTAACTCAAGATCCGAGCAAACTTTCCAATCTTCATTTGCATCACCCTTTGTTTTTAACTACTGGGGAGAATCGTTACCAACTCCCAAAGCAGTTAGAATCCTTTAAACTGGTATGTACATGTACCTCTACTGGCAACTTTCAAATTGTTCTTGTACTGTCGTGATGTTTTGTGCAAAAAATACTTTTCGAGGCTACAAACGTAGTATCCAACTGTATGCAAGCAAGATGAAGTTGTATTTCATGGCAAAGATCTAAATTTCAATTGAGGTATTGAAGCACTTACAAACTCCAAAGTTGTGGAAAATTTCCTCGTCAAGATTTTTAGGGCAAACGCTTTTCCATCATATATCTCAAATTACTTCCTGTAAAGGTTTGGCAGTTAGTTAAAGCTGTTCAGAACTTAACATGTGTATTAACATCTCAGCTGTGTTTGGCCATTAAAATGCGGATGGACAAATGTATATGGCTTTTTGAAAAGTTATGGTTATGGGGAATGTAAATGGTTTCATTTTCAAGTCAGCTTAATCCCATATTGATGGTTCCTTGTTTGATTCTGGAGAGTTTGGCAATTTGTTTTCGCTTGGTATTTTCTAGCATTACCGTCATTAGGCATAATTCTCTTTTAGCTTTTAGGGTCCAGGTTAAGTTTTGGAGGTCTGAGGAGCTAACAAAGAGTTGGTGACCTAAATAGTCTTCCTCTTGCATGTGGATTTGTCTGAAGTTTTCTGTCTTTAAAACGAAAAGTAATCTCCTTTCAAAAAAATGATTAAATTTGTGTATCATCTATACTTACGCTGATTGTTTATGCAGATATGTGAATCCAAACTTAAACCTGTGTATTTGGTGGCTCTCCTGCAAAGTCTGCAAGGGGAGAAGTGCATTATTTTTACATCATCAGTGGAGTCAACTCACCGTTTATGCACACTACTTAAGTTCTTTAGCAACTTGGAAATTGAAATCAAAGAATATTCACGTCTTCAACGGCCGTCGATTAGAAGGCAAGTCAATGATGTTTGCCTGTTATATAACTATATTAAGCAACTTCAAATGGATTCTTGGTGTCTAATGTTGACGTTATAGCATTTGTTTTTATTTTTGGCTCAACTTCAAATGGATTCTTGGTTTTTGTTTTGATAAAGAATGACTGTAGGCTCATATTACCTGGATAAGGCATTCCAGGTCAACTTCTTGTTATAGCATTTGTATAGTTGAGATCTGTATTACGATATTGTACAGTGCAACATTAAAAGCATTTCGAGCTGGGAAAGTCCGTGTGCTTGTTTCCTCCGATGCAATGACTCGTGGAATGGATGTTGAAGAAGTCAGAAATGTCATTAATTATGATATGCCTCCATATATTAAGACTTATATCCATCGAGCCGGTCGTACAGCCAGAGCAGGCCAATCGGGACGTTGCTTCACACTGCTTCGAAAAGATGAGGTTAGTCTTCTATCTTATGTGATGTCCATGAAATGCAGGAAATTCTTGTAATTGGTGGAACCAACTGGAGTTTTTGAATCGTAGCATTTGATGTAAACATGGATGCTAAGGTGATGTTTAAGATGCTGAAAATTATTCTACTCTTGTGGTACAATATGTGCTAAATGCTAGGCATTTTCTTAACCGAAAAACAAGTAGATAAGGCTAAAATTACAGACATTATATGGGGGTTGGATTAGTTGGAATCCCACCGAAAAGAAAAGGAATCCTGAATTGTGAATGTTGCTACATACCTTGCCTCTTTCCCTTTAGACTGCCTCATATGTACCAATGACATCTACACATACAGGTCACTGCTTCTTCATAGTTCATATGCCAAAAAGTTGACCCTTTTCTAAGTTGCTCTTACACTGTGAAACCCCTCTTTGTCATCGCTTATTTACTTCCCCCTGCTTGTATCAGGTTAAGCCATTCAAGAAGCTATTACAGAAAGCTGGCTATGACTCTTGTCCATTATATCACATCCCTCCAGAATCAGTGGAGTCACTCCGTTCTGTATACACTTCAGGTATTGCCCTTCCGTTACTATTGTTCTGAGCATTTGTAGGATCTAAGGTTTTACCATATCCAAATGGCATTAATAATTTTATTATTATTTCTCTCTTTTTTTTAAAAAAAGTTGGGGGTCATAACATAGAAGTCTGTTTGAGTGGCTGGACTTCAATGCTAATTCTTTCTTCCCACTGGCAACTTGGATTTCTTTCCTATTGTAATAATGTTCTTTTTTGCCCAGCCTTGGAGAAACTAAAAGAGAGCGTTGCATCAGAAACTCATAGGAAGCGCAAGAGGAAAGCATAGGTATGATTTTTTATAATCAATCTTTTCCATTATTATCATCATGATTCCTTAGGATTCTCAATAGGAATGATTTAAAAATAACATTTCTGAAATTTGTACTGCGGCTGAGCAGTTTTTCTTGATGCTGCAACAATATTAACTCGAACGCATCGCTGAATCTCATAACTAGATTACTGCATCCGGGACAAAGGTTGAAGGGATTTGAGTTCAGTTTTGATCTCTGTCAACTTTCTCAAATATCTGGTGGCTTTGCACATCGAAGAGCGCAAATACAAGTTGCAAAGCATTCATAAATCAAGTCAATGTGCAGGCTGAATGCCTTGATCCCTCAATTTCCATTGTAGACATGTTTTCGTCGGAAGTCAGTCTCCAAATGATGAGGATGAACATCTCCAAATTTTGTTAGAATGCTGAAGGATTTGGCAACAAAAAGAGCATGTCAGAAGGGATAAATGTTGAGCTCATTGCTTTTTGTTCTTCTCTCTTCTGCCTTGTGCTTATAATTCTTTTTTTCCCCTAAAAAATCTTAAGTTTTAATTATTGTTTTTCCATTGGGTAAATAAAATACTCCTAGTTAAGTTTATAACACATACTGACTAGAGCATCCAAATCCTTATCACATTTTTCACTTTTTTTTTTTATAGTTTTAAAATACATTTTCATCATATTATTAGGCTTCTTAGTAAAGTTTAAAACATTGTAGGCTTGTTTGGATGTCCACTCATTTTACATTTTAACTCATTTTACCTCTTAAACGCAAATCAATGGAAAAGAAAATATCATCAAAACAACTTTCTGATTTACATTTTAAATTCTAACTTGAAACACTTTTTGTTAGTGTAATGACCATTTTAGAACTACAAATAGTTCAGTGACAAATTTGGCAGGATTCCGTTATTGAGTGATTATTTTTGGAATTTTTTTTTTTGCAGTGATTATAATTAACAGTATTTAATTGTTTAGTGATGACTCGTACCTGATATTTTCAAAATGTAGTTCAAAATATTTTTTTCAAAACCAACATCCAAATAATTTTTTGCTCAAAATCCTACTATATTAGAAACAAAAACCTCCCTTTCAAACACCTCATATGATTGCCACGTGGCATGTAGAAAATACTAAATTGTCCTTTTGTCTAACCATAACTAAATTACTAAATCTCGCTTTGCACTTTACGTGACACGTTTTTTTTTTAAATTTTTTCTTTATGTTTCATTCAACTAGAGTGGTTTTTTAAATTGAATTGATCAATTAGGTTTTTTGTTACAAAGTGTCAATTTTGTTTTAAGCGTATACCCTTCGGATGAAACTTATTACAAAGCTATTAAAAATCTCCGAAACTAAGTATTGATTTGGCACGACCAATGGAGAACATCAATAAATCATCTTACTAATATTTAAATTTATTAGGATGCTTTTATATTTTATCTAACATTTACTTCAACACATATATTCGACTAAGCTATTTATATTTAATAAGTAATACTTATAAAACATTTCTAAAACATATATGGCAAAATACAATTTATTTTTTTTGTTTTGCGAAATACAAATATTTCTATGATCACACTTATAAAACATTTCTAAATCCTTCAAACATTTCTAAAATATATCGCTCCAAATACAAAATTTTATTTTTTTCAAATATAAACATTCTAAGATCTACAGATAGACTGGGCCAGGGTCGCGCATTGCGCGACCAGACATCACTAGTACTATCTAGACAACATTTTCATTTCTCATTTAGTTTTCAACTTGAAACACTTTCTACTTTTAAATGGTAAAATGAAATGTAAAATAACGTCCAAACAAGCACTTTTTTATTTGTTAAATTTTTAGAGAGAGAGAGAGAGAGAGAGAGCGGACAGGGTTAATTCCAAGCGGCCCGACCCATAAAAAGCAGGTCAAAATGACGTAAAGGATGGGACCCGGTCCACTTAATTTACCCGTCGGCACAAGTCAAAGCTCAAGGCCTCTCAGTCTCTCACTCACCCACTGGCTATCAATCTGTTCCAATATTTTTTTGCTGGGTTTTCAGATTATAATCAGCCATGGAAGCAGCAATTCGTTCTCCAGCCATGATTAACGTCGTCGCTGTCTGTGGTTCCCTCCGGAAAGGATCTTACCATCGCGGCCTGATTCGAGCCGGTACTCATTCTTTTCTCCTCACCTAAGTAAAAAGCTTTCACATTTTGGAAAAAGTAAATGGTTGTTTGTGCAATTCTGGGCTTATTGCATTTATCTTCCGAAAATTTGACTTGGGTTTATCAAAATCCGCTTCTTTTCTTGTGGGATGTACTTGGTTTTGTACACTTGTAGTAAAATATGAAGTCTTGGATTCACCGTATAATAGTGGAAGGATTTTCCTCTGTGAAATTGTTGTCTTCTCAGTTTATTTCTTGAATGGATTTTAATGTTAGCTGTTCATGGTTCACATCTTCCAAGAAAAAATTAAGTTAAAAATGTAAGGATAGACTTACTTCATGTGCTTATTGCTTTCTCCATGGAGATAAATGATAAAGATTTTATGCATTTTGGCTTTAGCTATGGAGTTATCGAAGGAGTCTGTCAACGGTTTGAACATAGAATATGTGGATATATCACCATTGCCATTCCTAAATACGGATCTCGAAGTAGGTGGAACGTATCCGCCTGCGGTTGAGGCATTCAGGGAGAAGATTCAGCAAGCTGATTGCTACCTCTTTGCTTCTCCAGAGTATAACTACTCTGTCACTGGTACTAAACTAAACAGCAAACTCATTTTTATCTTGTCGTGGTGTTCTTTCTAGTGCTTTATGCGCTGTTAATTGACATTTGATCATTTCAAAGCTTCCGTCTTTGTAAAGTTCCTGGACTTCGATCTGATTCTTTTGAACTGCTTATTGTTTCTGTTTGATTCTGTTTCTGCAATTTGGCTACATTTTGTTCAAATTAGTCTTTTAGTGGCACAAAGTGGCTTTGTTAGAACTCTTGAAGGTTTGGGAGCTCTTCTTGAAGTTGATGAAAAATGTGTTGATTTGGAGTATTCAAGAAATTAAAATGGTTATAGAGAATAGTGCCCAGATGGTTGGAAATGAAGAATATTTACACTCCAAAGCTACAACAAATTTTAGTGGATGAATTACAATTGCTTCTTGTGGTGTTTCCTGAAGTCCTCTACATCTAGTATACCAACAGAAAACAAGATTTGGTACCAAAACTTGAATGCCTTTTATCACCAACAAAGTTGTTCTCAAATCATAAAGAGGTTGTAACCAGTAAACGGTGGGATTAATTGGTTAATATCATCAAGAGGCAAGTTTTCATGCCTCCATTTTGGCTTGAACAGGCTCCCGTAGAGTAGTAATAATCCAAAAAAATAGTTGCAGAAATTATGTGCATAGTGCTCTACGTCAATGATGTCCTTCACTGATACCTTCAACAGCTTACTGCATTTTCATATTCTAATGTTAGGTGCATTTCTTTAATTTCTTTCTACTACTAGGGCCTCTAAAGAATGCAATTGATTGGGCATCGAGACCTCCAAACGTTTGGGCTGACAAGGCTGCTGCCATTGTAAGCGCAGGAGGAGGTTTTGGAGGGGGGAGATCCCAGTATCACCTTCGACAAATTGGAGTTTATCTTGACCTTCATTTCATCAACAAACCTGAGCTTTTTGTTAAGGCATTCGAAAAGCCTGTAAAGTTTGACAGTGATGGCAATTTAGTAGATACCGCTACAAAAGAGCACTTAAAGGAGGTTCTTATATCCTTGAAAAGATTTACTCTACGACTTCAGGGAAAGTGTGAATGATCTTGAGCTGACATAGAGTGTCTGTGATCACAGCTGGGGCAAGTTGTGTTTGCCATTCCAACTTCCACCATTATTCATTTGATTTGTAAACGTTATATTGGGATTTACTACGTTTAATCTACTATTAAGTGTAGTTTATGAGAATCCTCTGGGCTTCCAGTTAGCCGATGAGCATCTTAAAGCTGCGATCCAAGCTCGTCGACTTCCTGAATATTGTAGCAGACGATTTGTTGTGATTACAAATGCTGGTAACTCATCTCTATAAAGCTATTGAAAATAATGTTGTGGCATTATTAATAAGCATTATATACTATGCTGAATTCCTTCTTGAAGTCTGAAAGTTTCAGTCTTTCTTTTAAAAAGAAGAAACTTCAAACGGTTTGAGCTCAGATGGCCTTCAGTTGCATTCAGCCACTAATTTTCAACTTCAATTAACAAAAACAGAATACATAAAAGCTACTGAATCAAAATTTTATCTTTGCTATTTCGAATGTCCTTTTTCTCTTTTTCGGGTAAACAAAATAAAAAAACATTTATCCCAAATTATGATAAATTCAAAATTATTCTCTAGGTCTGAACTTATTTCGCTATTGCGTCCAATCAACCAAATGTCGAGCAACATTCTATTTTTTTATTAAAAAAATTAGTAGGTTACATCTTTTATATATTTTTTTAGCATCTCAGTTGATGTCTCTGTTTGTTTGGTTTTTTAAAATTATTTTAATAATAATTGTCTCATCTCATCATACCTTTTTACATTTTCAATACATCTTTTCACATTACGCGATAAAAAAAAACCTAAAAATGAAACAAACATTGAGTTTTTAATGATGATTAACGACAGCGTGTACGGAAAACAAAGCAAGTGAAAAGAAAAAAACAAATAATAGGTGAAATCTACTCATAATTTGAATAAAAAAAATGCAAACGTTGGTCGGAATTTGATTTCCGATAATTATCGGTGTGACATTGTGGTTGATAAAACTAAATCACAAAATAAGTTCAAATATTGAGATTAATGTCTAAATTTCTCCTAGTTTGGAATGAAATTATTTTAATTTTCCAAACCCTTGGACTAAAATTCCTTTTGAAAGTGGGGTTTTCGTCATTTAAACACTAGACTAGATATTGTCGTGACGGCCTCCTGTCCCTTTTTCCTTTTTTTTTTTTTTTTTTTTTTGCTTTCTAATTTCTATCAACAACCTTTCCACCCATACGCCATCAATAGCCAGCCCAGTCGTGAGTTTCTCCACTGGAAAAAAGTTCAGAATCCCGTTATTCTTGCCGGATCTCCGAATAAGCTGTGTGAGTTTTTTTCCCCTGTTTTGGCTTCCTCCCAATTATTTATATCTTTCGCTGTAAATCTTTATAGTACAGTAGGATTTAAGCAGAGTGTTTTTTCCTTTCTTTGCCCCGAGACCCTCTTTTTTCCCCGTTTCTGGGTACTGTTTATATGCTTTACTTATAGCCCTTGTAGTCTCTCTGTTGTAACAGTGGCTGTAATTCATGTGAAATTCATAATCCAATATTTTATTGAGAAGCCGAAAAAAAAAAGATTGTTTTTTTATTCTAATTCTAATCAATGATAGAAAACAATCGATAAAGAGCAGAGTTTTGCATGATGGTTTACTGATTCGGAATAGGCTTAGATTTGATTGTTCAGACTTTATGCTGGTTCTGGTTTGCCCCTTTGGTGTCTTGTAGTTAAGGTTGTTGATTCACTTGAAAATTGAAATCGTCGTGTAGAACGATTGATACTTGAAGTTATTGATTAAATATAGTTGGATAGCTTGCCTTGTAAAGTGTCTTGGGTTGGTTGGTTTGAGGTGTAAATATTGGTCTAAGCTTTCTGATGTTCTAATCAAACATATATGTTCCCTGAAATATGTCTATCCAGGCTAATTACGGAACCATGGAACTAAATCTAATGCAGTTGCAGAACCAATATTTGGAGTTCATGAGATCTGTTTATCGCGAGGTCAGTTATTACATTCATGATTATGCTACTGAATCTTCCATAATTGAGAATTTAGAAGATTTTTTTAATCTATTCGCTTGTAATCTTATTGCTGGAACAATGTGTTGGTTTCTATGTTCGCTTTGACTTTATTGATTTTTTGGTTTGTTTGTGTATTTCTGTGATTGACGGAAAAAGTAGGAGTTCCTGGATGAGCAGTTTGCACAGCTTCAGAAACTGCAGGATGACAGCAATCCCGATTTCGTGGGTGAAGTAGTTTCTCTTTTCTTTGAAGACTCTGAGAAGCTTCTCAATAATTTGTCCACTGCACTGTAAGTACTTATTGTCTTTCGTTTGATTACTTTGTTCTAGATTTGATTACACGGCTTTGTTTATTGATTATCATGTGGGATATTACTTTAATTCTTATGGTATCCTTCTTCAGCCAACAACAATTCGTGGATTTTAAGCAGGTTGATGCTCATGTCCATCAGTTTAAGGGTAGTAGTTCCAGGTAAATCTTGCTCTTTAGATCCCCCTATTTGCTTTTACCTTCTTTCTTTTAAACTTATTCACCAGATTATTTGGCATTTGAATCCGTGAGCCTTAGTTGAGTCATGATCAGAACCTGGTTTTTATTTACCTGAAGCTCTTATCCTTTTTCTGTGCAAATTATAAATTAACCAAAATGATTTCAAGATTGAAGTATTTGGATTCAAAATATCAAAGAATAGTTATAACGGCATTTTGTTTCATTGGAGAATCCGTTTGAAGAGGGGTTTGTTTCTTCCAACAGCATAGGTGCGTACAGGGTGAAGAACGCATGTTGCACCTTCAGAAGTTACTGTGAAGAGAGGAACTTTGAGGGGTGAGTTTCATTTTATTCACCTTTTGTTTCTCGTTTTATATGCTTGACTTATTAGAAATCGTTCATCCAGGTGCGTGAAATGCCTACAACTTGTTACACGCGAATACTACCTTCTGAAGAACAAGCTTGAAACTTTACTCCGGGTAAGTGTTGTCAAGAGGAACCCCTTTATTTTATATTTCTCGAGTGTTTAGTTTGATTTACAAAGTTAAGCAATCGTATAATTAGTGTTTAGGAATTTGCTCAAATGGTAACTTTGCACTTCGTTTGGAGAAGGCGTCTTTACAGAACTTTGTTTGGACTTTTGTTGTGTCTACAATAGAGCGAAACTGTAATACGGAGAAGGAATAGGCTAACAAGGTTGAGCGGGAAAAAAAAAAAAGGCTAACAAAAGAAACAAAAGCAAAGGTTTTTTTGGTCTGTCTTGTCAACATAGCGGGATAAAGGCTGGTTTGTCATTGTCGATTGCTCCATCATTCTGTAGAATTGCCGTAGGTTGCTCTGCTTTCTATCCATTAGAGGTTCCTATCCCTCCGTTGTTGGAATTTCGGGGAGGGAATTGGTAGGGAAACATGGTTACCAATTTTGGTTTTCCAAATACTTTAAAATTTGGCTTCCAGGCTTACGTGACATCGATTTGATGTTTGAATGCAGCTGGAGCACCAGATATTGAGAGCAGGCGGGACGGTACCATTGCATTAGCTGGCGGGGCATTCAGTCATGTTAGATGGTGATCTTGTTACATGCTGCTGATAGAACCAGCTCCCCCCATTAACTGTAACAATCAGAATTCTGATTAGATCTTAGCTGTAAAGACCCAAGGTTTTGGTTCTTGCTTGGTTAATTGGTTTTTCCAGCTTGAAGCCCAGCTTATGAATAGGAAACGATATTTGTGTCTAGAAATTGTAATGCTGTTTTGCATGGAATCGCATGATTTGATTAGCAAACCAGGAAGAAGAAAAGTAAAAAAGCCAAACTGTTTAGAAGTTGTCTATCTGCTGCCATGTCCGCAATGAGTTGGTCGTCTATGTTTTCTTCCAATCTCAGTGAAACAATTCTTACAATAAAAACAGTTCAACTGTGACATGTCACACATGCTTAACGTAACAAGAATTATACTTACATACGAAATATGAAATTTGTATACCACCTACTAGTCTACTCTACTATCACTACAAAATCAGATTAAAAATTTTACAGGGTCTTGATAAAAAAAAATCAAGAAACAAGGATTAAAACTGCAATTACAGGTCCTTAAATTTTACTATTTTTTTTTTTTTATGGTGAAAAATTAGAGGCCCTAACAAAATTATTACTATAAGAAGTCGTAATAATAAAGGTAAAAAAAAAAAAAAGGGCAAAATTTTTCACCAAAGACGGTTCCAAGTTTTGACAATTGTGGGAAAAAGAGAAGTGCGTAAGAGTCACGCCTTGTAAGCCTATACTCTGGGAACGGCCCAAAACCCTTTCGCCGCCTGAGCCCTTTATATATACCGCTCCACCAGCAAACCTTCGGGAACTTTCCCTACTCCGTTTTGCGTCTTCTTCTTCTTTCGCATCTTGGATTATTCTCGATTAAATTTGCGATTACTTTTTCGGAATCTAGGTTTTTATCAACTTTAATCTACAATGGCGAGTAACGAACCTGAGCACAGCAGAGAAGAGGAGGAGAGCGCCGCCGCCGAGGATGAAGACACCGGAGCTCAGGTTGCTCCTATCATCAAGCTCGAAGAGGTTGCCGTCACCACCGGCGAGGAAAACGAAGACCCCCTCCTCGATCTGTACGGTTTTTGCTCCTTTCCTATTTGAATTATTCGTTATTAGTCCGATCTGCTTCAATCTTAGGGTTTCTGGTTATTGATTTTATTTTACTTGGAAAAAAATTTAGGAAAGCTAAGCTTTATCGGTTTGATAAAGAAGGAAATCAATGGAAGGAGAGAGGCGCTGGTAGTGTGAAGCTCTTGAAACACAAAGAGACTGGAAAAGTTCGTCTTGTTATGAGACAATCTAAGACACTCAAGATCTGCGCTAATCATTTAAGTCCGTTTTCCTTTTCCTGTTTTCCCTTTTTTTGTGTTTCGTTTGCCTGTGTAAATTATAGTCAGTGCGCTAGTAATTTAGCCTTGGGTTCCATTTTTCTGCTTGATCTGAACGGTTTTTTGTCTGTGCTTTTTTTTTTTTTTGTTTTTTTTTTTTTTGCACAGTTGTTCCAACTATGACAGTCCAGGAACACTCCGGGAATGAGAAGTCTTGCGTGTGGCATGCTGCTGATTTCGCTGATGGCGAGCTCAAGAATGAGATGTTCTGCATGAGATTTGCTTCTGTTGAGAGTAAGTTTAGTTCATTATGGATGCATACACTTTTGTTTCTCTTCAATTAAATTCTTTTGGATAACTGCAGTTTTTGTTCCCTAATTGTGGCTACCACTGTTAGTGATGATATTTGTTCCTAAGTTCTTACATGGTTGATGCATTACGTATGAAATAGAAAGTCAAACTAACCTGCTTAATGCCACGGCAGTCCTTGGCTTATTGGCTTCTCTGTGTTTGTCATGCTTTTGGTCATTGGTCGGAATGATTTCTGTAATTTGGCTTGCTTTTGTTAGTAGGTTTTAAATTAATTCACTCTAAAACCGCCTCTTCTCTGGATTTTTTAACCTAAAGAGGCTTAAGAAGTTGAGAGCGTTGGTGATCTGGAGGTGTACTTGGCATTACTTGTACTTGTTTTAGTAGTTAATTATCTTAGATACACATCCTTTATTTGAATGTATAAATCTCTTTTGTTCGATTAATTTGAGATGCATAAAGTTGTTTGCTATTTTGGGATGTTCATTCTTGGTTGGGCCTATCTTCTGTTGCATGGTTTGTGAATATAGTATATTGTCCACATGTCTATTGTCTAAATACTTTGGTTCTGTGAAGATTTGTTTAACTTTCTACTGTATCTTTGCGTTAGTAAACAACTTTTATTGCATATTTTGTCTGAAGAATGTGGTTTATTTTTCTTGGTTCAAGGCAATTTATGCTCTAAAAAATAACAGTTTGAATTATCTGTTATGGGTCGACTTGTATACTAGGTTTTTCGATTTCTTTTGGCTTGAATTACAATACTCAAGTTAAAGTATTTGGATAATCTGGTTGGGGGAGGGGGTGTTCATTGCACTAACTATACTGGGGAGCCTCATGAGGAAGCTCCTACTTCTACTGTCTTTACTGAACTTGACCAAGTACAGATAGAAATAACAGGTGTAACTGAGGTCTCCTAACATCCTTGTTATTCTTAGCTTTAGTTTCCATCAACTGGTTTTTGTTACTTCAGACCTATTGGGTGGCTGAGAATCAAGTCCCTTTCTTTGCCACATTGATGAATAGGAAATTTTGAGACCCCTTTCTTCTCCGTCTGTCTTTATCCTTCTTTGTAGCACAGCAAGTTCTGTATGTTAACATCTTGCTTTTGTCATGTAGACTGCAAGACCTTCATGGAAAAAGTGGAAGAAATTGCTGAATCTCAAAAGAGCAATGAGGAGAACAAAGATGCATCTGCAGCTGCTGGGCTACTTGAGAAATTGAGTGTTGAAGAGAAGAAAGAAGGTGAAGAGAAAGTGAAAGACGAGCCCACCAAAGAAGAAACAGCTTCAACTCCTGCTTCTGATGCTACTCCTGCCAAAGAGAAGGAAACTGAAAGTGAAAAAGGAAAGGAGCCATCTTCTTGAACTTGGAGGATTTAGTATCGGGAATCATCTCTGCCTTTGAGAGATGATTAAACCTCAGTCTCGCTCCCAGTTGTGTCATGGATGGTCTTGCTGAGGTGTGTCAATGGATTTGTGTAATTTAAGGGGGGAAATCAAAATGGTGTGTGGATGGTTTTCATGGGGTCAAAAGGGTCCTGTCAGATTGGTATGGTTAAAACTTTGAGTCCTGTGTTTTTTCTTGGGCGTCTCTTCAATATAGTACTACTCTGGATTGGTTTTGTGTGAGTATGATTATTTAGAAGTTTTGGTCAGCGGCATTAGATCTGCTTTACATTGAGTCGTATGCTTTTTAAAGGATGAATGATTTTATCCTTGTTACTATGATATTCGTTGGATTTCAATACAGCTTTTCTTGTTGCCCACCTCAAGAAACACGCAAAATAGATTCCCCGTGCCTGAAATGAATACAGGCAGCATGGTTTCTTTTTCCGGTTCTTATTGCATACTTAATTACTCCCTCTATTCCAAAATATAAGTCGTTTTAGGTTTGGAGAAATGTTTTAAAATGTAGGTTGTTTTAGGATTTTAAGGCTATATGATGATGAATTTTTCAATTTTGTCCTTTATTAATTGTTAAACAGTTGTTTTATTAGTTTTTATGCAGACTGTAAAGTGGTTTATATTTTGAAATGAGTATTATTGAAAAAATCATAATTGCATACTTCACTGCCTCCAAATAGAAGAGCAACCAATGACAATGGTTATTGATTTTATGGCGGAGGAAGTAATATTTGATGAGAACTGACCTCAACAAGCAAAGCAGGAGATGATATAGTTCAGAGTTCAGACTGTCAACTAAAACAAAATAGTGAATGGGGGTTTGTAGCTTGGGTATCTAGAATTGCTTGAACTCGGGTACGGGTTGTACAACAAAACCTTTTTAGTCAGTCAAACTAGTAATGTCGGTGTTCTCCTTCTTGCGTTATTGATACTCCAGAGACGAGTTTTTATCAAATGTCAGAACTCAGAACTATTGTTGCGTGCCATATTCACCATTCGCGTTTTGATGTCGGTCACCCTCTCAAAATAATAAAAAAAAAAAAAAAGAAGCGGGGAAGCTATCAAGATCAAGATGATTTATTTAATTCTACAACATAAAATTATCATCAATTTTAAATATTCTATAAAATAAGCCTACCGAGTAAGAACCCCAGATGTGTTTAGTCAGCCCTCAGTCAGTCAATTAGAGCGTAACAATACTTGGAGACAAGAACAACAACAATAATAATACTACTCCCTCGTGTGCTTAATATAAGACATTATGATTTTGTTCTAAGTTTTATCTGATACGCTTTTTGAATTGATAAAAAAAAAAACCTTTAAATATATTTTCACGTTTGTCATGTTCTAATTATTATAAAATATTTTTTAAGATTTTTTTTCCAATTAAAATTACATACTATATCAAACCTATGACAAATTAAAATGTCTTATGTTAAAGACAAAAAAAAATAGTTGTTAGGTCGGAAAGTAAAGTAAATAATAAAGAATTGACTGCGGTGTATAAGGTATTTGGACATGTGGATTGTGCTCCGAATGTAAACATTGGATTCTCAAAAGATTTTGTGTGTTTTCTTCTTTCTTTTCTTCCGATGTGGTATAACCCGTACAAGTACAAACAATTTCTAAGTAAATTCCTTTTGGTATTCCATTTAAAGCACAAACAAGTTTAATTAAATCTTTAAAAAATAAAATAAAATTACATGTGTTATTTAGAGTTCAACCTTGCACTGCTGTTCTAAATAGTTGCTTTTATTCCTTACTAATTTTGTTACTTTTGTGAAATTTTTTCCTTACTAATTGCTTTATTCCTTACGTTTTATTTTCTCTCATCTATTAACTTTTGTGGTTTTTTCCTTACTATTTTCTCTCATCTATTAACATATATTAAGGAGAGGAAGTATATAATAATAAATATATAAGAGTAACATATATAACAGATTTCTAATCCGATCAAGGATATAACACTAACTTTCAGTTGAAAACTCCCAATCGTAAACTTAATAATAATTAGATTTACTATGACTGAATCTTATTGGACTATGCCTGCCAAATCGACGAACACCTTCAATGAAACCGCTACCGCCGTATCTGCATACGTCACCAACGAAATCGTCACCATACTAGCGAACATCAACAAGAATGCTGCCGTCATACCAATAAACATCGATAAAGATGTTACCGCCATACTGTAAATAATAATCTATAAACCGTTTATTGAAACTAAATTAAAACACAATTAATTAAAAGGCTAAAGAATATGAGTAGCATTATCTCCCCATCCTTTCATGGTGGAAAGATGGGGAAGATTGTTTTCTTTTTTTAGGGTTTGAGGGAGAGGGAGAGGGAGGCGGCAGAGAGGGAGAGTTGGATTTTGATTTTTTTTTTTTTTTTTAGCTTGTTAACTTAGTTTAGGTAATCTTAATGTGTGGGTGATTTAATCTTGTTAACAAAATGAATAAGCAAGTAAAGAAAGGAAGGAGTAACAAAATTAGGAACTCGAACACTCTGAAGAACCATGTTAATTAAATTAGGAACAGTATAACAAACGAAACTCAATTTTGTTTTTTTAGAAACGCGGGTGAATGATTGGACTTAGGCTGACTGGATTGAAGTTATTCAATTTCAACGGGGCATATATTATTTGTTCATACCATCATGAGCCGTGATATGAATCCAATTTCCTAATTTCCCGGAAGGTGAAAAATTTAAAGTTTTAACAGGCTAGTTAACTATGTGACGAAAATGTCCAAAACACATGTGACTAAATTAAACTGTTTCGTAGAAAGTTTCGGAAAAGAGAAAGAAATTAAAATGGAGTAGTCATACTATATTTGCTCCGACGTGTTGAGTAGATTATTTAATTAGCCATGCAATTCAACACCCCCAGCCTGCATGGTTTTTATAATATATCTTCTCTTCTTCTACTCTATATAAATATATATATATACACCCCCAAACAAAGAGCCAGAGCCATCACAAATCTTCTTTTTCTTAGTAATCAATCCATCCACCCATCGTTACTCATCATCCACACACACACACACACAGAAAACACAAAAAAGCTTTAGTTATGGATTCAGAAGATTTGGCACTGTTGGCATTCATAGAGCATCAGCTCCTGGATGATCATTCTGACTTTAACACCTTGTTTTCCACCGGCCTCCTGAGTTCATCATTTGGTCATAATAATAATAATAATAATCATAATAATGAGGTGATTCCTCCGGCCATCACCCGCCCCGGTCCCGCCAGTACTAGTAGTAGTAGTAGTAGTAGCAGCGGCGGCGGTGCCAACAGTGATGACGAGTATTCGGCGGTGGCGCGTGGGGCGGCGGCTTCTAGTGATGCGTGGAGGAGGTACCGGGGAGTGAGGAGGAGGCCTTGGGGGAAGTTTGCGGCGGAGATAAGGGACCCGAATTGCTGCAGCAGCAAGAGGAAGAAAGGGTATTCCAGGAGGATTTGGCTGGGAACCTACGAGACGGCGGAGGAAGCGGCGTTGGCGTTTGATCAAGCGGCTTTCCAAATCAAGGGTTCTAAAGCTCGCCTTAATTTCCCTCACCTCATTGGCTCCTCTGATTTTGTTCCCCCTGTCCGGGTCAACCCCAGAAAGCGCCACCCCCACCATTTCTCCTTTCCTTCCACGGCATCAATACTCGGTTTGGATCAAAACAAGGCCAAGTTTGAGACTATTGAATTCACAACAGATTAATATATACTCCAGTTAGTTTGCTGCAATTTTTTGTAAGTAGATTGATAGCCACTAGGATATGGATGTTTGTTGGCTCGGGACATTTTAGATTGGATATCTCATTTTAGACCCTTTTTTTTTCTCTTTTCTATACCTTACAAAAACAATTTACACAGAGCTAGAATTTTTATTTTTTTATTTTTTGACAGGATGTCTATTTCATATTTTCATTAGTGAAAGTTACCTACACTATTGCACTGCATTCTATTATAAACTAAATTACGTTGTTCATGGACCTCATTTCTACTAACTTTAATCAATTGGCAAGAAATGAAGGTCGAAATTAAACTTATAAGTAATAACATTATTTCCTGGGGCTTGCCTTGGAATAGGAGCATTCCTAAGATCTTGCATTAAAACCTCACAACCGTGTAGATATTAACTCGATTAATGTCGAAATTTGATGCTTCCTTGAGGCACTACAACAAAAATGGGTTATTATTATTTTTATAATGGAATACTTTTTCTAAAATGTGCTTCATTATATGTGTATTAGGACATTTGTTAAAAAGTGTCTTATTAAAAATGAAAAAGTGTATGCATGTTATGAAACACTATCATAAGTGTACTATTGGGGTTGCTTGTGAATTATTATCCTATTTAATGGGTCATTTTAAAGTGTCTTAATAAGTGACAATCTAATAATACATTTTCAAATGTTTTATGATTTATTGTGACTCGATTATAGGAGACACTATTTAGTAGTGTCCCACGCAATGTGAATCACATGTGTCCTATTACACCACTTATTGAGACACAAAAAAGTGTCTAAACTACTCATTTTTATTGTAGTGAGGGCTAATAGACAAGTAAGTGCCTCCGTCTGAAGCGGAGATAAAGTTTGGATATTCACTGTCTTGATTTGCATTATTATGTCTAAAGATGAGATAATCTTCCATGCTCTCCATCTGCTTTCCGTGTTTGAGGATGAAAACAATCATCGAAGGTAATTGAGGCGTAATTATCCAAAAGTGTCTGATTTGTATTATGTGGAATTGGGATTGAAGGTGTTCCCCCCACATACGAATCTTTTTTTTTTTTTGACCTCGGCTTCATTTTGGATGATCAGCTAAGAAATAACTGGATCATTGTTCTGATTTCGCCATATTTTGTCGTTCCTTTACGACCATATCCTGCATATAATAATTAGGAATAGATCTATATCATCTGTTATGGGTTTCGAGTGAATTCATTGGATGTACCAATCAAAAAGAGATATATGTGTACCATTCATAATCGATTGGAAGGATGAATATGTGAAACTCTAAATTGCTTGTGACACTTGACAACTGAAAAAGAATGAACATTATCTTTTTCGTATCGACCATATCTAGGGCATCTGGTATCCAGTTCCACCCCTCTTTTCTCCAGCTCTTTGCGTATGGATAGGCCGTTAAGTAAAGCCCTCCAAAACAAAAGTTTTTGTTTAAATCGAACTTTGGAGTTTCATAATTTCTTCCATGCCATAGTCTCTATTGTAAACTGAGGATAACTTTGGGCCACCAGTGAATCTTGCAAGTTAAGTGCAGTATGATATCATATTTTCACAGGATATTCCTCACGAGGTGTTTTCCACCATTGAAGTTTGTCATCCTAGTTTACTCTAGCCGGGTCAACGAAGGTTCCGGTAATATGCGGGATCACTAACGGTGGGAAGATTGAGTTCAGGACCAACAATTTCCATTGACCATTAGGCCTCAAAAGTCTTTGACCACAACAGAATTTGTGCCCGAAATAGAGTTTGTTTGAATAGGATTCGAATGATTTGGTATCCAATCCTCAAAAATTTTGATGCTTTTTCCAGAAATCACTTTTCATTTGACATAATTATGGAGGAGTTGAGCCCCCAGAGCTAGAAGTTGTGTACTAAGTATATAATTAATCTGATTGTTTACTTCAAGTTTTTCGTCTCTGCTACTGGTTACTTGAAGTGCCTGAATTCAATGCACTCATGACATAATGACATGTTATTCGTTTCCACAGATTAAAGCAATATTGGCTTTGTGTTGATCCATAGGTGCATTTCATTCAAACCAAGCTTGAAAGATAGATATACTCATATACACATGGAAAGGAAATATGGAAATGCAGAAGGCAGTGCATATTACACACAACAGTTGGAAATTTTTTTTTACAGCGATGTTTTTTGGTTAACATTAATGTTACAGAAGAACCACAAACCATCAAATATTGCTCACCATATATCATTTCTATCTTTCGTTTCGGCGTCTTCCAGTTGCACTATATACTTTGGATCAAGCTCCTTGTACATGCTGATGTCTCGAAGCCTCTCAAAGTAAGAAGTCATCAGTCCATTCTCCCTTGCAATCTTGGAGCGAATCCAACCCGAATGGTTTCTTGGTGCACCAGTCACGACAACATTGGTTTCGTTGGTGATGAAGTTAGCAAGAGGGACCATTGCTTCTGGTTCAGTTGAAGATGAGGCATCTGCCAGAAAGATGTGACTGAAGTGGCCAGCTGTTATTCCTTCGCCGTATAGGCGGTAGCTGCTCATGAAAGTAGTCAAAATCACCTTATACTTCTTAAGCTCTTTAAGTGAAGGACAGGTAAAGCACCCTGCGTCATCTTCGTAAAGACAAGAGGGAAGTATATCCAATGGAACACCATCTACCTCTCGAAATGCAGCATTAGCCCTGAACATATCAGACTCCGATATACCTTTCTTCTTCAGGCCTATCATCAGGAGATCACAAGTTTTGTTCACGGGGGAACATACAAGGATTCTCTTCGATGGATCAGCCCGTAAAATCTGAAGTATCGCCTCAACAGCGAGCACTCCGGTTTTTGATAAGCCATCGCCTTTTGTCACAAGCGGTCCTTCCACTAAATAAGGAGGTGCTCCCCGAAGCCTTAAAATTTGGCGAATAGCCAAGACCTCTTGCTGAGGTTTGTATCTAGGAAAAGTTTCTGCAAAAGGAAGCTCTCGGTTTGGTGTTGGGTTAGGGAATAGGAGGCCTCCGAATATAGATTTTGATGCAGCTCCAATTGCCTGGTGAGCCCGCTTTAAACAAACTCTATTAAAGGAGAATTTGACATCATATTTGTTGTCAAGATGATGGAAACAGTAAAAGTCCTCTCCAAATTCTGCCAGCACAAGATTGCTCTTCACAACGCGATAAATAACACCCTACACAATAACAACAAAAGCATGTTAGATAAATTTGTTACAAGCAATTTGATACTCCCTCCAGTTCTAATTATAACGCACCAATTAGTACTAAAGTTGTTTCAAATTTATGCCTTATAATTAGGACTAGAGGGAGTAATATTGATTGCCTGAAAACAAAGTAGAATAGAGAAAACATTTTCAAGTTTTGATAGCAAAACTGAACAAACAAATCGACGAATAAGCCTTATAATATCTGATGAATGTAGTTTTTAACACCTGAAATGTCTTCCCTTTCCAGTTTAAAGGTTGCAGGGAAACAAAATCTCTAGATATCAAGAATGGCCTCCTTTCCCGTATCTTGTCGAGTTCAAATGCAACAAATAGTTTTTCATCACTATCATCATCTTTGTTTATGTTTCTCTGTTTTCCCTTCCTTGCATAAATTGCTGCCTCATGCAACTCCACCTTCATGTTCTTCATCTCGAACCCATCCCACTTCTGTGACATTAAGAAACAAAAGGTACAATTCCACATCTCCTTAAGATTGTGCATATCACATAGCTTGACAAAGCACTAATGAAACTTGACAAAGCAATATATACCAAAATCTCTTACTCTGAAGGCAAAAACATTAATGAGGATAGAAAGTTTTTTGGTGTTAAATGAGCAGCTTTGGGCCATTAAGCTCAAGGAAGCAGTTTTAGCTACCTCCCATTCTCTTATGTCAAATTTGAGGAAGTCCTGTCTGTAGGGAACTTTGGAGCAACTATTAGTTTTTGCTAAAGTATTGATAATTTATTTTCAGAATTCTAAAGATTGCCTCTGTGAAATTGTTCAACTAGCATCTAATAAAGAAGACATACTCATCATTTATTTCACTGCATAAGTATCAAAGATCAATAAATCAAAACTACTGCCTACATGACATATGCAGCAGAAAGATTGACTGTTGCTGTGAATCGTAACAGAAGAGCATGTAGGCTGAGATATATATATATACATACCTCAAGGTAACAGTCCTCGGCGTACAGAAGAGCATGGAAGTAATCTTTGTAAGATGACTTAGACAAGGGCATCTTGAGGAATCCCGGTACAATGTCTCTCTCAATCAAGCTTTTGATCTCCTTCGGAAACACATAGGTAGACGATGCATCCTTCTCTATCCAAACGTATGTATTTTTGCTCTTTGGACTTGAAGAGCTTGAAGCTTCCAGAGAGATGGTCCGCTTAGTGGAAACGGGAGGGGGTTTTGCTCCTTTTGGAGATGGAGGATTTTTTAAGGGTGGAGAAGAAGAAAATGGATTTTTTGTTTTTCCTGCTGAAGCAGATTTCCCACTCTCATTGGTAGGTGAGAATGAAGTGGGAGTCTGAGAAGGAAACGGAAGCGTAGTAGAAGATTGAATCAGATTGGAAGCAGCAGCATTTACCGACTTTGTTAAACCAGGATACAAAAAAAATATACTGTCAGCCCTATAGCTACTTGTTTTTTGTGCGGAGTTGAGCCTTGAAGATGTCTCAAACTTACAACCTCCGTCAAGAACATGGTAGGCATACTGCGAGGAGGTATGCGGCCTGATAGTACTTTCATAAGATGACCTCTGCCCCCCATAACTGATTTCCCTATCTCCATCATCATCTTCCATGCCAAGAAACCATTTCCATACGGCAACAAGGAAACACATTTCTCGCTTCCAAATCTCAACACCTTCTTGCTAACACAGACACATGTACAAAAGAAAAAACTTAGAAATATGACTATAGTACAAACTAAGCAAGAAAGATCAAATGCCAAGCTCTACTTTACGCAGTGGCTGCTTAAGGATCACTCTCTGCAAACAAAAGCACTAAATTACAAATTGATGCTTGAAAGGGTTCCCTGGCATATGGCTAGTAATAGAAACTTTGGTAATCCCAATCGAACTATGCGATAGTGAAAAATATATATAACAACAAAAAGGTCAATTTTGCAGTTTCAGATCCAATAACCATAATTCATAAACATCAAGCAGGAATTAATGACTACTTAATGAACCGTCTAAACTGTAAATTGCAAAGAATATATAATTAGCACTGTATGACTACTTGTTACAATTAGCATGAGGCCCCTTCGAAGAATATATAAATTTTCTACACAAATACGTACCCACTTCCAAGGAAAAAGTTACTCTTCTAACACTGTTTTAAGAGAAGGGGTTTCCATAATCCAGGTTAATCATGTTTATAATATTGCAAAGTTTAAATTGGCATCCGTACAAGCAAGTTGATCAGAAGATGGAAAAGGCTGAGATGAAAGGATATAATCACATGCATTGCAAGCAGTGTACATAAATGGAGTTGAAGCTCAGATCAAAAACCCAAAAGAGAGAAAAAAATAAAATGTTGCAATCTTCATCAACTTAAACAACATGAACAGAATTTGAAGCAAAAGACAAAAAAAAAAAAAAAACTTGTCTTACAGTGGAATCTTGTTCTGTCCTGAAGGGATGATCAAGGAAAGAAGATGATCCAAACTTTCAAAAGCAATGCAAGAAAAAGGAGCTCGAGGATGAAGACAGTGGAGCCAACTTCGACTGATTTGGTTGAAAGACTTTGGGAAGACTTTTGCCTCAAAAGCAACATCACTAACCAGCATTATCATTGGCGGTTACTGTGGTAACGTACCAAAAGTTGATGTAATTAATAAATTATAGTACAAGTATTTGGTGACATCTCAAATGGAGTTAAACAGATTATAATAACAAAATTCACAATAGTAACAAAAAATATAGAAGTGGTAAAATTAGTTCATTAATTAAGAGACTTAATGCATAAAAGAATATACAACTCCCTCCGTCCCACAAAAATACTCTACATTGAATTTTCAAATTTGTACTAAAAACAGTACGAAACTTAAAATTCAATGTGGACTATTTTTGTGGGACGGAAACTTATGTTGTAGTGAATTTAGCATTATTTTATAAAATATGATTCTAGTTTCCTATTTTAGTTCTCGACCTCCTTCATAATAACAAAAAATTACGTATTTGGGCCATTATTTTGATTCTTACTAATTTATTAACTACTTTCTGTAAACTAATTAAACTCCCTTTGTCCCAAAATTATTATCCAGTTTGAGATTTCACTTTTAGTACAATTTGAACTAAAAATAAAAATCCAAACTGGACAATAATTATGGGACGGAAGAAGTAATTCTTTAAATGCCGTAAATTATTAACCTTTGATTTTTTTGAGAAAAATATCAGAGAAGAATTTAATTTAATAATATATGTGCTGAAATGACGAAGTTATCCTTTCAGCTGCTTCTAGGCCTTTACTCTCTCGTCTAATATTTGTCTTCTTTGCTTCGAATACTTTTGGTCGGTTTGTTTCTTCTATCCCTCAAATTCTAGGGTTCCCTCAACCCACCTTTTATTCCCAATTTCTGTCTCCGCCAATTCGCGATTCGGATTCTCTAAACCCTTTAAGCAACGAGTTCACAGCTTAGAAAACCCTGAATATGGCGGCGTCTGGGTCGGTAGTGCCCGGAAATAGGAATCGTCGGGCTGGGGCGAACGACGAAGGTTTAGTCTTCGAGACATCCAAGGGTGTGGAGCCGATTCTGAGCTTTGACGAGATGGGCATCAAAGACGACTTGTTGAGAGGAATTTACAATTACGGCTTCGAGAAACCATCCGCTATTCAGCAGAGGGCTGTCCTTCCCATTATTACTGGCCGTGATGTTATTGCTCAGGCCCAGTCTGGAACTGGAAAGACCTCCATGATTGCCCTCACCGTTTGCCAAGTCGTTGATACCAAATCTTCAGAGTGCGTATTTTGTTTCATGTTTATTGTCTTACTTTTTAGGGTCATAGTTTTAAAACTGAGCTATTAATTTTTCTGCTGATAATGCTTGGGGCCAAATTTAGGTTATTTTGAGCTGGGAGAAAGGGGGGGGGGCATAGGACTACATTGTGTGCTTTTGTTTGGTACTGGTTTTATTTGATCATTTGAAAGAGGATTTGTTGTTTGCCTGCTTAGGGTGGTGTATTGATTTATCTGGTTTTTGGATTCTCTTCCAGTTAATATGGTTGTTTTGGCTTTTTAGTTTTTTGGATACTGGCCTCATGAGTAGCTTTAGTTGTTGGATACATAATGCTAATTGAGACTCTGGAGAGTGTCACATTATTTGCAACCTTTTCTTTTATGTTTTTCTTCTGAGGTCATTTATTCTTGTCTTGTACCTCTTTCGTTGCTTTTGGGTGGTGAAAAGTTTGTTCTTTTAATGTTTGATTATCCCCTAGTAATGAACCAACAATTTCTAGGGCACACGTACTGGTAAATTTAGGTTAGAGAACGAAGATTGAAAGTTTCTGTTGTGCTTTTTGGGGAAGGAAATTTCTCATGCATTTTTGTGGTGTTTACTGTATTAGGTTTTCTCTCTTTCTTTTCGTAGTATGAAGTGAAGAGTTTGCTTGGAGATGAGAGCATTTATAGGATAGGCAAATGGTTGACATTAAAGGAAAGAAATTTTGTGCGCTGGATTATTGATAATAATTGGTGTCCTTTTTTTTTTTTTTTTTTTTTCTTTTTGGTGATTTAGGGTGCAAGCCTTGATATTATCTCCTACAAGGGAGTTGGCTGCACAGACAGAGAAAGTGATACAAGCCATTGGTGAATTCATCAATGTGCAAGCGCATGCTTGCATTGGAGGCAAAAGTGTAGGTGAAGATATCAGGAAGCTAGAGCATGGGGTTCACGTTGTTTCCGGAACCCCTGGGAGAGTATGTGATATGATCAAAAGAAGAACTCTGCGAACAAGAGCTATCAAATTGTTAATTCTTGTAAGTTTATGAATTTTTGTTTATTTATTTATTTTTCATTTGGCCTATTAATTTTGAGGTTTCTTGGTGAGTCCTGACTGTATTTCAATGTCAATTAACAGGATGAGTCAGATGAGATGTTGAGTCGTGGTTTTAAGGATCAAATTTATGATGTCTATAGATACCTTCCCCCTGAGCTTCAGGTAAATTCATATTCCATTGAAATTTGGCAATTCCTACATCCTTGTTAAAAAGTTTTGTTACTTGTTTTTTCCCCCTGGGAAATCCTTTTTGGTATTGAATGCTTTGCGGTTTTTTCGTTGCTGCTCATGAAATTCTGTCACTTTTCCTTATAAGATTTTCTAAGAGTGTTGGGTGTTCTGCTGCTATAATATGTATCATTCGTTTCAACTTCTACATGGGCCTGTACTATTTTTATGGTATCTCAATTAATTCAACTTTTTTCCAGGTGGTTTTAATTTCTGCCACCCTTCCGAATGAAATATTGGAGATAACGAGCAAATTTATGACAGATCCTGTTCGGATTCTTGTCAAACGTGATGAATTGACTTTGGAGGCAAGTGATATATAGTCAGTGATTGTTGATTTCAAAGCAAAATTTGGCACAACTGGACATTTTAGAACTAACTAATTTCATGGCGTTTATCATTATGCAGGGCATCAAGCAATTCTTCATTGCTGTGGAAAGAGAAGAGTGGAAATTTGATACTCTTTGTGATCTTTATGATACTTTAACCATCACTCAGGCTGTTATATTCTGCAACACTAAGAGGAAGGTAAAATTATCATTGTTATTCATGTCTCAACAAGAGTTGTGTTGTACTCTAGAAGTCATTTGACTGAATTTGCTTTTGGGTTTCATGGAAGAGTGCATGCGTGTTTCTTCGCTCTTAATCTATCAAATCTTTATGTTGTTTATCTTTTATGTTCTTTGTACCAGCTGTTGTCTAAGAACCTGGTGTCGCTCATTAAAGTGCATCTTTTCCTGAATAATGTCCTGTTTGACTGGAAGAATTGAGGCTCTGGTGTCTGATTGTCTATTTAACAGCTACCATGTTAAAAGGGCCTAGTTGCTCTATGGTACCTAACATGGGGGATCTGTTATTCCTATTTACATCTCTAGTGTATCAGCTTATTTGAAAAGATGAGCCAAGATATGTTAGCGATGAAATTTTAGGTGAACTTTGTTCTTGTGATTCCCTATTTCACTCCAATTTTGTATCATGATGTAACAGGTTGACTGGCTAACAGCTAAGATGCGGGAAAACAATTTTACAGTCTCTTCAATGCATGGAGACATGCCCCAGAAGGAGCGTGATGCAATTATGTCTGAATTTCGATCAGGTGAAACTCGTGTTCTAATCACCACTGATGTTTGGGCGAGAGGGCTTGATGTTCAACAGGTAAATCTTTATGGTATTCCTTAATTATTCTTCTTATTTTTGTCCTGCATCATTTGTTGGAACACGTGGTGCTATCGTGGGTGAAAAATGAATATGGCTGTCAGTCAACTTGTCTCCCATTGGACTTCTTTGTTTCTTCTGGGAGGTGCCGTGTCAACTCCTTTTGCAACCTGGTGCAGTGGTCGGTAGTTGCAGTTACATGATAAGATGCCTCATAGAATTAAGGATAAAGATAGTTAATCTGGTGGTCATTTGCCATTTGTAAACCTGAATATGCCCAGATATAGGGAAGGTAAATAAGGAAGGTATAAACAAGTTGAAATTGTTAATCTGGGCATGAGGTTTGCGCTGTGCTTTACAATAACCCAAGCGGAGATGAGCTTTTGAGATTTGATTTCGTTGGTTCTATCTGGGGCAGTATGTTTAGAACATCAAACACTTGTTAGTTGGTATCATTAAGTTGCAGGAACTTTTTTATTTGTGGATATTAGAGCAGTTCTTAATTCGATGATTCATTAATTCCATTCACGGATAGACTTGTCACCCTTTCATCTGCTTTTACTTTCTTTTTTTTTTTGTGGGTTTGCTATTATGATTTCTCTTTGGTTCTGGTGGACAGATGTGCTTTATTTAGCTCACACTGATGCTAATCCTTTTGTTCAAATTTTTGTTTTGAAGGTTTCATTGGTGATTAATTATGACCTTCCCAACAATCGAGAACTTTACATCCACAGGATTGGTCGATCTGGACGTTTTGGACGGAAGGTATTCTAACATATACTTTGATGACACTGCCTCCTGCTTTATTAGGATATTTACACTTTCTTCTCACTTCAAAGTAATTAGGATATATACATCCCGCTCTTCACAATTTAGTACATAGTTGTGAAAAATTCATTGAATTGGTGTTTGAAATGTGATGATATCTTGTAGACTCCTGCTAATGGCCCTGCTAATTGAAAAGCATTTTTCCTGCCTGGGAAGTTGGTTGCAATTTCATCATGGTGAAATTAAAATTCATAGTATCATGATGTAAAAGTGTCTCGTGAACATTATGTACAAGCATAATTTCGCTTATTGGTGTACTCGGTGTTTGTTGTTGCCTCATACATGCTGCTTGTTAATATCATTGGACATTGTCTTCTTACTCCTTTTGCAGGGTGTTGCTATCAACTTTGTTAAAAGTGATGATATCAAGATTTTGAGAGATATTGAGCAGTATTACAGTACTCAAATCGATGAAATGCCCATGAATGTGGCAGATCTCATCTAGGCCTGCGCATCTGGCTTTGTGATTTGGTTTTGGGAATATTGTTGATGGCACGTTGATGGCGGATGGTGTCAAAAAAGATCGTTTCAGTTTGAGTGCAATATTCCCCGACACCACCAGGCATGGTTTGTTGTGGATTCTGCATTTGGTCTTTGATTTGCTGATTGAAATATTGTTTTAAACAGATAAGTAGGGAGGGGTACCCTACTGGTGAATTGTAATTTTTGGGAATGGTAGAGTCAGTAGCTGGAAACTAAGTTAGAGGTAGCCGTGTATTTCAACACTTTGGAGAGTTGACACTGGAAGTATTTATGTGCTTTTATCTTTTCTTTATTGATGGCTTTATTTTATTTTTTATTGCGTGATTTGTAAAGGATAATGGATATTTAGGTGCAAAATTGGGAAAACTTTGCTAGGAAAAAAGCACTTGTAAGAATGTGTAAATTGGAAGGCTGGCTAGGAACATGATTTGAATGACATCAGCAAATTTATACAATCATCAAGACAAAAGTATTTAACCAAGTAATAAGAGTGCTAGTGCTTGGAGTAATCTGAATTCCAATGGATACCATCATTTTGATTACTCTCGAAACAATAACATAACCCACAGCTGAAACGGAATCTTGGTATCCAAACTTGGGACTGTTACCTCCTTGGCAGTCCACCGGTGTAATGTAGGTCCGTTTTGGATCCTTATTCATGGAACTTCCCCCACACACTTTTCATTTTCAGCCACTCCAGAATTAGTATCAGTTTCAAGGCTCCCGCCATTACACACTAATTATTGCAGAATAAGTTTTACTTTTGGATTAATTAATCTCCAAAAAAAATAGTTCAAACTTGATTGAACTGTTAAAAGATGATCATGTTGTTGGCGTCATTTAAGCCGACTTTAAAATCCTGGGACGTCATCTATACACACCATCACACCAATTACCTCCCTCTTTAAGGATTTCCCCTTTCTTCTTTTAGGAAGCACAAATGGTGTATAGATACGATGTTTTTCAATCGAGAGATTTGAGAAAGCGACCCACACTACTTTAATAGTTCTATCACCGACATTAATTTTTATATTTTACGCATTGAGTGTTTGAAATTACTGCCGACTGATGTGGATTCAAGTCATGTATGTATTTTTTTGAAGAGCAATACTTTTTTCAATACGTATTATCGGGGGCCCTTTGTTATTATAATTGATACTCCCTACATTTCACTAAACAAAATTAAAAATTATTTCAAGAATACATACAGTATAACAAGAGAAGGAGAATTTGAAAAACTTGAAGGACCAGTTTGAAGTTTTAATAAACTTTGAGGGAACGACTTCTTCTTGCACGTGAAAAAAGGACGTCACGGAGACCAAACGGCGTCAAACAATTCCCTCCCGCCCTAATTTGCTGGACCTCAATCGGACGAAGGTTTCTTCTATTTCTACCTCTGAACAAACAAACAAACACACACAGACTCCGAACTCCGAAGGCGCAGCTCTATCGGGTCGGGTCTCCCTCCTCTGGTAAGCCGTCCGTAAAAGTTCTCCGGTTGTTCCTTTTTTATTCAAGAATCTGCTCTCCTTTCTATAGCAAACGAGTGTTTTGTGTATCTGAATTATTCAAGTTTCCCTGAGTTTAGAAGTTTCATCGTTTGGGGTACTTGCTGGCCTGGTCTGTTCTCAACTGCAAGAATTGCTCCAGAGTCTTTATTACTATCATAAATGTTCTTATGATAACTTGAATGAAGGATCTTACAATTCAGAAAATTACTTTAAAATGATTAGAATCCACCCCCAATGAAAACAACATTGAAAAATCTTTTTAGGTTTATGTGAAAAGGGAATTGGACCCAATTAGGTAGTGCAGCCTGCTTGGCTTTACTTTTAGAGCTGTCAGTGCTGAATGCATTACTCAATAACACCAAAAACATTTTCTCTCCTTCAACTTCTTATTGCCTATATGTATTTTAATACATTTTTTATTTTTCTCAATGTTGATACTGTGTTTGTACTGATCGAGCACGATGACGACATATGATCCATTTAGCCGACACCACCTAGTGGGAAAAAAGCTTGTTGTTGTTGTTGATACAGTATTTGGTTATTTCTTTTTAACTTTGAGACTGCTGTCACTGCTTTGGTTACCTCAGGTGTCAATGGATTTAGACCTCTTTGATGATATTCTTGGGGATAATGCGACAAAGAACGGTATAAGTGTTTTCCCCACTTTTTATTGTTTACTTGTTAATTTATATTGTCTCCACATGATCGAATAGAAACTGGGTTGCTCATTTATATGCCATAACAGTGCGGGCTGGTGGCAAGTTTCAACCTAAAGCCAAGCCCCGACCCATTAAGAAGAACTTAGGTGGTACTTCAGTAAATATCTCTCGGCCAGTTCCGACTGTTGGTGCTTCTGATAGCATATTCACTGGGACAGAAAATCCGTTATCATCTGGTGAGATTCTTCTCTGGAAGTTCATTCATGATGCCCCAAAAAGAATTAAGTTTTCCACTGAAAAATACTACTATAATATATTTATGGCTTCATCTAAAGATAGGATACTTGTTTAGTCTGTAATAGAACTGTGAATTGCTGTATTTAATATAATTGTTTTGTCTTAATAATAATGACGTTTCCGTTCCAAATAACCAAGCTTCTTGCAGATGATGGTAGAGGCGTTGGAGTAGTTAATACAGCCTCAGCAGAACCGCTTCCTAGCACTGAAAATGTAAATTGTGCTGTAGCTATGGATTCAGTCATGGATGGTCTTATGCCTGACAGCAATGACCACTGGCATTCAAGCTTTGAAAATTCGATGGGAGAGGTAAGTTCTACCTTTTGCTTGTGTGGTATTTGGGTGAAGCTATGTTGCTTGAAGTATGAATCCTTTAAATTGTAGGGTGCAGACATATTTATTGGCCTGGAGTCACTGGATGAATTTCTTCCTGCAAAAAGGACTGTTTTGGGTGAGTATCATCCAATTTGCTCTAAGTTGAGCTATTAATGGTATTTGAGAACTGAGACCACAGGTGCTGAGCTCATGTTATTTCTAACAAGATATTGTATCGTTGTGATCCAGATAATTCTGTTCATTCTTCTGAGGAACCAGATGTTTGTGTTTCTGGCAGTCCTGCTGTAGAGCATAGGCTCACAATTCCCCTCAATCCTGGCATTGATGATCCTGTCAGCATGTCTAATACTCACAACATCTCCACTCAACCTGAAACTTCAACATCCCAAGATCCATTAACTGGTGCTGATACTATTGTTGCTACAAACCACAGCCTCACAGATAATAACAACTTGATAAGAGAGGTAAAGACCATCTTAGCATTCATACACTTCAACCATATCTGAGGGTACAAATTTGCATTTCTTTTTTAATTTTCTTTTTAGTACAAAAGAAGCTACATTTCATGTGGCATGGTACCCCATTTCTTTATGTCTCCTGCAATGTCAAATTTTATAAACTGTCAGTCTCTATTCGTTTGTTAATCCTGCTAAAAAAAGGTGAAATTTTTCTTCATACCAAGCAAACCAAGAACAAATTTTCATTGTCCATTAAAATACAAATTTACGATAAAATCTACTCATATTGTTGTTCAAAGGAACTTTCCCTCTCCTTCCGACTTGACATTACTTGGGTAAGTTTCCAAGATACTTTTTCTCCCGTCTCAAGAATAGATGAAACAGAGGTGGCTTAAATATTTGAAAAGGAGAAGAAGAAAAGAGAGGGTTTTAGTATTTTAGATTTGAAAAATGGATGGACTGGGCCTGAAAATGAGTTGTTTGCAGCAATTGCAGGCTAATCAATGTTTGGAGGACCTAGATATGTCAGACTTCACGTCCACCTCTGGTATGCATGATTCTGTCTGGACCTTGTGCTTCTCCTTTGTGTTTCATGTACATTTACAAACTTTTTATTTGAAGGTCAGCGGATTGGAAAATTTCAACCCAAATTAAAGATGCAGGCGAATAGACTGAGGAACAATGCCAACATTCACGATCAGGTTGTGACTGGGCATGTTAACTATGGGCCAGATATTCCATCTGTTACTCCCAGAGTTGATGTTGTGGATCTAATGTCAGGTCCTGCCTATACTCAGGATGATATCATTGATTTTTCATCTAAGGGACCAAGTAATGCTGCTCCTGCCCAATCCACGTCTGAAGTTCTAGTAGATGAATCATCCATGGATTTTGTGGGGGTTGCTCATCAGGAAGTTGGTATTCCCGGAGAGAACATAGAGCCTGATCGTGAATTACCTGAAAAACTTGTAATTCATCTCTTTTTGGTTGCGCTTAACGTGTTACCTATATATTCTTCTTATTGCTGATACCTTTTCGGTACTGCTTTTTTGCTCATGCTTCACAGAAGGCAAATACCATCGAAGATAATAATTATGCTGCATCAGAATATTCTGCTCAGGTGCACGCTTCCACATCCAATGAGACAACAGTGGCTGGTAGAGTGCTTAGAAAACGGAAAAAGCAAATAAATGCGCATGAACTCATAGATGAACCTGAGGATGAGGGTCTGAATGACACTGATCTACATGCTGAATCTCTGAGTTTTTCTATTGTGAACGAGGATGATGGGACTGATGAGGAACTTCAAATGGACAGTGAACCACAGAAAAAAAATTTGCGGAACAAGTCCAAGAAGGTTGAAGGTGAGAAAGAGAAACCAGTTAGAAGGAGGAAGAAGGATATTGAATCATCAGGAAAAGCTAAACCGGCTGCCAAGAGGTTTTCTCATTCAACTCAGAGGAGAAAAGGTATTTACACTTTGCTAACTGAGTGTTGAGGCATCATCACTTTCTTTTAATATGTTGTCCATCACCTGATCTGTTTTGGCAGTTGACAAAACTTTACTGGAAACCCCTGATGATGAAATAGACGTCCGGAAGGTGCGCTTAAAGGATCTTATTTTGCTCCGAGAGCACAGAGAGCGTGAGGCGGTATGTTTCTTTCTTTATTTATAATTGAGTTTTCCATCTGTTGCGACCTACAAACTGCTACTCTATTTTTGTTTCTCTTTCTTTATCAATTGAAGTAGTAAGCAAATGAGATTGTTAGTTATATATAACTGATTTTGTAGTTTATGTTCTTTGATGACGTTTCTTTCATATTTTTTACCTACTGGATTTTTCTTATATGTGGTCTATTGGAATGTTGTACAGAAAAACGAGGCAAAATCATCACAAGCACAACATCAGAATCAGCGGTAGGCAATTATGTGTTTTACATTTCGTGGTCCACTAGTGTGCATCACAGGAATTATTTGAATGAATTAGTACTTCCTTCTTTCGTATGTTTTACTTTTCGTTCATGGCTTCACTTTTGCTTTTGGGATTTCTGGGAACAGAGGCTTCATGCTCAAACATGTAAACATCTGTAACATGTCTACATATGTATGTGTAGCTTCATTCGTACCTGAACAAGTACCCGTATGTAGTGCAGGGTGTTATATGCAAGAAAATAATTGGGAAAGTTCGAGACTTTCATTTATCTTGTCTTTTCTATTGTTTTTCCTCTACATCACAATTAAAATTGGGTTAGCAATTAACAGTACTGGATCATCCTGTAGATGTTGTCTTGTTATGTGATAATGTTAATGAAAAGAGAGAGGAGGTTAGTCATTCTCCTTGTTGAAACTTTGAATCTACAAAAAACACTGATGATGCAGTATGTAGTTGTCCAATATTCATCCTGGCAATTTAATAGTTCCTCCCTCATTTTTATATTTATTCTTCCGTATCTTGTCGATTTTTTGCCTTTCAGTAATGGCAATGAAGATGGGGGTGCTAACTCATATGAACCTCTTGGTGAGAATGAGACATTTGCCTCAGCTCAAAGTGGAGAAGGAATCGACGACGAAGACGGTTATAGGGATGAAGAATGTCCCGACTACATCAACTATCAAACCTACATGATCAAAACTCCTCGATCCAGATGGACAAAACAGGACACAGAATTGTTCTATCAGGTGTTTTTACTTAGCCTTCTATTTGTTTCTTTTCCCTATTAAATTCATTTTGGTGCTTAGCTTAAAAATAAAACTTACCGCGATCTGTCCCTGTTCTGATTAAGCAATTCAATATGTGATATTTATTTGAGGATGTTGCAAATAATTTGTAGGCTATGCGAACTATTGGGCCTGACTTTTCATTGATTGAACGACTCTTTCCTGATAAAACACGTAAACAAATAAAGTTGAAGTACAAGAAAGAAGAGCGACAGCATCCTATGAGGCTTCACGAAGCTGGTAGTAATCCTGCCAAAGGTAAGTATGACCTGTTCTCTCTTATGTGCTTTGGTGACAGTTGATGAACTTTTCGTTTGGTGAAGAATGCAATAATATCAGTGGTGTAATTTTCTGTACAAGAAAGAATCTTGGGATATAATATTGAGAGGATTGATATTTTTCTTTTGTGAAAGTGGAGCTACTCATTTTGATGCTAGGGTGTAATGTGATTAGTTTTGGGAGGGCATTTGATATCGAGTAAGAGATTTTTGTTGATATTTTTATCTGTTGTTGTCTTTTTTTCAGATCATTCCCTTTACAACTTATTGATAGAGCGTGTCAAACAAAATGCGGCTGAGGAGGATGAAAATATCTCAAGAGCTGATTCAGTTAGCTTGACCGGAGAGGAAGAAATGGAGGAAGAGACCCCTGAAGATGGTGTAAACATGGTTGTGGTCTCTTCTCTTTTTAACATTCTGGTTTTCCTATCTTTTTGTTAAATGCTTGAATGTTCTTTGCATTTAAATCGTTTTTCTACCCCGCTTTTCTACCGGGGGTAGAAAGCAATGTAAATGCTCATTTCACCTCAAATCTTTCATTTTCCAATATCCTGGATTGGGGGAGACCTTCTCTTGTACTTAAATTCTGTCTCTTAGTTTTTCCGATGACTGATTTCTTACTTGAGAATCCATGGACGTGAAACAGGATGAAGCAGCTAAGCCTGAGCAAATCGATGAAACAGTCGACAAAAATATGGAACCAGATGTTGCAGAAACTCAGAGCCCTGTCGGGGAGTCTCAAGATAGTGATGATGATTTCTTCCGTTGGAGTCAATATAAGAGTGAGCTATGACTGGTGTGGTGACAGAGGATACCAACTAGGGAGCTCCTTTTTGATGGAGATTTATATTTTCGACAGCGCCAAAAGAATTTTGTACCTTAACAGTAAACCACTTTGCTAATGTAGTTAAGTTGATTTTTCTTTCTTTTTTTCTCATTCCTTTTTTTTTTTCCTGCTTTCTGTCACCATGATTCATGTATAGTAATAACAATGAACACTACAGAACATAATTAGGCTGATTTGTTACATTCATTCATTTTTACTGTCTCCTTCCCAAAATGACAGCGGTTACAAAAATGATTATTATTTTGAAATAGAGAGAAAGATTACTCGCTAACGAGATTTACACAGTTTAACTTTGTATGTTGAAAAGAATTTTATAGAGTTACAAAAAAAGAAGGGAAAAAAGGATGAAAACGCACACATAAGGGGAAAAAAAAGTAACAATATAATAACAAGAAAAAGAAGGAGGAAAAACTTTCGAGGGAATAGAAGAAACAAATTTATTTTTTTTTTCTGGAAAAAAAAGGTCTGTCCTCCTAGACGTTCGGCTGAAACGCTGGAAGTGGAGCTTCATTACCCACGGGCGACGGTGACTAACAGTAAGTAGCACCAAACCTTGCAAAACTCAATAACAAAAATAGCCATCACATTTCTTATCTTTTCACTCATAATCTGAGCTACATATCAATTCCTCACTCGCACATAATTTGTAATCACTCCCTCAAAGTTCTGTTTGGTTCATTTTTTCATTGTTTTTTTCAGAAACTTTAATTAATATTTGTCCCGTCGCAGCATATCTTTTTACATTCTCAATGTACCTTTTTACATTTCCAATACACCTTTTTTGGAATTTTTACTATGGAGTTTCTTGTTTAGATGAGGATATTGGAAATTTGAAATCTTTGATTGTATTCAGGCGGCTATGACTGAGCTATTTTTCCTGCCATTGCTATTAGGCTTTTTTAAACAAGTTCATCAATTGATGCACTGTGCTTGGCATGAATGGCCTTATTCAGCTTATTTGATTTTTTTTGTTGTGAGAAAAAGCATGTTAGACTTCCCCATTTTCAACAACGTGGTTCCAGTGATACTAGGGAGTTGCATTAGAGCATGTTAGGCCATGCAAATGGGAGATGTTGAGATGAAAATTTCAAATGATCATGTGAAGAGAAAGGCTGTTCCTGATTGATGAAAAGCTTTTTTCTCATTCTCTCCCAAGAACAATTAGATCTTTATGTCCTGGTGAAAATAGTCAGAATTAATTCTAGCTTTGGATTAGATTGCATTTTAAGCTTGAAAATCCGTAATTTGTTTCATTTCATTAATCGGTTGGATTCCCATTTGAATTTGATTTAGCAGTTAAAGGGTGTTCAGTATACTCTTAGATTTTGGTTTTGGGTTTTCAGATTTCTAGAAATATAAATATTTGGTAGATAATAACACATTTCGGTTGGTGATGGTTTATGATAGATGGGAGAGCTAAAGGTTGAAAAGCATGTGAAGTACATCCTAACAGTTGAAAAGGTATGAAATGTGTGCTTTCCTTATATCTTACTTGTTGAATTTAAGCACATCAATTTAAATTTGATTTCCAGTTTTTTTGAGCTGTCTTTGTTTTTTTCAGGTTATAGTCTTTCTCAGAAGAAGGATGATTTTGAATCTGTTGCAATGGGACATCTTCGGTTGAATGGTGCATACTGGGGTCTGACAACTCTTGATATTCTTGGAAAGCTTCACATTGTAGATCAAGATGATGTAATTCCTTGGGTGATGCAGTGCCAGCATGAATCTGGTTTGTGCTTACCTACCTTTGGTTCATCTTTCAATCTGCGATCAGTGAAAAACCTTTTTAGTTCACAATCGATATAGTGATGACTTGTTTTGTTGTTACAAATTCATTGATTCGCGTGAGTTCTACGCAGGTGGTTTTGGTGGTAATATTGGCCATGACCCACATCTGCTGTACACTCTTAGCGCTATTCAAGTTTTGGCGTTATATGACAAGATCGACATTCTTGACATTGATAAAGTTGCAAACTGTATCCTTCACCTGAGTGTATCAGATTTTAAAATTGCAAACACATCCTTTTCATATTTTTTCTTTAATTATTTTTCCTTTTAAGGGTTAGAACTCTCTCAGTTCATGGTCCTGTCAGTAGTAGGTTTTGTGTATGATGAAATAATTGTGGCAATTGCGAGCAAAATTCAGACAATGTTTTGCTTTGTGGCCTTTGCACGTGCTACCTGTAGGTATGATGCACCATTTCTTGAGCTAAACGTAGTGAAGTTTCTTGTGAATTCCCCTTGTGCCTTACGGATGTGTCAAAATATTTTGTCGAGCCAAAAAACAGGAATTATTGATAAGTTTGGGTTAATGCATTAGATTGATTCAACTTCAAAGGGACATAATGTGTTGTCATTAGCTTGCGAACTTGACATTTGGAGTTAGATATGGCTAGTTTACAAAATGAAGATGGATCCTTTAACGGTGATAAATGGGGTGAAATTGACACAAGGTATTCTTCCTGATTGCTCTTTTTTTTCCCCCCCTTTTCTGAAAATAACTCTTAGCTGTATAACATGAGTGGCTTCAAGCTTCAGGTTCTCTTACATTGCAATATGTTCGCTTGCATTGTTAAAGTGGTTGGATAACATTAATGTGGAAAAAGCTGTGAAGTACATTGTTAGTTGCAAGAATCATGATGGTGGATTTGGATGTACCCCTGGTGCTGAGTCCCATGCTGGACAGAGTATATTCTTATTTTATTTCTCTTTGCAGCTATTTAGTTTCTTATGGCATTACTGGTTCTTGTTTGATCTAGTTTTGCTGCTTCTGTTATTATGTAGCACTTCCCTGTTAAGTTCTCATTTTGTTCATGCATTGTAGAAAATGTTGAGCGTATGGCAATTCATGTTCAGACAATGGTTTATAATTAATGCAGTTTTTTGCTGTGTGGGAGCACTTCCTATTACAGCACTTGCTATTACTGGTTCTTTGCACCATGTTGACAAGGATCTCCTTGGGTGGTGGCTATGTGAACGACAAGTCGATTGTGGAGGTCTCAATGGGTGCCCGCAGAAGCTTCCTGATGTAAGGCCATATGTGTTATTGCATGGTAATTCTCAAAATGGGAAAAGAGATGTTATTGGTTGTGTTGATTCTTTTGGTGGCAATTCAGGTCTGCTACTCTTGTTGGGTTCTTTCTAGTTTGATAATGATTGACAGAGTTCACTGGATTGACAAGGAAAAGCTTATCCAATTCAGTTTGGACTGTCAGGTTGGTTACTTTGAATTCACTATGCTTATGTTTATTCTTGCAAGTTGCAACATCAAGGGAAAAAATTAAATAGTCTTTTCCGGATAAATGTAGGATGAGGAGAATGGAGGAAGTTCAGACAGGCCTGATGATGCCGTTGATGTTTTCCACACCTATTTTGGAGTTGCAGGTGAGACATTTGGAAAATGATGCTAGATTATCTGTGTAATAAATGACACTGGAATGCTTGCATCGGCTAAATCGAATCCGGCAACTTGCTATTTCCACTTCGCCTGTGAATTGCCTTATTTGCGTACATTTTCCTTTTGGTAATTGAAATTCTGGTACTTTTTGTGTGACCATTTAAATTGTGCATTTGGCAGGCCTTTCACTTCTCGAGTATCCTGGAGTAAAAGACCAGTTGAAGTTGTAAATAGAATCTTAATTGGCAAATAGTTCCTGTATGATTAGAGCACTGTTACATCCTGATTCATCAAGGGTGAATGGTAATTTGAGATAAAACTAGGCAGGGAAGGCTCTTTCCTTGTTTTTTTTTTTTTCCCTTCCTTTCTTTGAGGGAAAGGATTGATATACTTTTGCAGTTTTAGGCTCATTATGTAATAGAAATGATACTTCACTTTTATCCGTCCAATTTCAATCTGCTTCGCTTTGTTTACACTGCGTGAAAAATTGAAATATACAGCGAAAATGTTAAAAGATGAATGCCTTCGCAGGAAAAAGAAAAGAAAGGTTGGAACTTGGAAAAGCGCCAAAAAATGAGTCACCCTACCTCACACCAAATAACTGGACAAAGAAAAACAAAAAAGTCCCTTAAAGCCCTAAACCCTTAAAGATGGACTATTTTTGGTTTTGTGCAACTCCACTAGAACAGCAGTAGAACTAGAAGCGTCAAATAACAACGGTGGCAGTAAGGATAAGAGTAACTTGGCGTAGCCCCGAATGAAAAATGGCTTCTTTGCTTCCTGTACTTCAGTGTTCTTCTTCAACTGTCTCTGCGTCTTCTATACCTGCTTCTTCTCTTCCATTGACTCCGTTGCCTAATACGGCTTCAATTTCTTCTTCTTCATCTCCATTTTACCACAAGAGTTTTCGACTGAATAGCTTATGCAGGATCCCTTTCTTCGGGAATTCCAGAACTCCTAAGCTCACTTGCAGGGCTGCTGAGTACAAGTTCCCTGACCCCATTCCTGAGTTTGCCGAAGCTGTAAGTACCAGTTAACTCATCCCTTTTGATTTTGACTGACGCCAAAAATATTCAAGAAAAGTTTGGATGCTTTCAGGACTCAATTGTTTTGTGAATTTTGAGATCCCTTTTGCTTAGTTTCGTTGCTGATTGTTTTTTTTTTTTTATTTGTTTTTTTTATTTCATGGGTTCAGGAAACAGAGAAGTTTAGGACCCATCTTCTTGATAAGCTCTCAAAGAAAGATATATTTGGAGATGAAGTTGAAGAAGTTGTCGAAATTTGTACCCAGGTACCTTTTCTGCTTTCCTAGTTGTCATTTTTATCTGCTACTGAAACCTTATCTTAAAGCTGTAGACTTTCTTCTTTTGTGCCATTTTACAATGAATAAGGATTTCAACCTGTAGAGCAACTTTAATTACCTGTGGTGCACTAGTATTTTTGGATAAGATACTATGTTGGCAACTCTAGTTATGGTGTTCTTACTGCAAGTGTTATATGAATGCTCGCTAGTGTTAATTAAAGTAAAGAAGCTGGGGAATGTACTATATTTTGCTGCTTCGCTTAATTTTACCAAATCAAAGTAGTGTGTTATGGAAAATATTGTTGCTGTATATTAATTACCCTTTGCAGGTGGGCAACAATTTTGTTTTGTGTGTCATAGTCCTTTTTCCTTATGGTTTCTCTTGAAAGGAATATAAAGGATTCAAATTCGCCTTATATTTAACCCCATGTATCTTAAACAGATCATTGACAATTTCTTTCACACTGAGTATGGCGGCCCGGGAACTCTCTTGGTTGATCCTTTCATGGAAATGGCTGAAACTATAAACGAACAAGGTCTGCCCGGAGGTCCACAAGCTGCGAGAGCGGCTATTAAATGGGCTCAAAACCATCTTGACAAAGATTGGAAAGAATGGACTGGCAAATAGCTGATGATGAGCGCAGCTCGTTGAATCCTGCCTGGAGCAATCCCCTTGCAATGCAAGCTGCGATGCCTGATCTGCTTACACATAGGGATGTTGGTGGCAGTATGGCACAATCAAATTACTTTATGCTGAAGAATGATGAGAGTTTTGTCAATCTTCTTATCTTTTCTCAACAAGTAGGATTTCAATTCAATTCCTTTTGAGCTTAGATTATCAAGAAAGAATGAAAACAATGTAGTGAAGAGTCGTATGGTCTTAGCTAACATTAGAGCCTTTGTACAATCTTTATATCTCCTTTTCGATCATTTTGTCCTGTGGGATCTTCAAAGTGACCGAACTGTCATCCTGAGCTGTATATCCATATGCATTTTTGAAACTTTGGTCTCAACTGATTGGAACTTCTCATCATTCATCAAATTAACCTGAAAAACAGATGCACGGAAACTGGAATACCACCCTAAAGTTGCAAAATGGTAGATTTTGACCATGAATCCTATGTCAACTGGATATCGTAATTGTTCGGAAGTCAAACATTTAGCAGAATACTTGGTTGAAAAGGCTGAAATTCATCTCGGTTGTGATGATATTGTAATTGTTCTGCTGTCAAACTTTAGCTGAATACTTGGCTGGAAAGACCGAGAGTCATCTCGGTTTTGCCCTTTTACATGTACAAAATAATATTCTAAAAACTGAGATGTCTTCCTCTCTTTTTTCTCATATTTTCTGCTAAAAATCTCATTTAAATCCAACTAAAATTACAAAGGTCTTACATTGGTCTGTTTTCAATCTCTACAAGGTTTTCCGTAGGGACTCAACTTCAACCTCTTTCAAATTCATACCGGAGCTAATGTCTAATCCGTGCAAGAAAGTAGACAGTGCAGCTTCTCGAAAGCAAAGCACCCACTGCATGAAGCAACTAAACCCCCATATCCAATGCAGTTTCCAGGACAACCTCGGAAACTCCCTAGTTGCTTGAGCCCATCTATTTTGAGTTGCAGTTTCCAGGACACCGCTTGGAAACTACCCCGTTGCTTGAACCATCTATTTTGAGTTTGATGAACAAGAGACTATCTAAACCGACATATTTTCAGCGATTATGACAAAAATGTCATTACATTTCGTAACACTAAATAAAAAACCTGTTCTCGCATACAGAAAGATTTAACTATATACCCGTCACCTCCAAAACTTTCTTCCAGCATCCATATGGAAAAAAGTTCCATGGATCATTCCCTGTCAAAATGAGAGAACCAAACAGATAAAGAAAGTATAAATCATTAATTTAACTTGAACACGCAACATTTAAAATGTAAATGCATCAAAATAATGTCAAACAAGTGCAAAAGTTTAAAAGGAAACATCTAAAATCATTTCGATTACTTTCTTGTCTTCCCAAAACGAACGCGAAGATTGCAGCTAAACTTGGAGAATAAAACACAACGTCGACAATAGAATGTGATGATTCTGAGAAAAACTGGAACTCCTAAAGAAACTAAGGTTTGAGTTCAACAACCAAAAGCATGATATTTACACATAAACCTCTAAGAGGGCTGGTTTCGAATATGTCTTTCCCAGCATATTATCAAGAAACGATCAAAATATAATAGAGCAGAAAAAGCCAACACGTGTCAAAAGGAGAAACAGAAATAAGCGAAACGGTACACATGAAAGTGCTATGCACATTTCTACAGAGTTGGTTATTAAAGCAGACAAGGAGGAATCACAAACACACTCATCACATAAGCATTCAATAATTTCATTGCATAGATATACCTAACAGCAATATCAAAAGGTGTTAAACTTCCATCTTTCAAGCAGTTTCTAATGATGCCATTCACATTATGATGTTCCTAACAATAAACATTAAGCCATGCTCACCATTTGATAATGGAACCAAAAAGAAAATGTTGCATGATGGGAACCTTCTGCAGAACTTCCACTTTATACATCTTCAAGAGCCCACTGTTGACCTTATTCCAATTAGGCACACCGCTAATATCATCCAACATTGGTGAATGCTCAGCAAACACTCCCTTTTTAACCTTCTTTATGAATACAATACAAGAGAGATACAGATATTCACTTGCAAAGTTCTCTAATATATCATCATTATGAATCGACTTGGGCTTCATATATTTGTGGTCAATCAACTGAGAAGATCCAAATATGAAAGGTAAAAAGTGATAGTCATCGAGACCCCAAACTCCATGAGATCCTGCTGGCTCTAAAGAGTACGTTAGTTGCAACTTCCGCATCAAATCCAGGTACTTGACAAATACCCTGGATACCAGAGCTTGATAATCATCTTCTTTCACAATTTGTAATCTTGCCAAACAGTACAACCATGCGGCAAAATTTGTTTCATGACCAGTACCTGTGAAGACAGAAAATATCGCCAAAATTCAAAAAACAAAAGCAAAGGAAAAATCAACCAAATGAAACATAGACATCCAATAACCGTTAAAGCAGCTTGCATTTCTACAATGAGCCAATTACACAGTAAACAAAGAACAGTTTGCACACACTGCTAGTAACTACGTCACCTTAGATTATGTAACAAAATCATCCAATCAAAGTAACCATTATATCAGTAGGTCTGATGCTCCGGAGAGGGGGGTAGAGGGGATGGGAGAGTGGAACAGATTTAACATAAACATTAATCAGAAAGCATCTCCGAGTTTAATTAAGCAAGGCCAAAAGTGGGAAAAGGCTATACTAATAAAGCAAGTAGCACCTTCATCTCAATAAACTAGTATTAAAAGTGCCAGAAAGCTCAAGCTAACACGTAGATACGTGCTTCACTTCCCCTAACACGTTAAGCTTCAAAAACACAAATAATCATAAGATATAACCAATCACGTTCAAAAACCATTACCGCTTCCTCTAAGCATTTCAAGCTCCAAAAACCACACACGTCTTACGGAATTACATGAACAGCACCAAAATTCAAACTTGAAGGACAAAAAGCATTTTTTTAAAGAACACAAAAAATCACAAGTCCGGTACTACAGAAGTGAATCAAGAAATAGCTTACCATAATCAATTCGGCTAGAGTTGCCGAAACTATCAGTAAAATAGGGCACTAACTCCACCGCCGCTTCGGCAAGATTTGGAGGGAGCAACTCAAGCATAAAAGACTCAGCATGGGAGCTCATCCGATCATGCCAGGTGCGGTAAGCGACGTTTCCATACCGCGAAGACTGGGGCGCCGGCGGAATTTCATCGACGAAGGAAATCAGCTTCTCCATCACGCCGACGAGGGCGGCGGAAACGGCGGGAGACACGGGGCACGGATCCGAAAGCTTGTGAGATTTAATGGATTCCGACAAGCACACGACGAAGCCGAGGAAGTTGGCGCAGGTGGAGGAGGAGTGGAAACGGACGATGTCGTTTTGGGAGGAGATCACTTTGACAGGAGTCTGGAAGTTGTAAGGAGGTTCGAGAGGGATCACTCTCTGGGGCTGTGGGACCGGAGTGCGGATGATGGCTTCTTTAGTGTTGGTCGGATTCATGGGCAGATTCACGGCCGGGAAGCGGATTGGGATGTAGGTCGGGTTTGAGGACGGAGGTGGTGGGTTAGGGTAGGAGGTAGGTCCACCGCATTTGGCACAGGTGGCGGCGGCGGCGGAGGAAGAGTTGTGGTGGTCGTGTGAGGGGGGAAAGGCGGTTGGCGGTGGTTGATGCGGTGGCGGTGCGGTGTTATTAGTAGTTTCTTCCATTCTGCGGAAAGCTTTAATTACCGGAAAATGGCTCCAGTTCAGTAATGAGAGAAATGAATGGAATTATAGATCGCCGGAAAGTCGGTAAACTAAATTAAAAAGTATATTTACTGTCGGAGCTCTTAGGGTTTGGGTAAATTACAGATGGCCTCAAACTTTGAAGAAATTACAATTATTTCACAGAAGGAAAGAAAAGGCAAAAGAAAAAGAAAGTCAAGCATATTCTACTTTAAGTCATACTCGCGTCAGCATGTGCAGTTTACACACGCGCTGCTCAACCCAGAACCCCAAAACCCTTGGGCCGTTTTTGCTTAAACTTTTCCAACTTCGAAAGAAGGGTTTTTGAGACCAACCTTGCACTCCATTCAATCAGACAATTTTGGTTTCTTTTTCTCAGATTGATCGGACCCCTTTCTTCTGTTTGTTATTTCACTAATAAAAATCTTGCCTTTTTTCCCAATTCAGATGGCTACAAGGTTTGCTCTTAAATTGCTCAAACAGAGTGTTTCTAATGTTGTTAGACAGAAGCCAAATGTTGTTCCCAGATATCATTACTGCACCAATGCTGCTCCTACTCCTCCTCCTCGTAAAATTCCTCATTCCTCCAAAAAAGTAAGTTTGGGTGTATTTCTTTTTGTGCGTTGTTTATCATTGATTGCGTGACAAGTTTCTGGATTGTAGAAGGGTTATTTATTTGTTTTTTTGTTTATTCTGGTTTATTGGAATATTGGTGACTATGAGGCTTTCTCATTTCATTTCATTTACTGATAATGGGTTCATGAACTTTGATTTGGGTTTTGTGTTAGCTTTACCCCGTGTCTGTGTTTTTGGGGGATTTTATAAGTTGAAGCTTCTGAACTAAGAGAATTGTGCGAATGGTGGAATTTTGGTTTCTTTGATTTTATGAAATTTCCTACCAAACAGTTCTCGTCAACTTGTGTTTTTATCCAAAAATTATCAATCTTTATGTCTTGGGTTCTGTATACTTGGCTGTCTTCACCTTCTTGCAGAGCAGTATCTCTCAATTGTAAAATTTTGTTTCATAACGTTTTCTGAATTTTGGATTTTTTTGTTCTGATGGAATTTTAGGGCAGACTATTTACTGGTGCCACCCTTGCACTACTTATAGGTGGAGGTGCTTATGCGAGCACAGTGGATGAAGCTACTTTCTGGTACTGCTTTCTGTCTTGTTTTTCAAGCACAGGCTTTTTTTTTTTTTTTTTTTTTTGTGGAAATTGGACACCTTGGGATGGGCTATTTTGATTGTACTTGATTAGTAGGAATCAGGTGGTGGTAAATGGCATTTGAGATTTTAGAGTGAAATGAATAATGCCTTTGCCTAAAAGGTTAAAAATGTTAAGCCTGAATAAGGAAGTTAAATAAGCTGGAAGGTGAAATTTTGGTTGAAGAAATGAACAGTTGCTCTGCCTTCTCAAAGATTAGGGTACAGAAATCAAAGAGGTCTAGTAATATCTTTGGGGACTTTCACGTTAAAAGACTATGAAGTTTGGATCTTGGCAGCACCAGTTTATTTTTCAAGTTTAACAAGACCGCTTTCTGCTTCAAATATATCTATTGCTGATAGAGTCTTACACGGTAGTTGAATTTTATTTTTGATTTAAAGTTTAACATACTTGAATCTTTATGATTATGTCATTTCTCTTGCATAATTTAAATTTGAATGACAAGTTCCTCGTCGCTTTTGCAGTAGCTGGATGTTCAACGCAACAAAACTTGTAAATCCATTCTTTGCATTCCTTGACCCTGAGGTTGCCCACAGATTAGCTGTATCAGCTGCTGCTCGTGGGTGGGTCCCTAGGGAAAAAAGACCAGATCCTTCAATGTTGGGTGTCGAACTATGGGGTAAGAGGTTCTCGAATCCTATCGGACTGTCTGCTGGTTTTGATAAGAATGCTGAAGCTGTGGAAGGGTTACTTGGGCTGGGTTTTGGTTTTGTGGAGGTGGGCTCAGTAACTCCAGTTCCTCAGGAAGGCAATCCCAAGCCTCGGATTTTCAGATTGCCTAAAGAAGGGTGAGGACATGTATTGATGTGAATTTGTTTTCACCTGTTATCAGAGTCTTTTCACTAACTAAGATCCTGGAACTTTTCAAATACCTTTTCTTAAGTTCTTAAATATTGCAATATCTTCTGAGGTTTCCTGCATGTCTTGCTTTATTTGTGATAATTGAAGTGCTTGATTTGTTGGCCAGTGCTATAATCAATAGATGCGGCTTCAATAGTGAAGGAATTGTTGCTGTAGCAAAGAGGTTAGGAGCCCAACACGGGAAGAGGAAATTGGAAACGTCAACCACTTCATCACCAGCCGAAGATGATGTGAAGCAAGGAGGAAAGGCTGGACCCGGGATTCTTGGAGTCAACCTCGGGAAAAATAAGACTAGTGAAGATGCAGCTGCAGATTACGTGCAAGGTGTTCATACATTATCTCAGTACGCCGATTATTTGGTATGTTCTGGGTCATATTTATGTGAAGAAATCACTTTTATGTGCTTGTTGATTTTAAGTTTGACACAATGTTCTGAAGTATTTTAATAACTTTAATTTAATGATATTTCTGTATATTTTTTACTCTATGTATTAAGATTCATTGTGGATTAGAAATGGTATTTTTAATGTCAGTAATATTTGTAAGCATAGGTGATCAATGTCTCATCTCCAAATACTCCTGGACTGCGCCAACTGCAAGGAAGGAAACAATTGAAGGACCTGGTTAAGAAGGTAAGCGAATTTTTCAGCTGACATTGTTGCTACTCTTCCTGTTTTGAAGTTCTCAATGGATGACTTAGGATCTCGTTCTTCTTTTCCTTAAGGTTCAAGCTGCTCGTGATGAAATGCAATGGGGTGAGGAAGGACCACCTCCGTTGCTTGTGAAAATTGCACCCGATCTATCCCGTCAAGATCTTGAAGATATTGCTGCAGTACTGAAAATAATGTTGCAATGGTAAAATTTTGAGACTTAATGAACTTGGTCGCGTTCTAATTGTTTGTTCTGCATTTATAGGTTGCCCTTGCTTTGCGATTGGATGGATTGGTAAGTTTTTAAAACCAATTTACTTAATTTCTGCTGGTCACAGTGGTCAAATTATGCCCTTGCCAATTTGGCTCCCATCTGTGGTGGTGCAACTCTTAAGTTCTTTGCTTGGACAAGTTGGCATAATTTTAGTTTACCTTTGTTTCTCCCAATAAGAGCTTTATTGTCTCACATTCATCTATCTTTGGTGCCAATAATCTTGAGAAGAATAGTGCTAATCTTGATTTGTTTTTTATTTTTTAATGATGCTTGTAGATTATATCAAATACATCAATACAACGACCAGATTCCGTGAGTAAAAACCCTGTGGCGCAAGAAACAGGTGGCTTGAGTGGGAAGCCGATTTTTCCTCTCTCCACCAATATACTAAAGGAAATGTATATTCTTACCAAGGTGTGCATTTATTGGATGATTTCGTAGTTTCTGATTCTTTTCTGATCTTACCATCACTTTATGAGTATGTCCATTTGGTATGAATTCATAGTAGATCTTGCGCCAACATTATGTAGTTTACGATTTTATTTTATTTTTTTGGAATAAGTTTGCAAAGAATGATGCAGCATGATGTCATCTTGATGCTAAAATGCTTATGTAGCCATTTTCCTACACATAACATATTTATTCCCTGAATATATCGCCCCTTAACCGTTTATGACTATTGACTCCTTGTGCATGCTGAATAATAATTTTGTCCGCAGGGAAAAATTCCATTAATTGGCTGTGGAGGTATTAGCAGGTGATTGATTCTGTTTTGTGCTTTTTTCATCTCCATAGATAACTGACAATAGACAGTAATGATTTAAATTTTGATTTAATGTATATGTCCATTTAGTGGTGAGGATGCATACAAGAAAGTAAGAGCAGGAGCTTCTCTAGTTCAGCTATATACAGCTTTTGCATATGGTGGACCTGCTTTGATACCTCAGCTCAAGGTGAGGTCCTTGTTTGATCAGATGTGTTCAAAGCTCGGCAAGGAAATTCCCAACTCTTTTTTTTTTTTCGTTTTCTCCAGGGCTCTTTCAAACATGAGTATTTGTACTAAATACAATTATGCATTTGCTGTTTACATTTGTCAATTTTTACCGTTGCTGGAAAAAAAAAGCATTTCTAACTCGAACTCTAAATTTTTTAGGCTGAACTTGCTCAATGTCTTGAGAGGGATGGTTTTAAGTCTATCTATGAAGCAGTTGGTGCAGATTGTAGATGATCTTATTGTACTCGCCATGCAACCTGGCTACAGAGGTAGGATCGATCTATCACTGAGATGTCTTCCGGTTGTGTACTTAGGAAATATGTATCGCTAGCCGATCATTGACATTCCAGCTTCTCTCTCTTCCCTATGTTGGCAGGGCATGGTGGTCCTTTCAACATGAAGCATACAGTGCAAATTTTGGGCATTTAGATTCTTACTAATGAAGAGCGTTTGTTTTCCTATGTCGTGTATGGTCAGTGGTTGAGCTCGGGATCAACCTACAGTTGATGGAAAAACTGGAAATGTGATTAAAGATTCTTGTCCATTGGCTCACCTGCTTTTGAAGACTCTCATGCTTATTTCTTTTTGTTTAAGGGGAAGCAAATTTGGCATTTTGGAATAATCCTGATATTCAAAAGCAGCAAGACACCACTACATTTGATTTGTTTATTTTCTTCTTTTTTTTTTTTTGGGGGTGTGTGTTGGGATCGGCAGAGATTGTCATTTTCGGATGCTGAAAATCATGATTTAGAGATCATTTTTCAATAACTGAGTGGCTGCCATTGCTATCTCAAATACTGATCAGATAGAGAAGGGCATGCAATGCATGCTAAACTTTCCTTTATCCCATTGAAGTTTTGTATAGGAGTATGTACTTTTTCCCCTTGGATTTTGCCGCTGATGTGCTGTATTTTTGTGTTGTACTCTTGAGAAATGAATACTAATTCAAATTCTAGGAGATTTATTGCAGTCATTTGGCACAGTGTATTCTTTTTTACTTGGTATAAGGTTCAGCAAAGAGATGTATCGACAAAGCTGATGTTGAGAAGAACCCTTGTACAGGAGCAAGACTCACATGAACTTCTTGGGGTCTTGTTATTCCAAATGATGGAAAAGGTTTAAATCTCTGGTTACAAATTTGAAGGAAATGATATAAATCTACAAACATGGCCAAAAAGGAAAAAGTAAAAGAAGAAAAAATGGGGTAGCTCAGGGAAGCTTTATACTATTAGAGCTCATTTCCAGTTGTTCGCAACAATGTCAGCCAAATCAACCACCCTCTGGGAGTAACCCCATTCATTGTCATACCAGGCAATAACCTTAACCATGTCATCTCCCATAACCATGGTCAATGAAGAATCAACTGTTGATGAAACATCAGTGCATCTGAAGTCCACTGACACTAATGGCTCATCACACACAGACAGGATACCATTTAGTTCCTTGTCAGCTGCTTCCCTGAATGCTGCATTCACTTCTTCTGCAAAGGTTTTCTTCTCCACCTGAACAACGAGGTCCACGACTGAGACATTTGGTGTTGGCACACGGAGGGCAATGCCGTTTAGCTTTCCCTTGAGGTTAGGGAGGACAAGTGCAACTGCCTTTGCAGCACCAGTTGAAGTTGGGACTATGTTGAGAGCAGCGGCTCTTGCACGCCTCAGATCCCTGTGGCTCGCATCAAGAAGCCTCTGGTCTCCAGTGTAAGAGTGAGTTGTTGTCATGGTTCCCTTGATGATACCTGTTGAATTTAACCAGCTTCTATTACATCTTCATGCAAATTTTTTTATCCGTGATCAGTCATATACATATTAGAATTTATCAGGAATATGGCTTATGATTGATATGACACAGAAAAGTACAGAAAATTTAACACTGCCATTTATAATGAATTCGCTAACTTAATCATAACTCGTGCTCGATTCAGAATATGAGATTATGCAGAAGAAGATACATTACCGAATTTCTGGTCAAGGACTTTGACAAAAGGTGCGAGGCAGTTGGTGGTGCAAGAGGCATTGCTGATAATTGTCTCATCAGGGTTGTAAAGTTCTTCATTGACACCAACCACATAAGTGGGAATGTCACCCTTTCCGGGTGCTGTGATCAGCACTTTCTTAGCTCCGGCCTGGAGATGTTTGCCTGCACCCTCTCTGTCAACAAAAACTCCAGTTCCTTCGATCACAAGATCGATGTCCAGGTCCCTGAATCATTGTGCATCAGTGCACAAACAACAAGGTATAAGAACCAATTATGCCATTTGACTCACGAAGAAAGTACTCAAAAGGAAAAAAAAACGCTTTTTAAGTCATACTGAAAATCTTAAGGTCATTACCCCCATGGGAGATCAAGAGGGTTGCGGCTCGAGACAACCTTAATGATCTTTCCATCAACAGAGAGGCCATCATCTCCAGCAGGCTTGACATCGGCCTCAAAGATGCCGAGGGTAGAGTCGTATTTGAGAAGGTGTGAGGCTTGCTTTACACCGCCAGTGTCGTTGATGACTACAACGTCGAGTGGGGAGTCTTTCCTTCCATGCCAGCACCTCAAGAAGTTCCTTCCAATTCTACCAAATCCGTTAATAGCTACCTTCAACTTCGCCTCCACAACTCCCTTCTTGTTCTTGCTTCCACCGACCTATATATTCCACAAAACATGCTCAAGAAAATTATACTTCATCTGTATGACTCTGAAAATGCATAGTTATATCACCAGCTACGAAATAGGACTACAGTTTTTCAAAAACATTTGTTGGATGCTATTCATGTTTTTCAATTGTTCAAAATGAAGAGAGCATTTTGGCATCAGGACTCATAGCTATCATGAACAGGTCGAAAACGTTTTTAATCACTGAATTTTTTACTGTTTAAAGATCCAAATCAGGCAGCTTCTGGAAGTTAAGTCCAGGAAATGGCTCCAATATGATTGGACATACAAGTTCTACTTCATAGTTATATATGTTGATGTTATTAAAGCAAAGGCCAACTGTGATTTATCATCTAACTTAAGTTTCAAGACAAAGCCTAACTTGAGATTGTGTTCATTCCTCTTCCAAAAGTAATGGTACAAAGCCCCATATTTGAAATGATAATTCAACTTGATCATGATCTTGAACGTCTAAAAGTAGAAATCATGCAGGGGCAAAGAAAACTAACTAGTGAACTGGTGACATAAGTACTTACAGCAGAAGTTTGGAATGCAACAAGTGACAGCAGATCATCATTTCCTTTCCTAGCAAAAGGAAGTGCTGAGCTGCGAAGCCCCGCGAATTCGGAGAATCCCTTACTACTGACCTGCAACATAAAAGATCATCAGGCAATGCACATAGCACAAGTATAAAATGTATGATTAAACATCATCAGGTTTGTGGAAGTTGTGAAAATGGCATGCAATCATCACAGTCAGTAAAGGCATATATGGAAGTACGAAATGAGAGACCTGAAGGGAGGAATTGGCAACGGATAAAGCAGCCGAAGCCATGGCTGAAAATCCAACTCAACTAAAGAAAGACCAGCAGGTCAGAAGTGTGGAAAATGGTAAGAGAAAATATTTGAAAGATGGACAAGGAAATAGGGAGTATGAAGTGAAGTGAAGAATGGAAGATAGTGGATGAGATTAGTGATGATAGATAGCCTCATACTCATTGTATGGCTGTGGTTGTGTGTCTCTTCTTGCTGTCCATCTTTGGTGATATGATTTGTTGTTGTTGTTGCTCCTCTTGCTGCTTCTGTTTTTTATGTTTCATAATTTCTTTTTTCATTTTTTATTTTATTTATATCTGAGAAGATGCTATATGCTTCTGAAGCTGTAGAATTTTGCATGGGTGTGTAACATTTTATCCATGGAAATTGCCAACTTGTCAAAGAGAATCCTTCCAATAGGATAGATTGTCTGTGACCATCCATCTCATTCTGTGAGGGAGGGGGAAAAATAAGGTTTTGAAAAGAGTAACACTTCTTTGGAAGTTTGTACCAATTCATGTGATGTATGGAATTTGGTTGCATTTGTTCTATTATTATTGCATTTTTTTCCCAAAAAAAAAAAAACAAAAAAAAGAAGTTTTATTCGCCCACAAGATTTTAAATTCCCTTAAATCATACTCCCTCTGTCCCAAAATTATTATCCAGTTTGAGATTTCACTTTTAGTACAATTTGAACTAGAAATGAAAACTCAAACTGGACAATATTATAAGACGGAGGGAGTACAAATTTTCTATACTTACCATCTCATTCAATCTTGGCGCCCATCATTTGATCACTATGAATTTCATTAAAATGCTTTTATATATTCTGAATTATATGATTTTGGTACAATGCATGTACGTATCTATTTTCATTCCACTGCAGTATTATTATTTGTGGAGAAAAAACATAAGATGAAAAGTAGAAGGGATCATTGCTGGGACCTCCCTGAGGTTTGAAGAAACTATGAATCCCCCTCCAAAGTTTGAGAAAATAAACTGATTGATTGATTCATAATTTTTTTCTTTTGAAAAGTAAAAAGACCCTCTCACAACACATTTTCAAGCCTTGACAGCGTTCAAGAAAGCATGCATATCCTTAAGCTGCCAAAGCCATTATCAGACAAAAAGAGTAAAAGACAATCCAATCGAACTCTATACTGGATGGAAACAGTTGAAAATAAAGGAACTTCCAGTGTGCAGAGTGTGGTATAATTTGACAAATGCAGCTTTAGAGAATTCAGTGCTTCAAGCCAACTTCTGTGTAAGAATGGCCAACTGAAAAACTCCAACTTTTAATTATTCCCGGAATGTGCCTTTAAAACAAATTCTCACGTATACATCTCTGAGAAAGTTACACATACAGACTATATATAGGTCAAGAAACAAATCATACCACAGTACACTGTCAAAGGTAGCTATAACCATGTGCAAGCAATTGCTAATGGCTATACCCCGAGTACTTCCAAAGCCACAATGGAACCAGGGACTTTCCAAGTTAGCTCAAAGCAGCAAAGCTTCTTTCCTCGTTATGCACCAAAGTTTAGTAGCTAATATCATCATATGGATACAACATTGTCCTAAATAAGATCACACGGAAACATGTTAATACTGGTATCACCATAATCCATGTTGATCTACCACAGCAAAAGATATCACCAGCACTCTGAGGGCAAGGGCACTGTAATAGGTCCTGACCTCCATTGAATCTGTCTCACAATAAAAGCTATGGAACCTTGGACCATTGAGCATACCATTCACCGAGCACATGATGAGCTACAAAGTGGCAAAAAAAAATCTACCAGAGATTATGATTGCTTCATTTTCTGCTTTACGTACGAGAAATTCCTTTGAAACTCTAAAACAGCCCAAACTAAATGCCGAAAACCAATCTCAGGCCAAAGTACCGAAGGTGCATAGAGAAGGCAGCAAGCACTTTGCCACAAAAGAAAATTGCTCAAGCGAGTCTCGCCAGACGTACGTATGATGACATCAGGATCAGGGGCGACTGAAGCATACATATGTTTCTCCACATCATGAACAGCAATAATTTCTTTGCTTCCATCCTTTCCATTTCCTCTTACGGCAATTGTACCATTTCCAGCCATGCATGACTTTGATGCTCTAATTTTGTCTCTTTTTTCATCACAAGATTCTTGAACAGCATGTACAATCTCATCAGTGGAGGTATATGCAAGACAAATTGACAGAACTGCTTTTGAATTTCCTGCAGTAGCTCTCATGGCTTTCTCTGCAGCCAACCTAACTGACTTGCTCAAAAGTTTTAGATTGCCCAAAAAGTAAATCCTAACTCCATATTGATTAACCAAGCTCTCCTCTTTGATCAAATCCTCAATCTTTTCTTGTATCAATTGCATAGTAGATTGAACTTCTTCTGGGCGTCTTTTAAAATTATCAATGCTAAAGGCGTATATAGTCACAAATTTCACACCTAACTCATAACAATACTTGAGCATGTTCATCAGAGCTGAATAACCCAATTTATGGCCATCCCCTTCTAACAAATTGCACTTCTTAGCATACCTTCGATTCCCATCCATAATAAACGCAATGTGATCAGGAAGGGGTCCAACAGAAAGAACAGAGAACACACATTTCCGTAGGGAGCTACATAAGCATTCAACCAATTGACTAGCTTGATTCTTGAATCTTTTCCCCATATCAAAAAAGCACTCTAGTATTGCCTGATTGTGATCAATATACAAATATAGTCAGTGTCCACCTTCTTTTCCCACCAGAATATGAACCTCATGAGCACCCAAAAAACTAAAAATAGATAAATACTTATGAAAACTACTTTCAATATACTGTAGAGCACATACACACATATAAAGGCATGGCAAACTTCAAATAACTATCAACTAGTTGCATGATCACGCATTAGCCGTTTTAAAGAACTAATAATTATAGTTTTGAACCACAAAGTGCGTTCTTCAAATTTTGAAAAAGGTAGAACCTTGCTTAAATTTGAATCTGGGAAAAAAAATTAATTGAGGTAAGGCTTGTTTCATCGAGTTCCTCTACACAAAGATTCGGTTTTTATGAGCACAACCCACATCAGGAGAATTTAAAAAAAGGAAAAAGAATCCTAATCCCACATGAAAATTTTCAGCAATACCATAACTCTATCATCAGATGACCAACCATGCATCATTAACACGAACATAATAGTCTAAGCATCACAAAAGACGAATCAAAATAAAGGGAAAAAAGCAGTACCTGAGAGCAAAACAGGAGGGGCTGCTGAAGAGATGAACTTTTTTCAAGGCATTCGGGAAATAATGCGGATTTGAAGCGAACTTGTAAGAACGAAGAGAGACCAGCGAATCAGCTAAAACGTCATTAGGTCATTGGTTAATCTGCTGGTCAGACTGATTGAAAACCGAATAATGTCATCATAAAATAAACTGAATCTTTATGTACTTTTGGTTTTCTGACTTTTCTGTCCAATTCTTTTTAGTTTTCCTTTTCCTTTTATAATTAGTACTTTCTCTGTCCCATTTATTTAACCGTGAATTAGGTTTATTGGGTAAAACTGTAAAAGGGTAACAAGACTTGAGTAAAGTAAAAAAAAAACAGAGCAAGAGATAAAAGAGTTCTGCCCTTTCCCAGAAGAAGGAAGAAATCCTTGCAGAGTTCGTCTTGGCTGATTCGCCTGCTGCTTGAGGTTAATCCCTTTTCACTTTGATATTACATCCTCAGGAACAAACATTAAGCGGCCTGCCATGAAAAAAAAAATACTTCTCGTTTATGTCTCTGTGTGTGTGTGTGTGTTCGCATGGATCGGTATTTGTTTCGATGCCTATTATTTTTTCTTCAATATGAAATGAATTTGCAGTTCATGAGTTATTTGTCGACTTAATTGAACTTTAAAGTTCTAATCTTTCTTTTTTTTTCCGGGCTAAAATTTGTTTCAGAATGAATGGTCTCAGATATGCGTTCTCTTTGTTTAGGGCCTTATGAAATTTTATCTGTTTTTATTAGGAAGAATATGTTTAGATAATTGTCAGTGTTCTTATGAACGGTATCTGTCTTAGCTGATTGCTGCCATCACATAAACAGTTAATCAAGATTTAGGAAATCAATTGTATCTTCTTTTTTTTTCTTCCATACCAGGATGGACTTTGTATTTCCTAGATTGTTGGCAATTCGCATTTGTACTTAAAATCTGCCAGTAAGTCCTTACCGTTGTTGCTCCATCTTGAACTTCATTTTTTGCCTCATCAGATCAAAGAAGGGAAAAGTGGAGGAGTGCCTACCTGGAGACATAAACAACCGGAAAACATATGATGGCATCGGATCATATTGAAGCTGACAATGCAGAAGCCATAATTGCGAGAATCGAACACAAGTCCCGCAAGATTGAGAGCTTACTCAAACAGTAATCAAACTGCTCGTTATCTTACTCAATATAATTCAAAATTTCAATCCTCGTGTAATTCACAACCCTGCGTTATTAATCAAAAGTTGATCTTCCCTGAGCTCCTCTTTTCTGCTTATGTGTTTGATTCTTTAGGAATAAACCTGTCGAAGCCCTTAAGACAGCTCTTGAAGGATCGCATCAGAAGACCAAAGATGAGAGGTGTAAGGTTAAAACCATATGAGCTATTAAACCACCTTTTTGTTTTTCTTGTTAAGAATTTTTTTTTTTTTCTATTATCTGATGTTTGCTTTCTGCTTTGCTGTTGAACTGTAGTCTGCAAATTGGATAGTGGTGCACAGAGCAATAATGGCTATCAGAGATGTGGACAGCTTGTTCTTTGCCTTGGATCCTGAATACTATGACATTCTAATGAAGTATATTCCTTCTTATTCTTTTTCCCCAAAAGTTACTAGGTTTCCTCGAATTATGTTTCTGGTTTCATATTTTAATGTGTGGTTATTAAGATCAAGAAGCAAACTGAAGAAGATTCAAGCTTTATTGTGTCTATATCTAATTTTGGGTTTAGAATAAGTACTTTCTGTCAGTTCTCATTACCACCATCATAGTCCTGTTCCATGAAAAAATCATCATTTTGGTATTGTGTTCTTCTTAAATGTTAAACTGCTAAGCAATGTTGTCTGTTACATAGTATTTCACCTTAAGTACTGGGCATCTAAGTATCAGGTTGCTGGCTAGTTCCCTTGGTTTAATAGCTTCTAAGTTGTACTGAGGTTTGAGAGTGCAAACCTCTCGACCCAACTTTTCCGTTGACAGAGCACAATGGCGACATAGACTCTATTTAGCCAACTCCATGTGGGTAGTTGGAATTTGCAGGCACATAAAAAACTTCTTAGCATTTGGATGTTTTCTCGTCACAATATATGGTTCTTTGATGGAATTCTCTCGTAGTGAAGAGACGAGTGTTCTCTACAACTAAGTTCAGAGATCATTTTATGAGCCAAACCATTATCTATTGTACACTGGTCAATTATATCAATTATACAGTTTCTCTTGTTACTAATCGTGTAAAATGTGATTGACAGGTATCTGTACAGAGGTCTTTCTACAGGAGATCGCCCAACTTGTGAGCAATGTTTGCGCATTCATGAGAAATTAACAGAAAAGGCTGGCCTGGGCTGCATATTGCGTTCTCTCTCAGATACCATTAATACCGTTTGACTCAAGGTTCGGACATATGTGTTTTTTACTCATAAAAGCTTAAGGATGATTGCAAACAAGAATCTTCACTATGACCTGCAGCACCACTTCACAGATCACTTGTGTCTCTTCAATTGTTTCAGCTATGAGATAAACTTTTTGCAGTGACTCTTAGTTGTAAAACTCATTGGCGAGTTTCTGAAAGAGAGGCTTCTTCTTTGAAGTTTGCTAAGCATTAATGGAAGGAATTTTCAGCTACGTTGCATGCTGACAGTTGTTACAAATGTTTTCTGCTATCTTCTTCTTTCATGGTTCTGAATACATTCTGGCAATGCGTGTTCGTGATAAATCAAGTGTAAACTTTAAGTCTCTTTTGATCAGTAAATTTTGTATCCTTGATATGGCTTGCTTTCTGGTAGAGTATTGTGGAAATCTATTTCTTCCCAGCTTTGAAGAACACTGGTGGTCTTGCTATGGTAATTATCGGCGTCCTAAGGAAGTTGGCTATATTAACTGCTGGCTGGGCCTTCACACATCTCATTAAGATTTATCATGAGGAGCATCACAAAGTGGTAACTTTTGGAGTTTACAAGTATTTCCGTCACCCTGGATATAGTGGTTTCTTTGCTTGGGCTGTTGGCACTCAAATAATGCTTTGTAGTATTACATTTTGGTTTGTAGTTTGGTGGTTTTGTTCATCATGGGCACCTTATGAAGAGTTATTCTTGAGACACTTTTTTGGGTCTCAATATGAGGGATTATTGTAGGATGGTTCCTTCTGGAATTCCTTTCATAAGATGATCACCAATATGTGATAGATTTTTCCCCTTCACTTCAAGCTTCAGTTAAGCGGCTAGAAGATATTATAGGGCTTCTGCCTTCTGGACTTAGTTATTCTTCTCGGTCTTTACCTGTTGCCGATTGTACTTGGTTTTCTTCCGTTTATGTGTATAGTCTGCGGGTTTCAAACAAAGATTCTCAGGAAAACTAATGAATACATTCAACGAGTGTTTTCTTATGTCAAGTATATCTAATTTTACATTTTCCTATCATACAGTATACATTAGTGTAAAGTGTTACAAAGCGGTCTTCACTTTAACCCTTTGAAGACCTCCAACATAATTAGTACGATGAGACAAAGATTAAGCATAACCCTGACTGGCGGTAGAAATATAGACACGATAGATAAAAGGATGTAATACAGGAAAATTTCAAAATATCAAACATTCATAGATCAATGTCACACCTCAAACAGATCACATATCAAGATGGAACATTCATTCGTTTCGAGCAAAGTTATCATCAGGCTAAGTAACGTGTCAAAAATTTTCATGTTGATTCTTAAACCTCAAATCAACTTGACACCTGCTTCTCTTACAGAATCTATGACTGCTTTAACCTTCCCATGATATTTCTGTTCTCTCTTAAAGAAAACTGAGACAGCAGGGATATTCTTTAAAAGCAGTCGTTGCCCTAATATGTTCCCGATCTTGGCAGCAGCCGCCACATCTCTGGTACTTTCTTTTGCTTGTTCCATGCTCAATCGCAGGACCTTCTCCTGTGAGCTCGCGGATGCTGCTACTGTTGCTGTTGGTGTGTGTATTACTTGCGCAGATACAAACCTGTTCGTGAAGTGCATCTTCAACACATACGGTTTCAGAAATTTGGTAATTCTTTCAGCCCTAATTGGCGGAGGGATCACCATTTCTGCACCGCAGCCAAAAGAAAAGAAAGTAAAAATTTTCAGAATTCCCCAAAAAAAATCCCCGATCGCAACTCCAATTGAGAGGGAATGGTATCAAAATTAATGTGGAATAGCAACGTAACGACAACTGCAGAAATGATTCATTAAAAACAGAACAGAAATTTGCAACAGCCAACCAAGATGAGATTAAAATTGATACAATTTGATATCCAAAAAAAAAAAAAAAAAAAAAAACTGTATTATTCTGACCAATTTAGTAAAAGAAAAAACAGTACTTAAAAATGTACATGATGTTTCTTGAACTTTATTCAAAACGGAGAGGTAACACATCAACATTGATTCAGCTGGCATATCCAACTACTACGCATGTACAAGATAAGATATCTCCATAGTTCAAGTTATCGGTTTTGGTAAAAAAGCAAATCGGTAGAATCTGAACATATCTCCGGGTGCCATGTATAAAATGAAACTTTTATCATCAAAAAAGGGGACCAGAAGATGAAAGGAAGACAACCTCAAGAAGGAAACGGGCAAGCAAACAGAGAGGTCAGATTCATTGACTACTGCAACTTTTCAAGCTATGAAAGCAAACCCAGAAACCGTTTTTCCTGTTGAGGAAAATAAAACAGTATAAATACTGGAGAAGTCAGATTGACGATAAAAAAAACTAATCAGGGAGAAAATGCCCTTTTGAGTCTGATCTATCGCTCTAATCAAATGTAGCATAATTTCTAGTCTAACCGCAATTGGATAAAACTGAAATGTGAAGTTATCTGAGATCAAGATGATCAAGAGCCATCTAACGATTATAACCAAGAAGGGCAACATTAGTGTAAACATGTCCACATTTCATTCATATCAAAATCGAAGCTTTTGATAGGGGAAAAAAAAAATAGATATGGCAAAGGTAGACTTCCTATCCAACATTCTCAACAGAAAACCACCATTAAAATTTACAACCTTAAGAGTATTAGTTCACCCAATCTGGTGATGCAGCTTCTTCAATTCCACCTATCACTACTCCTAGAACCAAATTGACAATGAAAAAATAATTAAAATCTCACCCAGGAGAATTTAATACAGAAAAACGAGTTCGGTACCAAGAGAGATAGAGCTTTGTGATGCCAGGAACATTGAAGTTAAATAGACAGAAAAGAAATGGGCATCGCCACAAAAAATGTTAAACTATAATCAAAGAATCCGCTTTAGGGTTCATTTTATGCAGAGGAAAATATGTTAAAAAAAAAAAAAAAAGACAAAGAAAGGAAAAGAGTGAATATGGAAAATATAACTTGAACTTACTCGAGAGAAATTGGGGGACCGGAATCTATGGACGAGTCAGATACGGCCGCGCCGGCGGGACTGAGTGAAGAAGATCTCGGCAATGCGTAAAAGTTTTCTTTCTTTCCAGTTGCTGATTACGGGTCGACCCGCTTATCACTTAGACTGGAATATGTAATGTATTAAGACTTAATTTCATAATGCCTCCAAAACTTTAACTATATAGCAACTTAATCCATGATATTTAACTGTGGTAAATTATTAGCTCTCTGGTATAGAAATCATCCAAATAATGGTTGAACTAATTATCATTCCATTTTTACAAAGAAAAAATCATTGTACTGTATGTATTTAGCTAAAACGTCAATAAAATACATCACTATCTATTACTTACAAATTGTAAAGTATAAAAGACTTAAAACTTTACTAAAATTGAGAATACATTCATATTTCTAAATGTTTCTGTTAGAACCAACGTTGTTTTTAATCTTGCAACCCATCTTCATGTTACCTGATTAGCCAAAACTTGCACATTAAAGTTCCAATTGGGTGGTCAAAAAAATAAATCAAAATAAACTTGCAAAATAAAAAAAAATGAAACAAAAGTTGGATAAGAGATAAGTATGAAGAAGAAAATAGAAAAATGAAAGACTCCAAATAAAATATGATCTTTAAATAGTTTTATTAAAATATATTGTAATGATTACTAAAATAGTAGATGAAAAGACTCCAAATAAATGAAACAACTAATAGAAAATAAAATAAAAAAAGATGAAAATTATAACACGTGTAGTGAAAAACAAAAGACTAAGGAAGATGAAAAATATAACATCCATAAAAGAACATAAAATGAGGGAAAAATGAAAAGAAATGAAACGTTTTATAATAAATGATAGAAGATGAAAAGAAATGAAAATTTCAGCAATTTTAATTAAAGATCATAATAAATATAACAGGAGAAAAACAAAGAGGTGCACTAAGTTTGGCTTAAAAGAAAAAAGTTTAAAAATTAAAATAAACAATAAAAAAAAGCATGTGAGAATCACGTGAGAGTACTACCAAGTCCAATCCTACATTACCTAATTATAATATATGTTGAAAAATCATTGTACTGTATGTATTTAGACCTTTTTTTCCCCAAGGTTAAAAAAGTCATATTATCTCATACATTATTGATTTACCTTGCACGTAAATTGATTTTGAACTAATGTCCCATGTTATTTTGTTTCCTCTCTACACCAAATGTTTTCCATGGAATCCTGCCACCATTTTAATTTTCATGAATGAGTTACAATAATCCCAATCTGCTGAAAATCTTAAATTTCATCATGGTAGAATTAATTTTATCCACTGTTTTCCTGTAGGTATACATACATTGCTTTCAGGCACACCTACTTTGGCAACCAGGCCATTCATATCATGATGGGGAATAATCATCCTTCAACCTCACAATTTACAAATAAAAAAGGTTTCAACTTCAATGGAGTCTCAAGTGATTTCGAAGGATGTTGATCAACACAACAAAGTATCTATCCCCTCTTCCTTCTGGTCCCTCCGTCCCAAGTATAAGATGGAGTACTAAAATGTCAAATGTTATATTCATTCTTGTCTCACTACTACTGATGTCTTGATGATGCAAATTGATATCAAACACTTAGACTTCCAGTAAAAACTTAGGCGGTTGGTGGCTTGGTGCATCTTCGAGGAAATTATCAAACCAAAAAGATTGACTTAGAAAGGCTAATATTAATTAAAAATCTAATATACTATTCCCTCCGTCCCATAATTATTGTCCATTTTTATTAAAATGAAAGATTTTATTTTTGGTCAAACTTAACTTATTTTACCCTAAACAACCGGATATACCCCTACATAAGTAATTGTTTAACCACTAAGATTTTATGGATAATATTTTTTACTAAAGATAAATGTGTAATTTAATCCATAAAAAAGTCAAATTGGACAATAATTTTGAGACAAAATTTGTTGGGCAAAGTGGACAATAATTATGGGACGGAGGGAGTATTATGAATAGTAAATTAAATCATGGTACATAACTAACTACAAATTGGCTTAGCGGATGAGTTATAAGATCCACAACATCAGGGGTAGTAGTTGAAAGAGTGAGGTAGCAGAATGTAGGGCCATGCCTTTAGTTTTCAATTATTTATTCTGATTGAGAAATAGTACTACTCTCCTTTTGTTATACCAACATGTTTCCCTTTTTTTTTACACGATCGGTCCCTGCATTATTCTTTTCTTTCCCTTAATGTACTCTTTGTTGATGATTAATGAACGAAAATGCGACATTATGATTTATGAATATCACTATTCCAATGCTTGCAGTTGATTAGAATATCAAAGAACTTTTCTCACTTGTTGTTTGCTTTGAATAAAAATAAGGAATTGGCTACGGACGACAAAGTTAAGAATTTTGTCTCGATAAAGATAACTAATTTATCAAAAAATTTAATTCCACATACACCTATTCTTCTATATTATTATAACACACGATAATTATAATCATGTATTGGCCTTCAATTATTATTATTATTTGCATACTGTGCACAATCTCCTAAGTGCACAATCTCAGAATCCGCACCGAGCAATTGTTGAACAATTGTTGATTTATTAGAAAACCATCAATTTCGAATTTTGTCGGTGCATTGAGGCATAATTTTTATAGCCCAAGAAGCCCCATAACAAACACCAAATACAAAAATAGGACACGGGCAAAGCACGCACATCACAATAGCCACAGGAGGAGTTTTTGGGTTGGTGAAAGTGGTTGGTGACTGGAATAACACTATTTAAACCCCTCAATTTCGCATCCCAATTGAGATCTGTGCCAATCCTCTCTTTCTTGTCACCATCTCCCCATCTTTCCCACCTTTTTTTGTGCGTCGTTGGCTGAAAGCATAATCCATAAGCTCCAGCATTTTCAGTTTCAGCAGCTTTTGGGTCGGGATTTTAGCCCCCCAAACTACTGCTGCATTGCATTGCCGACTATTTTACCATAAACCCAGATCAGGATTCACTCATTTTTCCCCAAAATGAAGGTGATTGATAAGATTAACGAAGCGTTGAAGGACGAAAACAGGGTTGTTTTCTCTTTCGAGTTCTTCCCACCAAAAACTGAAGATGGTGTCGAGAATTTGTTTGAGAGAATGGAGAGGATGGTTGCCCACAACCCCAATTTCTGTGATATCACATGGGGTGCTGGTGGATCCACCGCTGATCTGACCTTGGAGATCGCTAACAGGATGCAGAATATGGTCTGTGTGGAGACCATGATGCACTTGACTTGCACTAACATGCCTGTTGAGAAGATCGATCATGCTCTGGATACTATTAAGAGTAATGGGCTTCAGAATGTTCTCGCCCTTCGTGGTGATCCTCCTCATGGTCAGGATAAGTTTGTTCAGGTTGATGGTGGATTTGCTTGCGCCCTCGACCTTGTAAGTGTTTGTTCTTTTCGAACTAGATTTTAAATCTTGTATACATTCCTGTTTGATGAAGATTTTGATTTTTCTTAGATTCTATATATATGACATCTGAATCTGGATTTCACACAGTGTTCACGATTGCTGAATTTTACTTTTTTTTTTCTTTGTGGGATCTCGAATATGTATCATCTTTGATCATTTCTGAATTTTAGTGCTCATTCATTGATACTTGAAGCTAGCTTCTTGGACTCTTAAGTGAGAATGTTATGTAGTTATGTCTTCTGGACATCTTCTGGACAACTGCTGGTCTAACTGCTGCTCTATGAAATTGTGTTTTCGCTTAGTCAGTCTTTGATTGTAGTACGCTTTGGTGCACTTCTGGATCTGATTTCTAACTGCATTGATCTTGGAAACAATTTTACCCTTTGAACCTGTTCATTGTTTGATTGAAAAGTTCAATGACGGGAATTGTCCACATTGAGTTGGTATCTGCTTGTATCAAATAATTTGCGTGGTTTAAAGTTATTTTGTTTAGTTTCATGACTGACCGTTGAGCTTTAGTACTCATCATTCAATGAATTACTTTGGATTTTATTTTGGGAGTCCGAATTTTACTATTCTGCTTCTTTCTTACACTAATGCTTGGCTGGTAGATTTTAATAATCCCTTCATTACAAATACTAGTGTTTGATTTCAGTTCTGTTGAAGTGATGCACGTTTATCATTTCCTTCACATTTTTAGGTGAAACATATGAGATCCAAATACGGAGATTATTTTGGAATCACTGTTGCTGGTTATCCAGGTTAGTCAAGCTATTATATTTCGTGTCTAGTAATTCTTCTATTTAAATGGCATGATTGGGGAATAATGTGGCCAATGAAGCTAAAAGTGTCTTATTTCCCTTTTCAGAGGCTCATCCTGATGTCATACCAGCGGATGGAGTTGCTTCACTTGAGACTTATCAAAGTGACCTTGCCTATCTTAAGAGAAAGGTTTTTCTTCAGTTCTATTATTCCTTGAGATGATTTATTTCTGTGATTATCTTTATGTATATCAGCACAGAATTTGTATTGTTGAGTCCATTTTGCACTTTAATATTTGGTGTGCTATGTGCAGGTGGATGCAGGGGCTGACCTCATCGTAACCCAACTCTTCTATGATACAGATATTTTCCTCAAGTTTGTCCATGATTGTCGCCAATTGGGGATTACTTGCCCCATTGTTCCTGGAATTATGCCCATCAACAATTACAAAGGTTTCCTACGCATGACTGGTTTCTGCAAAACCAAGGTATAAGACACAATTAGTTCTGACATTTCCATGGGAATTAATACTTGCGTCTGAGCATGTCTTTTGCATATGCCATAAACAAACACGGATGATAACCATTTACTTTTTATCTTGCTGCTTCATTGTCTTGCTTTGCTTTACATCATGCCATGTGAGCCTCTTTGACGATAATACAGAGGATTTAAGGGAAAAATTTTGACTCAAGATCTTAAATTTATTGCATTTAGTTACTGTTTCGCCTATTATGGCTGTAGACAAGTTTAATTTTGGTCATATATCAGTTACTATCCTGAGACTATCCTGCAAATGTCAACTGGAAAATACTATATCCTCCTTCCTGCAGACCAATCTCTGTCAGGTGTAACTTTTTTTGTGCAAAGCTTACTTTAAAGATTCTGTCTTTTGTGTAACCTCACTCGACTACTTGTATATCTCACTCTTATCAGCATTGACTGTGAAATAGGCTCTCTCAATTCTTGACTACTTGAGTATTTTAAAGATCAATGAGAAATTTGGATCTGTTGCAAGAATAGCCTCTTTGAAAATGAAATCTAGGGTTTCTGATCTGAGTGTTGATGGATATATTTCAGACTATGGTGCATCATTTAAGTTCTTTCTTGCCGTTACGTCATTTTTCTATCTAGAACTTTTAAGATTCCTGCAGGTTGCTCTGTTGTTCTTAGTGTGTATAGTTGCATGGTCAATTAACTCTGAGTAAAATCACGTAGATTCCAGCTGAGATTATGGCTGCCTTAGAGCCTATCAAGGATAATGAAGAAGCTGTCAGAAACTATGGTGTTCACCTTGGCACTGAAATGTGCAAGAAGATATTGGCTAATGGGATCAGGACATTGCATCTTTATACATTAAATATGGAGAAGTCTGCACTGGCAATATTGCAGGTTGGTACTTGATTTCAAAGCTTTCAGCTTTTGTTATTTCAGTAATTTAGTATTGTTGTGTGGTCATGAACAGTAGTTTTGTAAATGCAGAATCTTGGCTTAATTGAGGAGTCAAAAATCTCACGAACTCTCCCTTGGAGACAGCCAACAAATATTTATCGTGTTAAAGAAGATGTCCGCCCTATTTTTTGGTACGCCCGCCTGACAAAGTCAATATTTTAGCCTCTTTGTTTCCAGTTGGTTATCGAAAACTCATCATTATTGCATTATCCTCCCTATTCTTTTAGGGCAAATCGTCCAAAGAGTTATATATCAAGGACCATTGGCTGGGAACAGTACCCTCATGGAAGGTGGGGTGATTCCCAAAATGCATCATATGGAGCACTTTCTGACTATCAAGTATGCTGATACTATTATATGTTTTCATTCATAAATTTACGTGTTACTTGAATATCAGAGGCTAACCCCTGTGCTTTAACAAATTTGAACCACTCATATGATTTTGTTGTAACTTTGCCACAGTTCATGAGGCCACGATCACGTAGTAAGAAACTTAATGAGGAATGGGCTGTCCCTCTTAAAGATCTTCATGATATATATGAGGTATATTGTGATCTATAGCTCCTTATCAGTCTGAATTGATTCTTTTCTTCAGCCTCCAGGGTATATACTTGATGAACTTTTTGTCATCAGAAATTCAAGCAGTATTGCCTTGGGAAGTTGAGAAGTTGTCCTTGGTCTGAGTTAGACCTTCAACCTGAGACAAAGATCATCAATGAGCAGCTTGGCAACATCAACCTAAAAGGTTTTCTGACCATAAATAGCCAACCAGCAGTTAACGGAGCCAAATCTGATTCTCCATCTGTTGGTGAGTTGTCTTCTGTATGAAAGTTGACTTCATGTTTGACTATTTTATGAGATCATTCCGGTCTTACCTTTCTAACTCCAGGATTGGGTTCATGAAGGAAAGAAATCTCAGAGACTCATGTTTAAAATTTAGGTTAAGTTTTTCTTTTGGAGAGCATTTTACTTCTCTTTATTATGTTAGTCAAGATCCATGTACAGTATTGGAAAATCACGTAATTTGGCTTTGTCTAAGAGAATCAAGCAAAATGTTGCATTCTTATTTTGGTTAACAAATGTTGCATTCTTCATGGCTATTGCAAAATGGTTAACATCTATGGAAGGATGGCTTCCTGATATGATTACTTTCTCTTTGCAAAGCTAGAAACAGAGATTAGTTGCGAAGTATGATAGTTTCGTATAGGCCGATCAAGGCATTTGATAAAAGAACTTTAGTAATGCCTTTAAAATTTGAACATCTTTGAGGATTCTTTTGACATTGATTCATTGTTTTGGTTCTATTTGTAGGATGGGGTGGACCTGGTGGATATGTTTATCAGAAGGCTTATTTGGAGTTTTTCTGCTCCAAAGAGAAATTAAATGTTCTCATTGAAAAATGCAAAGCTTATCCAATGCTCACTTACATGGCCGTGGATAAAACAGGAAGTTGGATTTCCAATGTCAACAAGACTGATGTGAACGCTGTCACATGGGGAGTGTTCCCAGCTAAGGAGATCATACAACCTACCGTGGTGGATCCTGCTAGCTTTATGGTGTGGAAGGACGAGGCTTTTGAAATTTGGTCTAGGAACTGGGCCCAATTATACCCTGAAGCTGACATATCAAGAAAATTGCTTGAAGAGGTAGATTCCTTATCAATTAGTTTCCTATTGCTATTTGCTGATCTCACGACACACAAATGAACATGGCTACTTGAATGAAATAAGCTCGTTCATTGGTCATTCTAGACCCTGCATTTTACGGTTTTTTTTGGCGATTGTTGCTACCATTGTCCATTTTGGTCTATATTGTTAAGCGTTTGTTCCTGGGATAGAGAAAAGTCATCAGTTTACTAGTGGCAGTTGCAAAAGTGAATGAAATCTCGTTAAGCATGCTCGTAGTCTAGGTTCACAACAAATGATAATGAAGATGGGATGGATTTTGTAGGGTTGGTGGATGTTAGCCTAGGTTATTTCTCTCCTGTATCTTAATACATAACTTTTCTTTTGTCACGTACTCGGGGAAACTGTTCAACAGAGCATACCTGTTTACATGAATGCCAAAATTTTACTTGCATGCATGACTGATGTGCAAATTGGTGGTTGTGTACAGGTACAAAGCACTTTCTATTTGGTCAGCTTGGTTGATAATGACTATATCAATGGTGACCTGTTTGCTGTTTTCAAAGAGATTTGAGGCCACAAGTAACAACGCTCGGGAAGAAAAGTGCCATTTCCCATGAAGTTCCACTTTTATATGTTCTTTTTTTTGGGGGGCTTTATATTATAATGTTCCATAACTCCTTATGGTTTAGTCTAGCATTACCTTTCCATTTTTATATCATAATTATAGTGGTAGTAATAACATTCTTTGAGATTGTGGCAGTTTCCATGATACTAGAAAGTGCATTTGAAAATGGATTTGATGTACCAGAAGAAGGTTGAATGGATTTTGTGATATCATTTTTATGATGGCATGATGCTTAACAGCTTAACTGTGGGAAGTAAGTACCATGTGAAGTAAAAAAGATCATTTAGATGTTTAGACCATGCAACCTTACCTATCACACACCCTAATATGCGAAACTATACTTTGGATTTAGGAGAAAAAGAAATTGCAACAATTTAAGCAAAATCTCTAATTTTGAAGGTTAAAAGAATTAATGGTGTGATTTATTGCTTATTATTACAATTATTAGTATGGGAGGAAGATAACCGGATGTAATAGTCGAAAGTTCAATCGGCTAAATATTAATTAAAGAGTATATGTTTTGACCACTAGTATACATTTAGCGGTCGCCTATAAATACATTAATCACCTACCTACTCTAATTCCTTAGTAAACGCTTTAGTCCAATTCTTACTCTAGTCAACTTCAATGGCGGATAATAGTTTCCAAGTTCTCATGCAGACAATCCCATACATCACCGCCGTTCGTGATCGGAATGCCGCCGCATTGGTCTGTAAGGGGGCCTATCGGACGGAATCCGACACCAGGGATCATGCTTTTGTCCCTTTTTGTTACTCTACGAATTCCCGACGATTATCTGCAAGATTCCCGAATCTCCGGTCGCTGACCTTGAACGGCAAACCAAATACGGCGGCGGCGGAAGATTCCGGCGGATTGGGGGGGCTACGTGACGCCGTGGGTGGAGGAATTCGGACGTTCGCTCCCTCTGTTGACATCCATTGACTTCAGGTGGATGATTGTTCGGGATTCCGACCTTTACATCCTTGCCGCGGTGAAAGGCAAAATCCTCCGCGTTCTAAAACTTGACACATGTTCGGGATTCAGTACCAACGGCCTCTTACAGATTGCAAGAACCTGCCGGAAATTAACAACTCTGTATTTGGGAAAGTCCAAGATTTCCGATTTGGGTTCCGAATGGCTTCATGAAATAGCTATGCATCACACGCTTCTTGAAAGGTTGGATTTTTATCTTTCCTCTATTATACATTTTAATGTCGACGATCTTGAGCGAATCGCTCGAAATTGTCCTCTGACATCTCTAAAGATTACTGATTGCCGCCTCGATAGTCTTGAGGGAGTTTTTAACAATGCACTTTCTTTAGAAGAGTTTGCCGGCGGATCAGAATTCTTGGAGATCCTTTAGATGATGATGTGGCCGGGGCTGTTTGTTTTCCTCCAAACCTGTGCCGTCTGTGCCTGACATATAGTCCCCAGATTTCCGCTGTTTTTCCTATCTGTTACAGGCTTCGCTCATTAGACCTGCTTTATGCTTATGTTGTCAGAGACGTTCTCTGCCAACTGCTGAAAAGTTGCCCTAACCTAGAAGTTCTTCAAACTGTGAATGAAATTGGGGATGAAGGGTTGGCCGTAGTTGGTGAATATTGCAGATGGTTGAAAAGGATTAGAATTGAAAGAGGATATTCACCCAACTTGATTACTCAAAAAGGGCTGATCTTGTTGGCAGAGGGGTGCCACAAGCTTGAATCTGTTACCTTGTATGTTGATGATATAAACAATGAAGCGCTGGAGCTTATTGGCTGCCATTTGCAGAATCTGGTTGAGTTTAATTTGGTGTTGTTGGATGGAGATATTGCATCAACTGATCTGCCTCTCGATCATGGGGTCAAAGCTTTTCTCATCAGTTGCCAGAAGACACTTACAGTGCTTTCACTATATCTCAGGCCTGGCAGCATAACAGATTTTGGCCTAGCTAACATTGGGGCATATAGCCTCAACATCAGAAAGATGGCCCTTTGTGATGGGATAGGGAACTCAGATCAAGGCCTTAAAGATTTGTGTAAGGGTTGCCCAAGCCTACAGGAGTTGGTATTAAGGAACTGCATTTTCTCTGACTGAGCAATTGCCAGGACTACTTCTCGTTTAAAATCACTGAGGGCCTTGTGGGTGATGGGGAATAGCATGTCTTCTTCTGTATGGTCTGGAAATGTTCTACCTGTGGATCGTGATTCCTGGACCGTCGAGCTGTTTTCATCCGAAGGAATAGTCCCACCTAGTCAAAGCAACGAGGATGACGCAACGGTGATAAGCCATCCTGCTCATACTCTTGGCTACTATACACTTGCTGGTCGTAGAACTGACTACCCCCCGTAAGTTGTCATGCTCACAAAGAGAATTTGATTCTTATGTTGTATGTTCCCTTTGGAACCTGATGTTGTTTAGTTTCTGTGGTGATTTTCTGTGTAGTTTCCCTTTTTAGAGTCTAGTCTTTCCCCCATTCTTTTCAGATACACTCATGAGAGTTACATTACTTTGAGATTTTTTGAGGGTGGAACGAAACTCTCCTTACACTGCCTTTTAACAATTGTACTTTTCTTTTTCCTGTTTCAAGTACTCCAAATTATTCTATACCTGTATGGCATTTAACAAAAGGGTTCTGATTCTGGTTCCTGTGGCATGAAGGTATTAATTTAAATCTACTAGTTCTGATAGCTGATAAGCTGAACTGTGGGTGTTATTTATCTGCATGCATGTGCACATTCTGGTTGTGGTTGCTGTACTTTACTCTGTTTATTTTATGATCAGTTCTTTATATTCAGTGAAAGAACGCATGCCTGAAAATCGATTGTCAGCCAACCTGCCTGTTTGTATGAAATATTTGTTGAGACTTTTTGCTGGTTTTTGTTCCCTTATTAAACAAAAGCTCTTAACAATGTGGCTTTTGTTGGATATTTCTAAAAAAGCTTTTGAAGTGTTTGCCTCTTGGTAATTTGTTTTCTAAATATCTTCATTGTGATTAACAAATTGAATATATCATATATTGTCAGTTGGCTGTTTTTTTTGTTTCTTTACACCTGAAGTTATGCAAGCACTTTTCTTTTGGATGGATCTCTCACAATTAATGAATAGAGGTTCGAAATCTGTTCGGCCTTCAACTTTTCCCGCCAAGATTTTCCATTTGTGAGTCAGTCACTTCTTTTTGTTCGGGCCTCTGGTCTTAGCATGCCCTCTGCAGAACATAATTGGTGAACTTTTTTGGTATATCTGCTGCAATCCTTATGCTCATGTTATTTTTACTCTTGGGTTCTTTGTTTTTTCCCCATATTTTTATGTCCTTGGCTTGAAGTTATGAGTTTCTGCTTTGGTCCATTATTTCATTCTTGCATGTGCAATGCTTTGACATGTTTTCAGTAAAACCTTTTACATCATGGCCTGGAGTTTCAAATAATGTCCCGGTGCTATTGGGATTCTCTAATGGTTTTAAATGTTGCTGCAATTCCATAAACTACGGCAACATGAATGGAGATTATCCCTGTAAGTTAAGTGTATCCGATTCCAAGAGAAGGGATGTTTCAATTTCCTCACCACTACCCCCTTCTCATTGTACAAGAAAGCTAGAACTCCAAAGGGTTATATACAGATGCCAATTCTCCAGATCATATTTGGAATTGGAGATGCCAAGGATATTGTGACTGAAGAAATGAAAAATGATCATGGTTGTATTCGAGTAAAACCAAAAGTAGAGAACACACCATGGGAGGAAAAATAAAAAAAAAAAGGATGAAATTATAAGCCTGCAAATTATAAGCCATCAAATCATCGATTTGATTATGCTTTGATTGTCTGAAGTCTGAACATATGTGCATGATTAAATTTTCAACATACGTTTATCTGATTTTGTTAAGGGCTCTTGTGAAATTTACGCAATAATAATAATAATTTAAAACCACTTCATATTAGCAAAAGTTGTACAGAATAAAAAGGCCACAAAAGATACTTTTTAAGAAGTGCATGAACATAAAATCATCCACTTCAATTCCAAAAGATAGTCACCCAAAACTCCAAGTCATTCAAACCAAATACAAACAACAAACTCAACAATGAAATATGGTTTTTTTTTTTTTACCAAAAAAAAGAAGAGAAATATGGGTTTGTTTGGCCAATATTTTGTTTTAGTTTTTTTATTTGGTTTTGAGATGTGATTTAAAATGCATTTTGAGAGAAAATTTAAAAAATTATTTGAGTAATATTTTAAATAAAATAATAATATTTTTAGACCACCATCGGACCACCTCCACCACTAGCGCCGCCATCGGGCTGCCCACCACCGGCAACCGACTAGCTAAATTTCGACCAAATTCCGGCGTCCGAAATTTGGCCAGAATCCGGCGGGCGGCGGTGGGGGGCCCAGCGGAGGTGGTCCGGTGGTGGTGCAAAAAAATGGTGTAAAAATAATATTTGAAATAAATTATAAAAAGTAAATTAAAAAATTATTTAAATAGTATTAGGATTTGTGTTTGAGAAGTATTTTAAGAGGTAAAATGAGACAAAATGGCAAAATGAAACTTTGTAATTTTTTCATTCTCTTACTTAGCAGTAAATTTTAGCCGTCAGAATCAATATACATGCAAGAAATGTATCCCTACATTTTATAGTTTAATAGGACAACACCATTTGATGAAAAAATCATATTGACTAAATATTCGAAATGTTCGAATCGAACTAATATTACTATTATAATTCATGAAAATCTTATTATATATTAAGAAAATTTGATGAAAAAATCATATCGACTAAATATTCGAAATGTTCGAATCGAACTAATATTACTATTATAATTCATGGAAATCTTATTGTATATTAAGAAAAAAAATTTCAAAAGACATATGTCAGTTAATTAGATTATCGATAATTTTCAAGTACACATATCATATCAAGTACACATATCATCTTTTTATTTGTTGATAATTTTTTTAATATACATGTCATCTTTTTATTGGCTACTATATTTACTCAATTTTTAATATATGTACTTTCTAAAGTGAAATGGTAAAATTATTAAATTAACTTTCACCCATCATCATTTAATTCCTTAGACCAATTTTAATTATTAAATTAACTTTCACCCAGCATCATTTAATTCCTTAGACCAATTTTACCAATTTTAATTATTAAATTAACTTTCACCCAGCATCATTTAATTCCTTAGACCAATTTTAATTGAAATTGATCGTACAAAATCAACGGTAAAGTAAAATATATCCGGCAACTGATTGACTAAAAATCAATCAGACAGAACTCATCTTTTTCAACAACACCAGCATTTTCAACTAAGCATTTTCAACTAAGTAGAAGAAGGAATATTACATCACCATTGTCTCATACTGGCTCTCAAAAGGAAGAAACCACTCTTCATCCCTGAAAAAAATCTTGATCATCATAATCCGATACAACAAATCAGAGGGGAGCCATATTCTTCGCGATAAATGATTGGAAAAATTCCTCAAAAATAGGAATAGAAAGAAGAGGGAGAATACCTCAAAAAAAATATATGGTAGGAAGGTGAGGGAGAAAAAGAATAAAAATAGAGACGAAAAAAAAAGGGGGGAGGGGGGGAGGGGGGGCCGCGAGGTGGCTGAGAAGCGAGAACTGAAGCATATAAGAGAAAAAGAAAAGGTGGGCGGCTGTGAAAAAAAAAAGGTAGGCTAGGGTTTTTTTAATTAGTATTTATACTTTTTATAATTATGTAATAGCCCCAATAATTTAATTTAGTACTAAAAAGACTTACAAATTCTACATTCTATTTATTTGACAATATAAGTTCTTTCTATTTCATATGTTACATTATTTTCATATTTAATTTTATTTATTATATAATAATGACATCATCCGATTTTGTTCCCTTAACAGTGTAAATGAGATGCAAAGTGAAATAAACCAGAGACTATATTCAATTATTAGCTAAACCGAAATGTTATATTTTTTTATTATTAAATTAATATATAATATATAAAAATGAGAATATAAGCATTTGGATTAGATTTTAGATATTGGAAAAAAAAAAAAAAACCTACTATCGGGCCCAAATTGGATGGAAATAAGTTGTTACCTTAACCTTATATCTTACTATACTGGTGATGTCTGATCGCGCAATGCGCGACCCTGGCCCAATATATCTGTAAATTTTAGAAATATTTGTATCTGAAAAAAAAAAACTATTTTGTATTTGGGCTATATATATTTTAGAAATGTTTGAAAAAATTAGAAATGTTTTATAAGTGTGAATATAGAAATGTTTGTATTTTGCATAAAGAGAAATTGTATTTGGCCCGGTACGTTTTAGAAATATTTGAAGATTTTAAAAATGTTTTATTAGTGTTACTTTCATAAGTTTAAATATTAGTAAGATAATTTATTGATGTTCTCCATTGGTTGTGCCAAATCAATACTTAGTTTTAGAGATTTATAATAGTTTTGTAGTAAGCTTCCTCCAAACGTTATACGCTTAATTGTTGAAACTATTTCTTCCAAAAGTTTATAGGTAGTAAAATATCAAAAATATGATTTTGAAACCGGTTGATCACAAATATGAGAATGAAAATAATGTAAATTTACATAGGTTTCAAGTTATAGTAAAAAAGAACTCACCTCACCATGGCAACTTAAAAAAAAAAAAAAAAGAAAGTAAAAGATAGACCATTAAAAATTGAGAAATTATTTTTTTCTGTAGGTAAAAATGATGTATAAAAACACAAATAAACGTAGAAAAATCATTCATTCCCTCTCCATCTCAAATTCATAAAAAGCTTCCCCATAAATTAGTTAGAAGAAGCAATATGAACTATTTATATGATGAGGAACTAAAAAAAGTCCAAAAATCAAATCCAAAAAAGTATATTCTTGAAAGACTGAACACCAAAAAAAAGTGCTTCATTTGTAAATAAAATAAAATAATAATAATAATAATAATTGGTCAAGTGGGAGTATGAAACAAAATCAAAAGCAATTAAACAAAGAAAAAAACACACTTCATAACTGACCATATACGAAAAAAAACCTGAGACTCCATTTTTTTTTAAAAAAAAAAAACCAATCTAATTAAATGAAACATAAAAAAG